TAAACGTACTAAGCCTGACCCTACTTACTTAAGCCTAATCATACTGAACCTAAGATTACTAAGCCTACGCCTGCTAAGCCTAATCCTACTAAGCCTAAGCCTACTAAGCCTAAGTTTACTAATTCTAAGCCTACTAAGCTAAAGTGTGCTAACCCACAAAGCCTAAACCATAAGCTAAACCTCAGCTTACGCCTAAATATAAGCCTAATTCTAATCCAAATCCTATAATGATTAAAATCGTTTCTTTGAAAAAAGACCGCCTTTTGGCATCAACAACCCCAGATTGTTGATGCCAAAAGGTCGTCGGGAGACGCATTTGGCTTTCAATCTTTGGCTGGGAATTCGGCGGTGAAAGCCGAGAATCCCGACTTAACGGCCGCCAGATCGGGTGACATCTGCGGAAGAAAGTGGTTCCATGTAAACAGCCCGCCACCGTATATGGGCCAAGGGTCAGGTAAGGGTGTATTAAGGGCAAAGATATTAAAAATAGTGTCATACTTGATTAGGCTAAGGCTAGGTCTTAGGCTCAGGCTCAAGCACATGCTTAAACTCAGGCTCAGGCGTACGCTCAGGCTCAGGCTCAGGCGCAGGCTCAGGCTTAGACTCAAGCTCAGGCTCCGGCTCAAGCTTGGGCTCAGCCTCAAGCTCAGGCTCAAGCACAGGCTTAAGTTCAGACTTAAGTTCAAGCTCAGGTTCAGCTAAAGCTTAGGCTCAAATTCAAACTCAAGCTCAAGCTGAGACTCTGAACCAGACTCAGGCTAAAGCTAACACTTAAGCTTGGGCTCAAATTCAAAATTAAGGTCAAGCTCAAGCTCTAGCTTAAGCCCAGGCCCAGACTAAAGCTACAGTTCAAGTTCATTCTCAGCTCAGGCTAAAGCTGCGGCTAAGACTAACTCTAACGCTAAAGCTAGGGTACATCAAACCCCTTTTTTACTGAAAAAGTCAACCCCACCGCCCCCCCCCCTTAAACCTTAAAAATTCACCAAATTCTACCCCAACCATCTTCAATCCCAAAACAATGTTCTGCCGTTTAAGCCGCGCTAATTGTAACGTTCTAGTGCAAACTAATTAAAAATTTGGCCGAAAACGGCGCTAAGAGCCGTTTAAGAACCTTAAATGAATTCTTAAGACCCGGACCCGCCGTGTTTTCCAATTTTTTTTCAAGTTACCGCCCCAATTTAACGGGATCAACGCTTTTAATGGCCACTGCGAAATTAGGCCACATGCGGTTTTTTATGGCGTTGCAATGCTTTGTGACGCCGTCAAAAACAACAATTTGTTGGGAAAAATATGTTTTTTGGCTAGATTGTAAAATTCTTGAGGTAAATAGTCGAGAAATTTATTTTTTAAAAAAGAAGGTGAATTTGAAATGTACTGCAAAAAAAAATTTAAAAAAAATTACCAAGCTTTCTCTCTCAAGACTCAAAGTGATTACCGAATGGTTAACTTAGCCCTAGCCTACAGCCCTAGCCCAGAGCCCTAGCCCAGAGCTCTAGCCCAGAGCCCTAGCCCAGAGCCCTAGCCCAGAGCCCTAGCCCAGAGCCCTAGCCCAGAGCCCTAGCCCAGAGCTCTAGCCCAGAGCCCTAGCCCAGAGCCCTAGGCCACAGCTTTTGTCCTAGACCAAAGCCCTAGCTCAGAGCTCTAGCCGAGAGCCTTACCCAGACCCCTAGTCTAGGTCCCTAGTTTCAGCTCTAGTCAACTGCCTAGATCTGAGAGCCCTAACCCATAGCCCTAGCTCTAGCCCTCACGTCTTGTCCTAGCCTTCGTTCCGGATCGTGTCCTAACTCTAGCCCTCGCTCTAGCGCTAACTCTTGCTCTGGATCTTGCCCTAGCCTAGTCCTATTTCCAGTTTTTGTCCTAGCCCTAGCCCTCGCTCAGGTTTTTTCCTAGTCCTAGCGGTTACTCCAGATCATGTCCTATGTTTAGTCATAATCCTAGGCTAAACTATAACACAAATCGTAACCTTAATTTTTACTTCCGCCTTTACCTTGATCTACTCAAAATGCCTTAAAAGCTAAGACTACTAATCTTATCCTAAACTAATTTAACCATTTTTTAAAATTTTATTTTTGTATTTATACAATTTTAAATTGGCTTAAAAGCCAATTTATCGCTCGCTCAACGATACCTCTTCTCTTTGCTTTCTTCCAGTTGCTTTATCACCAGGCTTGGACGTAGGGCAGGGCAGGGCCCGATTTGCGGCCCTGGGGCCGGGCCCGGTTGGAGCCTGCCCGGTACAGGGCCTTTAGTTTCGGGCAGGGCATTTGCAGGGTTTTACAGGGCATTTGTAAATTAAGTTTACAAAGCTAACAACAAGTGAAATAAACTGCTTTATATCTATCCGGCTTCACCCCTGACCCTTTTCGCTTTACCCGACCTCACCCCTGACCCTTTTAGCCCTACCCGACATCACCCTTGATCCTTTTAAATCTTCCCGGCCTTACCCCTGACCTTTTTAGGCCTACCCAACCTTACTTCTGACCTCTTTAGCTTTATCCAAATCTACCTTTGACCTGTTTAGCTTTACTAGACCCTACCCGTGACTTTATTACCCTACCCTACTATACCATACCTATCCTACATAAAATTCCATGCTGTACTGTACCATGCCCTATGCTACTTACTATATCATACTCATCTTACCAAAGAAAACATACCAAACCCTACAATACCTTACATTACCATATCATAACCTATCCTATCTATCATACCAAACCTTACAATACCCTACCATACTATATGCTATTCTATCTACCATACCAAATCCTGCAATGCCCGAACATATATAACATGCCATACTCTACCTGACTATATTATACCATTTATCTTGCTTTATTTACCTACTCTACCCTACCTATGGGTAGTACACAGTAGTGTTTTATAAGATTGGATAAGGTAAGATATGATAGAGTATGGTATATGTATTATGTTATGGTATGGTAGGATATGGTATTGTATGGTAGGGTATGGCATGTTATAATATGTTAGGGTATTGTGGGGTTTGGTATGGTAGATAGGATAGGGTATGGCGGGGTGTGGCATATTAGATACAATGTGGTAGCGTAGGATCGGGCAGGGCTACAAAGGTTAAAGGTAGGGTCGGGTAGGGTTAAAAGGGTCAGGGGTGAGGTTGGGTAGGGCTAAAATAGGGGGGGGCTGAAGTCGGGTAGGGATAAAAGCATCAGGGATGAGGTCGGAAAGAGCTAAAATGTTCAGGAGTAAAGTGGGGTAAGTAACATTACTTGTTAGACACTCAACAATTTTAAATTAATTTTTTTTTATATGAAAAAATTATTACCGGGCATTTACAGGGCATTACCGGGCACGAAGCAAGCCCTGCCCGGTTAGAATCATGGACCTTGCCCGGCCCGGCCTAGGGGGCAACGCCCTACGTCTAAGCCTGTTTATCACCCTATCCTTCTCCTACTTCTAGTCGATTTATCGCCCGATCTTTCTGCAGCCGGTTACAAACTCGTTCACCAAAAAAAACCAAGGAATTTTGACTAGCCAGCTCGCGCAAAACAATAATCTTCTCCCAACGTTTTTGACAAAAAATAGCCCGAGGAATTGTTTTGTGGCTCCTGTTCGTTTGGTTCGCGGTGTTCGTGCTTCGTCTTCTCCTTTATTCGAAAAGGTTTTCTTGTTAGCGCGGGCTGACGACGGAAGTTGGTAGTGCCGGGCCCGGACCGGTCGCGACGCGTGCGCCTCGGGCGTCTCACCCCGCATGACCAGCACACCGCCTCGGGCGTTCCATTCACTCTCGGAATGGAAGCGACAAAAAACAGTAGGCGGGGGTTTTGCGGCGGGTTTTTTGCGAAAAGCAGATGAGAAATAATGGAAAAGCATGGGTTAAAAATTAAAACAAAAGGCTAGGGGTGAGTCTGAAATAAAGGCTAGGGCGCAGGCTAGGGCTGAGGCTAGGGCTGAGGCTAGGGCTGAGGCTAGGATTGAGGCTAGGGCTGAGTCTAGGGCTGAGGCTAGGGCTGAGGCTAGGGCTGAGGCTAGGATTGAAGCTAGGGCTGAGGCTAGGGCTGAGGCTAGAGCTGAGGCTAGAGCTGAGGCTAGGGATGAGGCTAGAATTGAGGCTAGTGCTAAGGCTAAAGCTAAGGCTAAGGCCCTAATGGCAATTACTAATTTACAATACCTGCCCTCTAAAAATTCAAATTTTAAAATCATATACCTAGAAGTCTACTATTGTCTTTGTTCCGGGCCCGTATTCAAAAAGTCTACGCCCGTTAGAATCCTTTATGTTTAAATTACATCCGTGCCATTCTAGTCGTCATGGAAGTGCAAAAGACAATTATTGTTTTCTGTAAACCACTTTACCTTACATAACATTTAAAATTTTTTTTTGGTTCTTAAATTTTTAATCTTAAAATTAAGCCTAAGCCTAAACTAACAGTAAGCCACGACTTTGAGCCTTTTTAGCCTGCTAAGTTTAAGCTTACTAAAGATAAGCCTACTACGCGTAAGCCTACTAAGCTTAAGCCTACTATGCCTAAGCCTACTGATTCTAAGATAACTAAACCTAAGTTTAATAAGCCTAAGCCTACTAAGCTTCAGCCTACTAAGCCTAAGCCTACGCCTACTAAGCCTGAGCCTACTAAGCCTAAGCCTACTAAGCCTGACCCTACTAAGCTTATGCGTACTAAGCCGTCAACCTAACTAAGCCTAAGTTTACAAACCCAACATTTTTGTCATAACACTATATAAAACAACATCCAACCCTAATAACCCATATCAAAATTTTCAAAAAATAAAAAACTTTGTTTACTCATCAAACAACCCCACCAACCCCCTCACACCACCCAACTTCCCCCCCCCCTCCCCCCCCAAATTGCGACTAACGAGACCGCCCGGAATAAGCGACAACAATTCGATTTGCGCACGGTGAAAATTATGGCCGCGCGGGCACAGCGAGAGGAATTAGGAAAAGAAAAGAGAGGAATAATCAAATTTGATCAAGTGCAAACTTTGCCGCTTCATTTGAGCCTTGAAACATGACAGAGTGGGAAGGAATGTTGATGTAGAGAAATGAAGAAAGGGATTGCTCTATATCAATTTGAACTTTTTATAGAGTAAAATACGCCCATTCTAAATACGCGATTCTTAATTTTTTAATTTTAAAGTTTGTAAATAAAAATAGAAAGAACTTTCTTTACAATACAAAAAATGGCAAGAACTTCCCTTACAAATCAAAAAATGGCAAGAACTTCCTTTACAAAACGAAAAATGGCAAGAACTTTCTTTACAAAACGAAAAATGACAAGAACTTTCTTTACAAAACAAAAAATGGCAAGAAATTTCTTTACAAAACAAAAAATGGCAAGAACTTTCTTTACAAAACGAAAAATGGCAAGAACTTTCTTTACAAAGCAAAAAATAACAAAAACTTTCTTTACAAAACAAAAGCATCTACTTATCATATAACTTTTCACCCGCAGTCTGCACAACCATAACATAGCTTATTACCATTATAATGCCAAGAACTTTACAAAACCAAAAATTTGCATGAACTTTCTTTACAAAATGCTTTTCACCGCATAACTTGTAACCTGCAGCCTTTGCACTACCATAACACAGCTTATTATCATCATAATGGTAGTGAGTTTCTTTACAAAAAACACAATAACAAGAAATTCCTTTACAACTCAAAAAATGGCAAGAAATTTGTTTACAGAACAAGCAATGGCAAGAACTTTCTTTACGAAATAAAAAATGACAAAAAGTTTTATGAAACAGAAAATGGCAACAACTTCCTTTTAAAAATTTTTAAAAAATCAAGAAAACATTAATTTTCTAAAAAAATATTTTCAGACAACTAGTCCAATCATCCGACCAAGAGCTCCAGAATCTACGGCAAAACGCTAATGATTCCGAAATCATCAAAGGTTTGGAAGATCGGCTTCAAAAAGCAACGAAAGAAGCCGATCTAGAACGCCAAAAGCTATCAGAGCTTCGGCTAGCCAAAGAAAAAACTGAAGAAAAACTTCAGACTCTTCAAAACTCGCTACGTCAATCTGAAAACGACAAAAATGAACTTTTGGCCAAACTTCAAAAACTTGAAAAAGAAATGACATTAAAAAAAGAAGCTGAACAAGCCAAGGAAAAAATGATCAAAGAAAAAGAAGAACAAATAGAACAAATGAAAGAAAAAGAAGCCCATAATATAGAAAAGATAACAAAATATGAAGAAACTAAAGAAGAATATAATGCCATTTCAAATGCATTAAACCAAATTGCCAGTACGTTGCAAGTAGCTCCAGAATTATCAAAAATACTATCAGAGTTAGCGCAACGTTCCACCAGATTAAGCACTTTAGAACGACAGTTAGCTGAAGGTGTTCAAAATGAAAAATCAATAGTCGAGATGAAACAAGACATTGATAAATTGAGAAAAGAAAAAGAGGCAAATATGAAGAAGTTAGATGAAGCTACAAGCAGTTGTAACGAGCTGAGTACGAGGATAGAAAAGATGAGTACGGAGAAGAAGGATGAAGTTGTGTTTTTGAATAATGAAGTCAATCGGTGAGTATAACATAAATTGTTAAGAATTGGCCGTTAAAACTAAGCCTATTTAATCCAAGCCTACTAAGCCTTAGCCTACTAAGCCTAAACCTACTAAGCCTAAGCCTACTAAGCCTAAGCCTACTAAGCCTAAGCCTACTAAGCCTAAACCTACTAAGCTTAAGCCTACTAAGCCTAAGCCTAAGCCTACTAAGCCTAAGCCTACTAAGTCTAAGTCTCCTAAGCCTAAGCCTACTAAGGCTAAACCTACAAAGCCTAAGCTTACTAAGTCTTAGCCTACTAAGCCTAAACGCACTAAACCTAAGTTTACTAATCCTAAGCCTACTAAGCCCAAACCTCAAAAACCTGACTAAATTGTAAGCCTATTCAAACTTTGAAATTGCCCAGTACATGAGCCCAACCTTAGAAAACTTAATTTATCTGACACGCAATGAACAATAAATTCTTTCGGTGTTACATAATTCTAAGAGATTATCTATCATAGCCTTAGAGAAATTGCAAGGAATCGTGTTGCGCAACGTTTCTTATGTAATATGTACGGTTTTATGTCATACTTGCCTCGATGTAAAACGACCCAACAAATGACTGCGAGTGCTGGGATTTGGCTTGTTTTTCTGCGAGGGATCAGCTTTTATATGCCATGAAATTTTTTGTGCTCTGGTGATAAGAAAGTCAGTCCTAGTCTTATAAAAAATCATTAAGCCTATAAGTGTTATGCTAAGCCTAAGCTGAAGCCTAAGATAAAGCCTCACCTGACGCCTAAGCCTTAGCCTTAGCCTTAGTCTTAGCATTAGCCTTAGCCTTAGCCTTAGCCTTAGCCTTAGCCTTAGCCTTAGCCTTAGCCTTAGCCTTAGCCTTAGCCTTAGCCTTAGCCTTAGCCTTAGCATTAGCCTTCGCCTTAGCTCTAGCTCTAGATTAAGCTCTAGCTTCAGCCCTAGCCTAAGGACTAGCCGAAGCACCAGCCTAGGCACTAGCCTAAGCACTAGCCTAAGCACTAGCCTAAGCTTCCGCCTAAGCTTACGCCTAAGCTTTCGCCTACGCCCTACTTTAAGCTTTACCCTAAAGTATAGTCTGAGACCTAAGCCTTTTTCTAAGCTTTAATCTGATAGGTTCTAAACCTAAAGTTACAAAATGTGCTTCAATTTTTTTAATTTTCAAAATTTTCAGTTTAAAATCCCGTGAGCTAGACCTCGAACAAGACCTGGACCGTTTCAAGAGATCCGAGCAATCGCTGAGCGAGCGTTTAAAGGCCGCCGAACTGGACTTGTCGCGCAAAAACAATGTGGACACAGTGGCTATCGACAAGATCAATATGTTGGAAAGTGATCTCGAGGAAATGGGAAAACAGAACTCAGTTTTAAGGGAGAAGGCATTGACCGAACAGAAACGATTCGACGACGAAATGAGAAATGTAAGGTCTTTCGACGCCATAATGAACGTATTTTACAAAAAGAAAAAGAGTTTTGGTTTGTAAAGAAAGTCCTTGCCATTTTTCGATTTGTAAAGAAAGTTTTTTCCCGTTTTTTGTTCTGTAAAGAAAATTTTTGCCATTTTATGTTTTGTAAAGAAAGTTCTTGCTATTTGTACCAAAATAATCTGTTTTAAAGTTTTTGCAGACTGCGCGTGACAAGTTATACGATTAAAGTTGTTTTTTGATTTATAAAGAAATTTCTTGTTATTGTTCATTAACCCCGTTTCGTATTTTACAAAAAACATACTAGTTATTTACCGTAATGTAATATTGTTTTGTGAACCAGTTAATAACCGACGTAATTGCACGAATTATGTCATGTAGCCCACTTGACGTCGCTTATATTAAAAGCGTTTTCTGTTTACAAGGGCTACTTTACTGTGTAGATAACTAACTACACGTTTATTTTTGATTTCTTTGAAACCTTTTTTTTCTTTTTTTAAAGGTATTTTTAATCATTAAAAATGGCAAAAAAAAAGCTTTTCATCGTATAACTTGTCACATGCAGCCTGCAAATCCGAGAACTAGCTTGTATTGATATAAATGGCAAGAACTTCCTTTACATAATAAAAAATAGCAAGAACTTTCTTTACAGAACAAGAAACCGCAAAAATTTTCTTTACAAAACAAAAAAATTCTTGACTTTTGTATTTTACCTTATAAAAACCATGTTTGTCATTTTTTGTTTTGTAAAGAAAGTTCTTGCCATTTTTTGTTTTGTAAAAAAAGTTCTTGCCATTTTTTGTTTTGTAAAGAAAGCTATTACCATTTTTCCCAAAGATACTTACTTTCTATATTGTTTTAGATGCGTGATGAAATGATAGAGAACATCCGCCGATTGAGCGACCTGCTCGAAGCCGAGTCGAAACGCCTTCAAACGGCCAATTCAGAACGTGAAACGCTGGCAAAAGAAGCCCAGAATCTGAAGAATGCCCTAAATGAACAAAAGAAGCTTCTGGAACAAAAAGCGGATTCAGAATCCAAAACTCCAAAGACTGATTCTGGACTCAAAGCACGATGCGAAGAGTTGATGAGAGAGAACGCGGAATTAGCGGCCGATTTATTGAAAAAAGAGCGAAATGGTACTGATGGTACTTTGAGAGAAATGGAACATAAATATATGAGTGAGGCTCAGAGTTGGCGAAAGGAAAGGATGGCTTTAGAGAATCAAATTGAGGAATTGAAGAATGAATTGAATAGGTATGAAGATCAAAAAATCATACTTGTGCTAGTTTTAGCATTGAAAAATCGTATTGTAAACCAGTTTTAGCCTAAGAACATCAAAGATAATAGATCAGTGAAAAATGGTAAAATAAGGTTGCACGGCCAAAATGCATAATATTTAACGTTTTTTGCCCATAAATTTCACGTTTCTGACCCATAAATAGGGGTGAGAAACGGGCCGTCTAGGCCCGGCCTTGAGCTAAAATTGAAACGGGCCGGGCCTGAAAATTGGGCCCGGGCCCGAAAAAAAAATTTTTTAATTTTTAAAAATTTTCTATTTTAATCCCCGTTGATGTTTTTTGATTTTATTGGGTACCATGATACATAAATGACCTAATAAAAGAACAATGCAAAGCCAAATTTCCGTTTATTTTTTAAGTTTTAAAATTTTTAAAATTTTTAAAACGGGCCGGGCCAAGAACTTTTCTGACCGGGCCGGGCCGGCCTGAGAGAAAATTGAAAACGGGCCGGGCCCAAACGTTGGGCCCCGGGCCTGGGCCGGGCCTTAAAAGTGGGCCCGGCCCGGCCCTTTTCTCACCCCTACCCATAAAGTTTGTCAGCTTGTTAAATGCATAAAATTTAACGTTTCTTCTCCATAAATTTCACGTTTGCATCCATAAACTTCGTTTGCTTGCTAAATGCATAAAATTTAACGTTTTGTGTCCATAAACCCATTTACTTTGGTAAAAAAACGTCACGAAAGGCAAAGTGAACGTGCAATTTGAAGATAGCGCAAATTTAAGTTAGAGAGCAAAAGAAAAACAAGAAAAGACCACGATTTTTGAGGAAAAAATGTCTGGAAGCGCGACAAACCCAACCATAAAACAAGTGACACATGAAGCTGGGATATAAAAGCGAGGCCGGCTTTACTCACAGTGTTCATTCCAAATGGACATATACTAAAATTGGAACAATACAGAGAAGATTAGCATGGCCCCTGCGCAAGGATGACACGCAAATTCGTGAAGCGTTCCAAATTTTTTGTCAAATTTTGAAGTTTTTTATAATTTTTAAAAAATTTAAAATTCTACCCTACCCTACTGTATCCTACCCTAATATTACATTAAAAACCCCTCTTTTCAGCCTCAACAATCCGAAGCCAAAGCCACGAAAAATCAATGGCTACTCCACGTTGCCTTCTCATCCTTCCATCCCAGCCAGTGAAACCTCGTCGGCCGATGAAAGTACAGTAACCTTGGGTTCAAATGGAACTTCGGATAATGTTCATGCTGAAGTTGAACGTCAGAAGAGGTTGATTAATGTGTTGAGAAGGAAGCTACAACACCAACAAATTGAACGATTTCAACAGAGTCGAAGCTTCTGTGCTACTATAAAGTAGTGCTGCTTGGTAGTAGTGGTACTATGAAGTAGTACAATTAAATTTTCAAAATTTTTGGTTTTTAGGTAATGTTAGGCTTTAAAATTTAATTTTTTACTATTTTTAAAATTTTTCATTATTAAAAAATGTCATTTCTCACCTTCTTCAATCCGCGTCAAAAAGAATTGACCTTTTTTACTATTATCTTACTATCAAAATCACCCAATTCTTTTTGACGCGGTTTATTTTTAATCAACTACTCAAAAGCCTTTAACTACAATAATCAACTTGTATTTAAGCCAATATTGCGTTTATTTTAGTATAGTTATATACCTTACTTTACTTTACGATACTTTATTGTACCAGTCGATTTCACTTAATAATCTTGCCGAGTCATATCAATATTAAATTTTTTAAGGAAAGCAATAAACATTATTATAAAAGTTGGCCGGATTGTGCTTTGTAAAGAAAGTTCTTGCCATTTTTTGCTTTGTAAAGGAAGTTATTGCCATTTTTTGTTTTGTAAAGAAAGTTCTTGTCATTTTTTGTTATGTAAAGAAATTTCTTGTTATTTTGAGCATTGTAAACAACGTTTTTGCCATTATTTGTTTTGTAAAGAAAGTCTTTGCCATTTCTTTTTCTGTAATCAAATTTCTTACCATTTTTGGTTTTGTAAAAAAAGTTATTGCCATTAGTATTAAAAACTAGCCATTTTATAGTTCTGCAGGCTGCGGATGACAATTTATACGATAAAAAGTGCCCATAAAATCATCACCCGCGACAGCTTGTGCCATTTCCAACAAATACACCCTGAGGCAACACAGATCACAATAACCGCTAAAAAAATCATTTTTAAATACAAAATTTTTTTTTCACGTTCCCACATTCTCAATCACAACATCTCCTCAAACAAGCCATATAACACCCTATAATAGTCATATCCTTCAAAGCTGCTCAGCCTTCCTCTCCAGTCGCTCCTTTTCCTCTTTAAACCGCAAATACTGGTCGATGAAATCCGGGAATTCGTCGATGATTTGTCGCATTTCTTCGCCAAATTGGAGCAGCTGAGGTGAATACCATTCCGATTTTCGGCGTTCAAAAGTCTTCAGAAATTCACAATCTTTAACGTCGATTTCCGTTGGGTATAGGGCGTAGATCAGCAGCCAGTACAACATAACTAAGCCATGTGGAGGACCGGAGGGCTCGATTTCTGTTAGGGGGCAGTTGGGGAATATCTGAAAATGAACGTTTTTAATTTTGAAAAATAAAGTTTTATCGTTTTGTAAAGAAAGTTCTTGCCGCTTTTAATTTTGTAAGGAAAATCCTTGCCATTTTTTGTTTGTAAAGGAAGTGTTATTGCCATTTTTTGTTTTGTAAAGAAAGTTCTTGCTATTTTTCAGCTTGTAAAAAAAGTAGTTTCCATTTGTTTTTTTCAGAATTTTTAAAAATTTAAATAAATAAAATCGACCGGTAGATAAATTATTTTTTAATAAATTACCCTTAGGAGCCATTTTTTACATTTGGTAAATTAAAAATACCACTTTTTTGCTTGAAAACCGAAAAAAAAATCGTCTTAGGTCCTACAAAGATTCGAACTCGGGTCGCTGGATTCAAAGTCCTGAGTGCTAACCTCAAATTGCAGTTCAAAACCAAATTTTGGCTAAAAGTGATATAACTGATCACTATAATTCTTAAAAATCATTTTTCGATACCCATACAATATGTTTAGTCATTCCGTCAAAATTTTAAAAATTTTGAAATTTGAAAAAAAGTTTGGAAATTGAAAAGACTTGCATAATAACATGTTTTTTTAGTCCATGAAAATTATATTTGAACCGTTTTTGGTCAAAAAATATAAGACTTTGGTCGAAAAATGCAAGTCGCAACGAGCAGGGTTCGAACCTGCGCGGACAAAGCCCAATGGATTTCAAGTCTATCTCCTTAACCACAGATCGCTGCACGGTGCGAAACTGTTTTTCATATCCATAACAAAGAGTTATTGATATGAAAAACTTATTTTCTTCACCATAAAGTGCATATTAATCACTATTTTTTCAAAATTTCAAAGATTTCAAAAATTTTTTAAAAATTAAAAATTTTGAAAAGTGACAAAATATATCGTAGAGATACAAAAAATATCAAAAATGACGTTTTTTTGAACCAGAGTGATCATAAACATTACATTTATCCTCTAGTTGCTTTTCAAATGCACTTTGAAACGAACAGAGGAACGTCGGTTCCATGGTGTAGCGGTTAGCACTCAGGACTTTGAATCCTGCGACCCGAGTTCGAATCTCGGTGGGACCTAAGCCTCTATTTTTGGTTTTTCATGCAAAAACTAGCATTTTTGATACTTTAAACTTAAAATTATAGTTTTGTAAAAGTATTTTAACACAAAAAAATTTATCGACCAGTCAATTTTATTTTCAAAAAACGTCATAAAATCATGTTTTTATTTAAAAAATCAATTTTTTTAGGCAAAAATCACTGTTTTTTTTAAATTTTTTAAATTTTAAAAGCTTCTCCTCACCTGCAACAACTCCGCCAGGCTAGAATGGTCGTACCACATCCTTGGGAACACCACATTTTGGTTGATTTTGTTCCAAATCGCTTGCATTTGGCCTGGCAATGGATAAATGGCCGGAGGGTGACGTGTCAAATCCTTGTTGAGCTGACTCAAAAGTTCGTCCAACAAGATCTTCTCGACCTTCTTCATCTTGGTCGTCACGATAAACTCGACTCGAGGCGTGGTCCAGCCTTCCGCCATTCTGACCTCGATTACTTCGGCTAGGCCGGACTTGGAACAGGCGCTTGAATCCACGTCCGCGTAGTGATTCTCATTCATTTTCTCGTTCGCGTTTAGTTTTTTCTTCTGAAAATGACTTTTTAATGTTGGGAATGGCAAGAACTTTCTTTACAAAACAAAAAATGGCAAGAACTTCTTTACAAATGAAAAACGGTAAAACTTTTTTTTTTCAAAACTCAAAATAGCAATAACTTTCTTTACAAAACTAAAAATGGCAAGAACTTTCTTTACAAAACAAAAAAAGACAAAAACTTTCTTTCCACCTACCCAAAGTGTGTCACTGAGACTTCTGGCTCTGATTAATAAGGTACAATTGATAGAAACCAATCCCTGTAGCAGTTGTTTCTTGTCGAAAAATCGACTGTGCCTTATCCGGGCTAGGGCTTGAATACTGTCACTAAAATTTCAAAATTAATATTTTTTGAAAAATTGCAAAAACTTTCTTTACAAAATAAAAAATAGCAAGAACTTTCTTTACAAATCAAAAAATGGCAAGAACTTTCTTTACAAAACCCAAAATGGCAAGAACTTTGTTTACAAAACTCAAAACTGCAAAAACTTTCTTTCCATCAAAAAACAAAAAAATGTCGTATAAAATGTCTCCCGCAGCTCGCCAACCCGTGCCGAAGTTCAATATTTACTTACGCCGGCGTTTCCTTGATTGGCCGTCCAAACATGATGTCAGTGAAGACCAGCTTCTCATACAACTTGTAGTAGCCATTGTTTTTCCTGACATTTTCCAAAACTTCTGGCTTTACTATGAACCATTCGCTGACCCCACCGTGAGCACAGAAGATGCCGTTGGCTCCACTATGAGGGATCAGCTTCACTGCCCATGACATTTCATTGAAGGCCAAGTGGAAGATCTCCAATAGGTTTTTGCCAATTTTGTTGCACTGAAAATGGCAAGAACTTTCTTTACAGAACAAAAAATGACAAGAACTTTGTTTACAAAATAAAAAATGGCAAGAACTTTCTTTACAGAACAAAAAATGACAAGAACTTTGTTTACAAAACAAAAATTGGCAAGAACTTTCTTTACAAAGCATAAAATAACAAAAACTTTCTTTACAAAACAAAAAATGACAAAACCTAACTCACCTCTTCTCTGAATATTCTGCACTCAAAGTTGTAGTACTCGTACATTCCTCTGACCATGAAAATATGTTTTGGAAATGCTATCTTGTACAAGAATAACAGTATCAGTACGTCAATTCCATGCCTGCCATACTCAATATAGCCCCCAATAAAGACGTGGACACTTTGCGGCGGAGGATTGTTCAGCTCAAACCATCTTAGCATCTGACTCGGCCGACCATGCAGATTACCAGCGATATAAACTGGTGCATTTGTGGGTATTGGTACTTCGATTAGTACCGGCTCTTCGGCGAAGATCGCTGCTGCGTGGAATATTACCTTAAACATGTTATATAGTGTTTTCATTGCAACTAAAAGAAAGTTAAATAACGTATTTTACAAAATTAAAACAAACAATATACAGTTCATCGTATAACTTGTCTATTGTAGCCTGCAGACCTCAAAAGTATGTCTTTTTGAATAAAATCGAATTTGCATTTTAAAAAATTGAAAAACTGACTAAAATGTTCTTTAAAACCACATAAAAATCTAACTTTACCGACCTTTCATACCTCAACCCTCAAACCAATATTACCCATCAAGTACAATATCGAACTCACCCTAGCCAACAAGTTTTTGTCAATGAACTTTAGCAGACTCTTCTTCCGTCGACCTTTTATGTAACTTGATAATCCTTCCAGGCTTTCCAGGACCTCAATACGACTCAACGGGAATAGGTTTAAGCGATCAAACTTTACCACCATTTGACAGCCGGTTTATAAGCGAGTTGGTAGAAGAAATACGATTGAGATTTAAAATTTTTTGATTGTGAACTTTTTGAGAGCATTTTATTCAAATTTTGACAAGTTTATTTTGAACTCTTTTTGATGTTTTTGACCGTTTTTGAAGAGAACAAGGGTTTACGCGCGAAAATTTCTGTTTGAATTTTATTTTTTCTTCTTTCGGCGAAAAATCCTTGAAGATAAGGTCTTTTCGATCCAAAAGCAATATAATAAGCCTTTTACAGAGAATAAAAGAATAATTCTACAATTTACAAACCATGGCGATTGGAGATCCAACATCATTCGGACAAATCAATCAAGATTCATCAGATTCTCGGCCAGATTTCTTCAAAACTCAAGCTACAAAGAAGAGATTGGTCAATATAGACGCTTCCAAATACGAATATCTAAAGGATCTTGGTGAAGGTAAGGTGTTTTTGTAATTTTTTTTGGTTTTTAGGCAGTTGAAGCAATTTGAAAAAGGCTTTTTGGATAAGAAGGCAGTTGTGGGTAGTATAACATAAATTTTTTGATGATACCTATGGAAATCTTGATGTTTGAATATGATATGATGCTAGAAAGTTAGAAAAGATTTTAAAGGAAGATTTGAGTACATGTATGATATGTTTTAAAGATTTTTTATTGAAGAAACTTTTAAATACCTTGTTGTAGATATAATAGTTGGGCTTTTGGTTGTTTCTGGCCTGTTTGATAACGCTTGGGGCTTTTATCTTTCTTAAAATTATTGACAAGACCATAGAGCACATTTTGAGAGCTGTGGTGTTTAATTTCAGGCGAATTTGGTGTGGTAAAGCTGAAAGTAAACGTAGATGACCCAAATCAGCTGGTCGCAGTCAAAACGATACATTCTGATGCAAGACCTCGAGGTTTGAGACAAATTGCTTTAGAATTGACGACATTAGTGATGGTTAGAGGTCACGCGAATGTTGTGGAACTTCTCGGCCGACATGGAATGATTGGCGAGCCGAAATACGACTTCTACATGGAATATTGTGATGGCGGAGAGCTTTTTGATCGAATTGGTAAGTTTTTGAAGTAGAAATACTGTTTTTAATGTTTGGAATGTTTAGGGGTCGTAAACGAATGTTTTACTTGCAGATCCGGACACTGGGATGGAAATAGAATGGGCCAGGTTCTACTTCATCCAGCTGTTCGAAGCTTTGGACTACATTCATTCAAAGGGCATTTGCCATCGTGATATCAAGCCTGAAAATATATTGCTTACATCAAATGGTATGCTTTTAAACTGGTTTTGCTATTTTTGAAACTAAATTTGGATTAACATACTAGAAATTGAATTTACAGCTATACTCATATTACACTTGGTCTTAGCTGGAACTTTTTGTCAGAACTTGGTCAATATTTTGTTGATTTGGTTAATTTTAGGCTTAAATGAAAGAAAAATGAATGTTTTTAGATATTGTAAAGCTGAGTGATTTTGGAATGGCAACCATGTTCAGAAATGGCCAAGAAAGGAAGTATCTCACTCAAGCTTGTGGTACCCCACAATATGCAGCTCCAGAGGTGTGGAATGACAGAAAATATTAGTAAGGCTAACGTTTTAGATGAAGAAGATAATGTATGACATTATGCTTTAATTTGGCACTATTGTGTTAGCTACGAAAGGTTTTATGATTAATTTTGTATATTGCACTAGGCAAAAATTGTGGTTTTTGGTCGAAATTGTTGGTTTTCATGGTTTAATCGTTGTTTTTATGGACTCTAAAGACCAAAACTTAAAACCTTGGGTTTTCTGTATTTAAAAACAATTAAAAAGTTTAATTTTCAGCTATTTTTGAGCTAAAAAATGATGTTTTTTGTCCTAAAACTGTGGTTTTAGTGGAGATATGGCGGATATCTGGTCAACAGGGGTTACATTGCTAGTTTGTCTTACTGGAATTATGCCGTGGGAGCATCCATCAGCTGATAACGAACTGTACGAAGCTTTTCTCAACAAAAAGGATGTCACTTTACAACCTTTTTGTCGACTTGACATTGAGACTGTTGGTAAGGATAATATATTTTTTTCGAAAAAAAATTTTTTTTTGATTAAAAATCAAATTTTGAACTAAAAATACTTGATTTTAGGCTTTTTACAAATGGTAATCAACAAAGACTTCAAAGAACGAGCCAATTTGAATAGGATTAGAGACCATCGGTGGCTACGTCAAGATGCTGTCCGAGTATCACCAACGCCGCAGGTTGATAACGAGGAAATGGCAACGGCTACTCAACCAATAGCTGGTAGACAGAGCATGTATGATCAAACATTGTCGCAACTTCAAAAGGCTCTGTGAGTTTTTGGGAGATTTAAAAATTGAACTTAGAAAATGAAAAAATGTTTGAAAATTTGTTTTTACTATGCTCTAAGGTACCAGTTTTGATGAATTTAAAAAAATCTTAAATTTAAAAATAATTTTCAAAAATTGAAATTATTTTAAAAATTTTGTTTTTTACTTTAAGGACTTAGTTTTGATTTTTTATCAATTTCAGTGAAACAGAACGGCCAAAATACGCATTTTCACAGTCATTGGAAAACGAACTTTTACTGTTCTCCCAAACTCTTGGCGCTTCACAGGCTTCTGTATTCGTAAGTTTGTGTAAAGTACGATGAACTATCTAACTAAGTCTAAATTTGCATTTTTTTACTCAAAAACGCTTAGTTTTAACGTTTTTCCGCCGTTTTTTAAACATTGCAAGACGTTTTTAGCAATTTAACTCATTTCAGCACCCACTTCACAGTTTTGCCCGTCGAATCACACGATTTGCGGTCGAGGAATCTATGGACGATTTGGTGTGTCACATTGAAGAAGCCTGCATTGCCTTAGGATACTCGACGAAAGTACAACAACCCCATCAGATCCTAGTGGAAACGACTTATTGTAGAAGAACGGTGAATTTTGTGATCCATATCTACGAGGTTCATGGTGGAAAACTCATGGTTGATGTTAGGAGGTGGGTTTTATCATATTTTTTGAAATTTCGAACGTTTTGACAATGTGTGTTCTTGTGGTATAGTGGCAGTGGGTTGGGGGTTGAGGATTGGGACGGAGGTTCGATTCCGGTTGGAGGAAACGGCGTTTTTTTTGACATTTTTGGAGGACATTAAAGGTTATTTGATGTTGAATAAGGTTTAAAAAAGTTTTACGTGTACTAAAAATGTTATTTTGGTTGGTAACATTAGCTGGTTTTTGAAAAAATGGCAAAAAAAGTCTAATTTAAAAAAAATTTTTTACGATTTTGCCTCAAAACCTATCGAAGTATGCCATTTTCAGATCAAAAGGACATGGCATTGACTTTAAGAATGTGTACAAAGCCTTCAGAAAAGAGATTGACCCATACGTGTCAACGGAATCGGATACATGGCTAAAAGAACTAGGCCTCTTCCCAAATACTCAAGAACTACTGGATGCCATGACACAACAAAAGTCTGCTGAAACTTAAGTTTTGGTCTAAAATGATGTTGTTGAGTGTAGTCTAAAGCAAGGGTTATGTAGAAAAGTGATTTTATGGTCTTGAAGATTAGTTTTATATTATAGTAGGAGTCTTTGGATGAGTTTTTATATTATACTTGGCCTAGATGGGCGGCATTGATTAATTTTTTGAAGTTTTTGTAGAATATCATGGATAATATGACATATATACTTGATGAATATTAATTTTTGTAAATAAAAATCTTTAAACTGTGAAAAAAAATTGAAAATATGATTTTGAAATTTAAAAAAATAAAAAAAATTTTTTAGAAATTTTTAAAATTTTTGAAGGCTACAGAAAAGCCATAAAATGGCAAATAATGTTAAAACTCAGCTAAATAGTCTTAAAAATGTACTCCAGAAGGAAGTAGACATTAATATAGCGTGCTAAACACAGATTTAGAGATGATTTACTCGGTTGTTCAAATAATTCTGCGCTCCTTCTTAAAGCAATTTTTTCGTGTTAGGGGGCGCCGAATTAATTGAACAACCAAATGGAATAGTTAATAACCTTTCCAAAGCCTTGAAAGCATAATTGATTGCGGCTCTGGGGGGGTGGATCCACCCCCCCCCCTCTACCCCCTCCCCCTTTAGCGACGCCTTTGATTGAGACGTTTTAAAGCTTAATTAACTAGGTTTATGTTAATGTTTTTCTAGATTCTTCTGGATATATTGAGCTGGTATTAGCTACAATAATATTAAATTCAGAGCTTAAAAAGAGCTTTTTTGAATTTTAAATTGGATTTAAAAGGTTTTTTTTTGAAATTTTGAAGCGATTTTAGTCGCTTTTTCTAATTATTTAGAAACAAAACTTGCTTATTATCTTCATATTTTTGAAGTCTAAAGGGCATTATTTGCTTTTTTAACTGTTTTTAATACTTAAAAGAGCATTACTTGCTACTACTATTCTTATTGAACTACTATTTGTTACTATTTTTCTATAATTCATTGTCTTTTGAACATATTGACCGCTTTTTGATATTTAAAACTGTCATAAAAGATGACAACCACCTATACTAGATCTGATGTAGCAAAACATAACAAAGAAGACGATTTATGGCTGATTTACAATGGAAAGGTAACGTTATTTTAATGTTTTTCGATTTCAGTTTCTTTTTTAAATTATTTTAGAAGTTTCTAATGGTCGAAAAATGATTGACATATTGTTTCAGGTTTATAACATGACTTCTTACTATAGTCAACATCCTGGCGGAGATGCTATGTTACATAAGGCTGGAAAGGTAAGGTGGTTTCATTGAGATTTTTTACTACTTCTACCTTACCCCTGTTACCTACCCCTACTCCTACCCCTACCCCTACTCCTATTCCTACCCCTATCCCTACCTTTCTTACTATAAGCCCTTGCTTTTACTCCTACTGCTGCCTCTACCGAGTTGTATACCTTTCTCTACCTTTGCCTCTATTCGTACCCCTGTTTCTAACACTAGTCATACTCCTACCCTTAAGTTTAATTTTCCCTACTTCTACCGCTACTGTTACTCCTACCCAAGCTTCTACCTTTACTTCTACCCTCTAATTCTATTCTTATTTTTCTTTCTATCTGGTCTTTTTTTACCGCTATCTCTACCAATATTCTTACTCCATGATATTTTCATCCTTACTTCTACCCCCTAAGAAAAAACTTATAGGTAGTACAAAGACAAGTTTTACTTATATTTTTCTCACTTTTATAATATTACAGGAGCTCCATTTTCAATTTCAGGACGTTTCATTGGTCCTGGATTCAGTCGCCGGCCATGGGTTTGCATTAACCTTCATTCACAAGAAACTGAAGGAACTTTACATTGGAGAATTGGCTTGATTTTTTATTTGAATCGATTGTAAATTTATTATTTATAACATAAATGTTGTACACTTAACCTGTTTATGTTAATGTACAATATAACTATAGTACATTTAACCTATTTATGTCATAAATGTTGTAAATTTAATAACTTCATGACATGCTTACTATGACTTTGTTGGGCTGACAAGGCACTTGATTTCGCTTGTTTACCTTGTTCAAATCAAGGAAATGCTAGCGCTGAATGATATTAAATTCCAATTATAATGAAAAATAAACATAAATAAAAACGAAAAAAGCCTTTGATGTGAATGGACATGAACTTGAAATCAAGGCTTATATTACCTATTTATCAAGGGTTAATGAAAAAAGATATGTGAATTGACGTAAAGCACGGTAAATGGGATAAAACGCTGCTCCTTAAGCCTAAAGAAACGTTGAAGATCTATTTTTCGAAAATTTTAAATATTTTTGAAATAAAAAAGTCTTAGGTTAGTTTAAAAAACATACGTAGATGTTGTAGTTCTAACGGATGACTCAGTTTACTGTGTATCCCATGTTTCCGTTCGTTTGGTGGGAAACGAACCCACTTCTCAACAATTAATTACGTTTCCAAGTCCAGTTTCAGCATGCATTGTGCTGGATCTTATCGTATAGGGGGTTTATGATCGCTTGTGCTCATTTGTATTCTAATAGGTTGTTTAGGTATTGTCAATTTTACAGTTTGTCGCTAATGGGACACTGTAAGGTTGAGCGTGTTTATAAAGTGCTGGAGAGAAGGGTAAGGATAAGGGCATGGGTAGGGAGTACAGATAGAGTTGAGCGTAATGGAAGGCGTAGAGGTATAGATAGAAGTAAAAGTATAAATAGGAGTATGGTCAGATACAGGAGTAAGGGTAGGGGTAGATTTAAGTTTAAGGAAAGGGCAGGGGTAGAGTAAGACTGGGCGTATGATTTTGGCTATGAGAAGAGGGATTTTTAAAATTTAGCGGGCGGTGCGGGTAATAATAAATTTTTGCAAGTAAATTACTGTAACAGTAAACAAAGACTTGAGTCATAATATAGTACACTGTTTGGGAATTTTGATAATTATTTAGTTATGTTAATCGTAGACAGTATTATTTGTACCTTCTCATTCACATTATTATAATACGTGTTGACGTAAAGTCACAGTATTAAAAATTTTTTAAAAATAAAGCGTTTAAAGTTTTGGTGCTCATTCTGTAACGAGGGTTTTTACCGTGGTATTACGGTAACTCTTACTATCTTTGTAGAGGGCGTTTTTACCGTGGTATCGGGTTTACTTGAGGTTTTATGCTTTTTTATTTTTGAATTTTTAAAATTTTGTAAAATTTTTTGGTTTTTAGGTATGACATTGAAGAAGACACCAATTGATATTGAAACGACCGGTAACATTGTAAGTATTAGGTACTATTTTTTGAAGTTTTTAGTATTTACAGCATTTTATAGTATGATCATACTATCTAATACCATATTTTTTCAAATATATATACTACCGTACTATCCAGTATTACATTTTTGAAGCATGAGCTATTATTGTAAAATACAGTATCAAATTTTTAAATATTAAGTACCACAGTACTATCTAGTACCAAACATAAATAATAATAGTGTACCACTGTTTTAGGTCTGCTTCAAACTTCCAACTACGACAGAAGTTCTAGAACAATCAAGGCAGCAAGATGAAGAAACACCACGCCTAAATGGGCTGGTTGGCAAATTAGCAGCCGAATTTTTAGGAACCTGCCTTTTCGTCTTCGTAGGATCACTATCAGGTCTAGGTACAAACAAAACAAATGGCATCATGCATGCTGCTGTAGCACATGGATTCACAATTTTTGTACTTGCTAGCAGCTTTGGTGGCGTCAGGTACGATTTAATTTCAAAAAATGTGGAAGGGGTAAAACAAATTTTGGGTGTGGTAAAAAAATTATATTTTTTTGGGGGGAGGGGAATGTATGGTAAAAATATTTTTTGTTTGCTAATTATTTTGCCGAACTCAGGTACGTTAAACTGCAAAAAAAATTTGGGCGTGGTAAAAAAAATTTAGGGGTGCATAATTTTTTTTAATTTTAAAAGATGATTGAAGTTTAAGCAATATTAAATTGTTTTATGCTTCAAAATGAAAAAATTTTGGTTTTTATAAGGTTCACTTTACAGTGGAGGCCATTTCAATCCAGCAGTGTCATTATCTGTTTGTATGGCTGGGAAGCTGGATGCCCTGTTGTTAATGCCATATGTGATAGCACAGCTACTGGGAGGATGTGTTGGTGCATTATTAGTTGTTGTAAGTGAATTCAACCAATGAGATTTCGGAACTTTGGAAAAAAATTTTTTTTGAGAAATCGACCGGTCGATAACCATTTGGTGAAAAAAATGGTCAAAAAGCTATGACGACATTTTTAGCCTTCTAAGGGGTCGTTAACGCATTATTTTTTAAAAAGTAGCTTTTTGAGAAACCGACCGGTCGATAATTTTAAGCTATGCTTGATCACAAACTTTCTGACTGAAACATAAAGAACTGCCATTTTAAAACAATATAAAGGCCAATACCAACCACAAAAACAAATTTTAGGTAGTAACAACCGAAGAACAGTACCATAATATCCTAGGTGGTGCTACTATGCCGGGCGGTAACTTATGGTACCAAAATGTCATAGTAGAAACAATGTTGACTATAGCTCTGTGTAATACGGTTATCATGTGTGCTGCTGATACTGATACGAATATGTTGGCTCCATTATGTATAGGATTTACTGTGGCATTGGATATTGTTGCGGCGTAGGTTTAGGCGGGAAAAATGTTTTTTTCAAGGTTATTGGTGGTGTTTCGTATTTTACATTACTTTTTTAGTTTTTTTTAACTTCTTAGAACTTGCGTTACCCCTACCATACGCTATCCATGCCTCTGGATCTATCGCACACCCTTACCCCTACCCGTACCCATCTTATATGCATCTTATTCTCTCTACCGCCCTTACTGTAGTAAAAAACTTTTAGAGGCTCAATAACTGGTGCCAGTATGAATCCAGCCCGCTCGCTAGGCCCTGGCTTGGTGGCTACGATATTTTTGCCTTCAAAAGATACGAAAGAAATATGGCAAGAACACTACATTTACTGGGCTGGTCCCATTATTGGTGCGACACTGGCCGCCTTCTTTTATCGATGCTTCTTTGCTAGTGATAAGAGATTGGTCGAATAAATGAAATTTTATTTTTTATTGAAATTTCATCAATCCTAGGATTACGAGGATCATTGGGACAAAATAAATTTTAAAAATGAATTTTTGGTCGAAGCCGAAAGCAAAAGGAAGCGCTTGCAGCTGCAAATTTACCAGAGGGGGCTAGAAGTCAAAGCTCTAAAATGAGTGGGGTTTGTTGCATTGCTTAACAGGAAATAGCGGATCTGACGCTAAAAAATAGGACACGATTTGCGTGGGACATGAACAGTGATTAAATTAGACTTCAATATTGTTTAAGGTGGTATTTATTCTTACCTTTACTGTTACCTCTTTCTCTTACTTAGACCTGGCAATCAAGCCAGGTCGGTCCGCGTTAGGTCAGGCCGGTCTTAAGCAAAACTCAGGCGAGTTATGCCGAGGAGATGAAACGGGCTGCGCTGCGCTGAAAAATTAGCCCGCTCCGACTTTTACCTCTACCACTACCAGGGCCGGGCGCGGGGGGGACGGGGGGGTTACTTGTACCCCCCCCAGAAAAAAAATTTTTCGAAAAAAAATTTGAACGTGGTCCCCCCCCCCTGTGGATTTTTTTGGACCCCCGCCCCCAGACCAAAAGTCCCCGCCCGGCCCTGACCACTACCTTTACTTCTATTCTTATCCTTACCTTTACTATTCTTACTTTTGCCCTTGCCTTTACTTTTACCCCTACCCTTAATTCTACTCATACTTTTACTTATACTTTTGCACTTACTTCTACTTCTACCCTGCCTATGTCCACATTCCGTTCCCCTACCTATATCGTGGGTTTACTTTTACGTTTATACTTACTTCTGCCTATGTTGTTATATTTACTTGTACTTCTATTTCTACCTTTATATCTATCTTCACTTCTACTTTTATATCTACCTTGGCTTTTGCTACTACTCGTATATCTACCTTTGTTTTTATCTCTACGTTATCTTACACTTAAACTTGTTCCTATCTTATAATTGGCATGTCCTTACCACTCTTTTATCGTAGCTGACTGCACTCCAGCCTAAACATTGTTTTACAGTAGTTTACTCTAGAACTATCGTCAAGCCATTGACATTGAAAAAACAAATGCCAATCCTAACAACCAACAAATTTAACTATACCATCTCTAACAATCACTAAATCCAACCCCAACAACACTTGAAAATCGCCAGTTACAATAAACAAGCATCTTCTCTCTTCAGTTTCCTCGTTTTGCCTTCGGAACGGCGACAGTGTCAAAAGACAGATAGACATTTGGGCTTGAACAATCTCGTGCGGGACTCCAAAATCCGGCTTTGGGCTCCAAAACTTCCGAAACCCGTCGATTTTCGGGCGCGAAAAACAAACTTTCTTCTGGAGGGTTTAAATCAACTTTAATGCGTGCAAATTAAATAGGGTTGAGCTGAATTTACTGTGTGATCTTGGGATGAGTTGAAGACAATATTATACTTTATTTTGGTCTTGGGTCGAAGCTAGTTGTTGAGCTTTTGGACTGTGTGGGAGGGAGAAAAGATTAGTAATGATGATATAAACATATAATTAAATTTTTAAATTTGATTATTTTGTACATAGAGGGAATTATTATGAGGTGGGAAATCGAATTATGTATTGGCAAAGCCGGATGGGGTGAAAAAAACTTTTTTTTGCGCAAAGGAGGGTTAGAAATGGTTTTTTAATTTTTTGAAAGAACAGGTTGAGTCTTGGGCAAGATTTTTTGTCGAGTCTCATATCAACTACTTCTTCAGCTCTAGCACTGTTACACCCTTAGAACCCAAGCTCTAGCTTGGCTTTAATCCTAGCTCTAGCCCTTGCTCTACGTCTACTCCCATCCTAGCCTTATACGTTTACAATCATTTTGTCACCTTAACACCCTCTCCCGGTTCATACGCATATCCTAGCAATACCATACCTTATCCCTACGTCTACATTTACTTCTACCCCTACGTCTACTCTTCTACCCAACCTTACCCTACAATACGCCATTCTGTCTTATTTTATCTTACTTTACTCTACCTTTCTTCTATTTGTATCCGTCTCACTCTATTTCTTATTCTATTCTTCTTAGCGATCCTATTAGATTTTTTTTAAATTGCAATATTTTTTAAAATTTTATTATGCTGATTTATAACTTTTGTCACAATTTCTTGGTATGAACATCTTGAGAGTTCACGCACGCTGCGTCTTTCACATTTTATGTTTGGAAATCTTACACGAACTGTCACATATTTCTCAACATTTCTGACTTTCCAAAAATACCCATGCCTTTAAAAATTTCGAACCGGAACGAAATTTATAAAACTTGTCAAACTTAATTTTCGCGAAATTTCAAAAAATTTTAAAGAATTTGGGATTCTTCATTATGACGATGCGGATATTAAGATAATACGAGAGCTTGTTCCTGATATTCGCTGGGCCGGCGGCCTCAGGGGACCGGCTTCGGGGATTTTTTTCATGACGTTCCAACGACGTGATCCCTTCGTAGGGGAGGAAAACCGAAACGTTTTTCGTTTTCGACTTTTCGATATTCTTCTCGGGGCCTGTTATACGCTTGCTTTTTATGTTTGAGGAATGTTAATCGGGTTTGGGGGGAGGGGGTTGCGGGCAGGGTTGGGAGGGTGAATTTGGATTTTGTAGGGCATGATAGGGTAAGGTTGTGTAGGAGACGGTAGTTTAAAGCTTAGTTTTTTGGGCAGGGCAAGTGAATGTAGAGTAGAGTAGGGTAGGGTAAGGTAGTGCGGGGCGCGGTAGAGTAGGACTAGGTTGCTTAGGATAGTATGAGGTAGTGGGGTAGCGTAAGGCAGAAAAGGGTAGGGTGGAATACGGTAGGGTATGGTAGGGTAGGATAGGATATGGTAGGGTAGGGTTGCTTGCTCTCGCTCTTTAGTGTGTTCGAACTATCTTAGGGTTTCCTTAGCCCTACTGAAGCACCTACTTTAGTTTTGGGTTATCCAAAGCTCTCTCTAAAGCTCTACTTCTCTGCTTACCCTATCATTACTCTAGTCTTTACCTTATCGTTATATCAATCCGAGTTTGGCATTATCTTAGCTTTACTTTAGCTTCTTTCTAGCTTTTACTTTAGCCAGTATTCTAGCTACCTTCACTTTGTTTTGGCCTTATTTTTAGCTTTATAATGTTTTTTTTGTGTTTGGAACATTATCCTAGTTGTACCATGAGCCTATTATATTTATCCCTGGCCTTATTCTAGCCTTGCTTTGTCTTAGCTTTGGTCTTAGCCGAGCCTTACTCTCCTCTTTGACAGTATGGTTGTTCCCAAAAGAATGGTCAAATATAGAGTAGGGTAGGGTCAGATATAGAGTAGGGTTGACAAATGAAGTTTAGAAAGTTGCCCTATGTTAAAACTGTAATACCTTACTTCAACACTATTTTGTCCTAACACTAGCCTATTCTTAACCTAGCCTACTACTTTATTAGCGTTTTTTCTAAAGAAAAATAGGTGGGTTGGTTAAACAATTTTTTTTGAGCGGGTTGTGAATTTTATTTTTTTAATTAAATTTTTATATATTTTTCAAATTTTCGCACCCCCACATATTTTTCTCGTATTTTACACAAATTCCATAGTTGCAAAACCGCGATTGTTGACCTTTTGCGTGGGTGCCTGAGGGAATCGCGGGCAATATTTTTGATGTCATTTCAAAACCTTCTTTTGTCTGACGCCATTAAAAGATTATTTAAATTTCGTTTGTCTGAAACTTGAAACAGTTTTGGATTCTGAAGATAGTGTTTGGTACACTTTTTTGCTGTTTTATATTGTAGTAGGTGTCATGTTATGTTGTAGTAGGTACTAATGTTAATATTGACGTGACTTACTTATGTTTTTTTGAATTTCTTTATATTGTTGTAGGTAGTACGTTATATTGTAGTAGGTATCTTCGCTAAAATTTACATTACTTATGTTTTTTTGAATTTTTTTATATAAGTTTTACGTTATATTGTGGTAGGTATGACGGTTAATATTAGGTGCCGACATAAAGACCCCGCCATACTTTTCCTGTAATTTCCTGTAAAAAATGGAGGGTTCTTTATGTCGGCACCTAATATTTACACATTTATGTTTTTTAAAATTTTTTTTATATTGTAGTAGGTATCAAGGTTTATATCGACAAAACTTTTTTGCATTTTACATTAACGATTTTTTTTATTTTAAAGTTAAAATTTGCTTTAAATTTTTAGCTAAAATGGGAAACAGCGGGTCTGCGAATGGTCATTTTATCAAACGCGACGAATCGTTCGGGTCGCCACGACCCAAACATACTATTGATGTAAGTGGTTTATTCTTCATATTTATTATTACGGTGTGTCCAAGCGTATTTTACAAAAAAATTTTCAAAAAATGTGTTTTTCTGACTTAATTCTAGACTTTTTGTTTAGTTTGTCTGGGAAGTCGAAAAAAGTGTTTGAAACACAATGCCAAATTTCTCAAGTTGGCGCGAAATTCAAATATTGAAAATTTAAAACTTGACAACGCGAGCTAAAATTTTTTGTGGGTACTACTGGTGGTACAAAGAACTCATATAAAAATTTTGAGCTGATTCTGAACGGGGCAGGTTGGGTACTTTCTTTATAAGCTGGGCTCTGGGGCCTTGGGTTTGGTTCGGCTTTCGGGCTCACATGTTTAGGCTCTGTCCTTTTGTAAAGCATGATAGGATAAGGTAGTGTAGGAAATTCCAAATGAAAAAGTCTTAGTAGGCCCATATCGAATCTAGTACGACCCCTTTCAAGTGCTCTAGCTCTAACTTATTATATTATAATAGCTGTACTTTATGTCTCCCTTAGCTTTGCCTTAGCCTAAGCATGGTTTTACTCACATCAGGTGCCAACATAAAGAACCCGATATACTTTTACTGTAATTTTTTGTAAAAAATGGCGGGTTTTTTATTTCGGCACCTAATATTTTAGTCATTTTTTAACTCTCCCTTAGTATGACTGCTGTTTATCTTTGGCTAGCCTACCTATTTACCAGCTCTTTTAGTCTATCTTAGTATATCTGATCATAAAAGGCTTAATATTGTACCATAACCGTATTTTACCAACCTCTTTTCCCTTTTTAGATAGTCAGATCCGGAAGTGACTTCGGGAGCAATGACCGCCTGTCCAATGGTACTCACCGTAGCTTTTCATTTCACAAAAACAACCGGTCGCAGTCACTGGAACAAAGTGGGACTCATTCACCATCAAGTTCACACTCTTCTTCATCAAATTCTTATTTGGGGCATGACAAAAATTGCTTGCGGCAATCGGCACAGCCAATGTTTCAAATCAGCGGTGACTTGAATCCACAGCAAATTCATCTGGTCAAACGGACTTGGAAAACGGTCGGTTTTGGGTGTAAAATACGGGCAGGCTTTCATCATATTTTTATTTTTTAAATTTTTTTAAAAATTTTCAATATAGGAAGTTTTTAGCGTTGCGCTAAAAAACCTAAAAAATTTTAAAAAATTTTTTGTGCAGGTTGCATCTAGAAACTAAATTTTTTTTTAATTCAAAAATTTTTTGTATAGGGCGCAGGCTGCGCTTAAAAACTAATCATTTTTTTAAAATTTTTTGTATAGGGGCAGGCTGCGTTTAAAAACTAACCATTTTTTAAAAATTTTAAATTTTTTTTTATATAGGGCGCAGGCTGCGTTTAAAAACTAAAAATTTTTTGTATAGGGCGCAGGCTGCGTTTAAAAACTAAAAATTTTTTAAAAATTTTAATTTTTTTTTATATAGGGTGCAGGCTGCGTTTAAAAACTAACCATTTTTTAAAAATTTTAAATTTTTTTTTATATAGGGCGCAGGCTGCGTTTAAAAACTAACCATTTTTTAAAAATTTTAAATTTTTTTTTATATAGGGTGCAGGCTGCGTTTAAAAACTAACCATTTTTTAAAAATTTTAAAATTTTTTTTTATATAGGGCGCAGGCTGCGTTTAAAAACTAAAAATTTTTTGTATAGGGCGCAGGCTGCGTTTAAAAACTAAAAATTTTTTAAAAAATTTTAATTTTTTTTTATATAGGGTGCAGGCTGCGTTTAAAAAACTAAAAATTTTTTAAAAATTTTTTGTATAGGGCGCAGGTTGCGTTTAAAAACTAACCATTTTTTAAAAATTTTAAATTTTTTTTAAATTTTTTAAATTTGTTTGTATAGGGCACAGGCTGCGATTAAAAACTCACCATTTTTTAAAAATTTTTTTTATAAGGCGCAGGCTGCGTTTAAAAACTAATCATTTTTTAAAAATTTTAAATTTTTTTTATATAGGGCGCAGGCTGCGCTTAAAAACTAACAAATTTTTAAAAATTATATTATTGTAGATAATGAAAACCATCAACGATGATGAACAAGAAATAGCCGTCCGATTACTATTACGTATATTCCAAATTGAGCCAAGGAATGTGGCTTTATTCGGGCTACCACCAGATATACAGCCAAGTGAATTGAGACACAATGCCACGTTTTTGAGGCATGTCAAGGTAAGTCTTTAAAATTTTTTTTTGCTGACTATTTTATAGGCCTTTGAGCCAACGTTGATTCACGTGATGGCTCATCCAGGAAACGCGACAAGCTTGAGCAAATACCTTCAACAGCTGGGTGGAAGGCATGTTCAGAACACTGGAATCACCTACAAAAGCACTTATTGGAAAGTAGGTTGCCTTCCCTTGCCTTGCCTTTGCCTTGCCTTGCCTTGCCTTGCCTCACTTTGTTTTACCCTATGTTGTTTTACTCTACCCTGCTATACTTTTTTCTGCCTTCTACTTTATCTTACCTTCCCTTACCATGTCCTACCCCACAAAAAACTATATTACCCTTTCCAGACCTTCATGCAAGCCCTGGTAGACGTAGTAGACGCCGGGAAAATCTCCGCCGACGCGTACGAAGCTTTCATGGTGTTGGGCGCGTTTTGTGTTGAACAGATGAGAATTGGCTACAAGATTGAATACAAACTTCAACGTGAAGCCGAGCGAATAGCCAAGGTTCAGTTGAACAAGAGGGCACACTCGGTGCAGGGTCATCATCATCGACATAAGGCTTCTAGATGAGGAGGTTTAAACTGTTTTTTGATTTAACGGTCATTAGTATTTAATCGAAAGAAAACTCCAGTGTGTTTCATATACGGGTACTGTAATATGTTCGTGTTTAGGCAATAATGTGTTTTTTTTTCGTTTTTACTTTAGATCTAAAGTCTTTATTGTCATTTAGCTACCTATTAGGTTGTTCACATAAATCTGCGCCCCCTTACCTCACAAATTTGCTTTGAGAGAGGGCGCAGAATTAAGTGAACAACCTAATATTAGGTGCCGACATAAAGAACCCGCCGTTTTTTACAGGAAATTACAGGAAAAATATGGCGGGTTCTTTATGTCGGCACCTATTATGTATGTATAGGTATTTACAAGGAAGGTACCCGCCCTGCAACGCCCTGATTGACTTCAATCTGTTTATATAGAAAGATCATGTAAGTAAAAGGTCTTCAGCAAAGTATTAAGCCTTGTTTTCCAGGAAATCTCGAGAAAATCGAGATCAAAAAACTGCTTTTTGAATTTCCCGCCAAATTGGCATAGTGTTTCAAGCTTTTAACTTTGTTATTTTTTGATTTTTAATCATTTTTCTTTGATATACTAGTAGAAGAAGTTTATATAAACCTACATTTTTAAATTTGTAAGTGTAACTGGGATGGAAAGTCGCAAAAAGTGCTTGAAACACAATGCCAAATTTGCTAAATTGGCGGGAAATTCAAATATTTAAAGTTTAAAACTCAAGAGCGCGAGCTAAAATTTTTTATGGGTACTATTGGTGGTACGGGGAATTCATATAAAAATTTTTAGCTGTTTCTGAGCGAGGCAGGTAGGGTGCTTTTCTTGTTAGCTAGCTATTAGGTGCCGACATAAAGGACCCGCCATTTTTTACAGGAAATTACAGGCAAAATATGGCGGGTTCTTTATGTCGGCACCCAATATGTATGTATAGGTATTTAGCTATATATATATATAGGTACATTTAAGCCTTATAGGTTCTATAGCAATATTAAATTTTATTTTTAACTTCATTTTTTTCAAAATTTTAAAATTGAATTTTAGAAAGCAATAATATAATTTATGATCTCATTATTTTAATATTATGGTTTAGCTCATAAATCGGCCATTATGTTTGACAGCTGTTTATGAAAAGATATCGCATAGACCAGACCATAAGTTGTAGAGATCAAGTCATAAATTGTAGATCAAACCTCCTTTCACAACATTTTTTGTATTTAACATTAATATTGTATGTCATTTTGCCGTAGCAATACCTTGAAAATTGTAAATCTACTAACTTTGACTATGTTGAACTACTCAATAAACCAATGAACCCTGTTAATCAACATCATGTGTACATAAGCCACTTATAAAACGCATTAAACATAGATATCGGAGAGAAAAAACACACTGATAACCGGTTATCGGTTCAAAGATATTGATAAAGAAAAGTCAATTGAGATTCGTTTATTTGGTCAATGGGAGTTTTTAGGGTAGGGTAGGGTAGAGTAGGGCAGAGTAGAGTAGGGTAGGGTAGGGTAGGGTAGGGTAGGGTAGGGTAGGGTAGGGTAGGGTAGGGTAGGGTAGGGTACGGGACGGTGCGGCAAGGTAGGGTATTGTTTTGCTACACTAATTCAGTACAGACAAGTAATAAAAAAAAAGTTAGACCGGGCTAGAAAAATTTCATAAAGACCTCAATGCTAAAAAATTTTATCCCGTACCAGACATTTGCGAAATAATTAAGACTGGAACGGTCCGGCAAAACACTATACCAGGTAGGAAAAGGCTTTGGCTTATGTTAGGCTACGTTTGAGAGAAGCAAGGGGCCGGATTGGAACACGTCGGTCTGAGGGCCAGAGCTCAAACGAAAACACTAGTAGCTTAGCTTCTTTTGGGTCTTGCAACGAAAATCGTACGATACAAGATTTTTCCTGATTATTCGTTTAATGACACTATATAAGAGGTAATGCCAGGTCGAGACTAATTTAAAAAAGGTTAGATCAGGCTGATACGCGTCAGCTAATATTTTCGATTCACAGGCTAAGCCTAAAAATTGAGCCCGGCTTTTACAAGTTAATATAAATGGCGTCAACTGCAATATAATGCCTTTTTTAGCTGCAACATAAAATCGGAAAGCAAAATCAATAAAAAAGGTCGATTGCTCTTTTAGGAACTGTATATTTATTTTTATTCGTCATTTTACGATCTTTTTGTTTATTCTAAGCTCTCACAGTGAAAAAACGTTTATTAAATCAGCTGAGATTGATCGAAAAAACAAATTTGGGCCGGAAGGAAAAATAAAAATGATAAAAATTGTTTTCTTTTAAAATTTAAAGTGCAAATTGAAAATTTTTTAAAATTTTTGTTTTAATTTTTAAAGGATATGAGAGTTTTTTTGATTAGAATCTTAATCGGGCTTCTACCAACATTTTTTTTTTTGCGTTTTAAATTTTTTTTAAAGTTCAAAATTTTGTAATTTGGCATATTTTTAATTTTAGTTAACTACCAACAATCGACAGTATGGCAAATTTACTGACGGTTCTGGCGTTTTTAGTGGCATTAAAAGTACGTTTAAAAGTTTTTTGGTTTCAGACTATCAAGTTTTTGTACTATAGAGCTAGGGCTAAGACTCCGGGCCATGAATAGGGCTAGACGTGAGAAAACAGCAAAACAAAATAAAAATCAAAAAAAAATTTAGGCCTTAGTCAAAATTTTTTTTTTGTTATGGTTCCTTTGTTTATTCGTTCTTATAGGTAATACAATTAGTAAATGATCTAACAAGGAAAGTACCCTACCTGCCCCGCTCAGAATCAGCTCAAATTTTTTGTATGAATTCTTTGTACCATCAATAGTACACTTAAAAAATTTTAGCTCTCGCTTTTGAGATTTATTTCTGAATTATTTTGGTTTCCCGCTAATTTGGCAACTTTGGCATTATGTTTCAAGCACTTTTTTCGACTTTTCAGCCAACCTACACTTACAAATTTAAACATTTAGGTTTATTTAAAGGTATTCTACTAGTATATCAAAGAAAAATGCTTAAAAGACAATAAATGACAAATGTATAAGCTTGAAACACAATGTCAATTTGGCGGGAAATTTGAAACGTAATGTTTTAATCTTGATTTTCTCGAGATTTCCTAGGAAGCGCGGTTTAGTACGTTGCTGAAGGTCTTATATGTACATGATCTTTCTATAAAAATTGAAGTCAATCAGAGCAGGGCAGATCGGGTACTTTCCTTGTAAAAGACATTGCCAAGCCAAAGTTTTTCCTATTTTTGTTTTAAATTTTAAAACGGGCAAGGCTTAAGAATTTTTTAATTGAGCTGGAGCAAAAGGAGAAACTTGCCGGGCCTTAACTTTAGCCTAATGCGATCTTCATATTTAGCTAGGGCTAGTTCATAAACATAAAATTTTAATTTTAGTATTTTGGTTCAATTTGGCTTCAAATGGCATTGTTGCTGTTCAGGTTTTTCTTCCGTGAACAACATCCTTATCATTCGTGGAATTCTGCTACTCAAGAAAAGTACATAGAATACTATTTGTAAGTGTATTTCACTTGAAATAGCGTACTTTATATTTTTAACTTATATTAGTGGTAACATGTATAAGTAAATGAATAGTTTTATATTTAGTACTCAAGATTGACTTACTTGGAAGTTATGTTGACCCTTACCATGTGATACTGGAGTATTACTACTGCTAATACTAAAACTTCTTTGTTTACTGACGTATTACTACTACTACTAAAACTTCTTCCTTGTTACTACTACTACTACTACTTCTTCTATGATACTACTACGACTAATACAACTTCTTCTATAGTACTTTGACAACTTGACACGTACAAATTTTAAAGTCATATACCTCATCTATGTACATATACTGCGACTGTAATAATACTATAACTTACAATAACTCTGAACCAATAAAGTAAACGTTTTATGCTAATTCGCGTATAGTTAAAAATTTATTGAACATAACATAAAACTAGACACAATCTTTACTTAACCTTGGTATAGACCTGACATTGCTGTTTCGAATAAGATTCGTCATCTTTACAATTGAATGCACTTTTAAAGGCAGGGAAGTTCTGTAGCGTACCCAAGATACGGAACTTGGCCGGTGAATGAGGATCAGTGTGTAGCATATCATCGTCGTATTGTCTAGTTGTGCAGAATTCACGAGCAAAGGAAATGAAGAACAGTTGATCGTGAGTTAGGTCTTTGTAGTTGCCTGGTAAGCGAGGATCTTCACCACTGATCGCTACGTGGAATTTGTAGGCGTTATAGGCGGCTCGGACACCTAAAAGTTAATTTGGTAGTACTCTGACGTTCATCCACATACTATACTATATGTCCTGCCGTACCCTAGGCCTTACTCTACCTTAGGTTATACCGTATCCTCAGCTCTACCGTACCCTAGTTCTTACTCTATCTTATTTCGTAACGTATACTAAGCCCTACCGTACCCTAGGCCTTACTCTACCTTAGGTTATACCGTATCCTCAAGCCCTACCGTACCCTAGACCCCAACGTACCCTAGGCCCTACTGTACCCTAAGCCTACCGTACCCCAAGCCCTACCGTGCTTCAAGCCCTACCGTACCCTAGGCCTACCGTACCCTAAGCCCTACCGTGCCTTAAGCCCTACTGTACCCTAGACCCTACCGTCTCTAAGCCCTATTGTACCCTAAGCCCTACAGTATCCTAGGCTCTACCATATTCTAGGCCTACCCCTATGCCCTACCGTACCTTAAGCCCTACCGTACCCTAGGCTTACCGTACTTTAAGCCCTACCGTGCCTTAAGCCCTACTGTACCCTAGACCCTACCGTCTCTAAGCCCTATCGTACCCTAAGCCCTACAGTATCCTAGGCCCTACCATACCCTAATGTTACCGTACTCTATGCCCTACCGTATTTTAAGCTCTAGCGTACCTTAAGTTTTACTGTACCCTAAGCCCTACTGTACTCTACGTCTTACCTTATCCTAGACTCAACCGTACTTTAGACTTCACCGCATCCTAGACCCTACCGTATCCTAAACTCTGCTGTTCTTAAGATCTTACCGTATTTTAGGATTTACGATACTTTATGGCCTACCGTACTTTTGGTTTTATTCTGCCATAAAGCTTTACCGTATCCTACCCTACTACCTAAAATCCCTTACCTCCATTGTCAGCAATGTTCTCTCCTTGAGTGTACGCTCCTTGAATCTTGTTGCCATTAACATCAAAATCACTATACTGATCAATTACACATTTGGCCATTTTGTCGAATTCTCCTTGGCTTGGACTATCTAACCATGGCTTCAAGAATCCAACTTCATTAAACTGAACTCCACTGTTATCAAAGCCATGCACGATCTCATGCCCAACTACCATGCCAATACTACCGTACAACACTGATAGAGGGTAATTCTGATCAAAGAACGGTGGGGACAGTATACCTTCAGGGATGGTAATCGAATTAGCTGTAGGCTTGTACCAAGCGTTAGTCAGATAGGCTGGTTGACCAAAGTCGGCACGGTCTACTGCCGTTTCACCCAAGTTTTTGAGTTGTTCTTTGAGGAAACCTTGAAGAATATGGTCAGCCAAATCAAAGAAAGAGTAATCATTTGGGAGGGACAGCCATCGATACTTTACGTTCAGGTAGTTGTTGTTAAGGATTTCGGTGTTAAATCCAAAGTTCTTTTGAAGATTCTCCACCTTCTTGTACGCATTGGCTTTGGCATCGTCTGTCCAGGGAAGTTGGTTGATTTGGGCCTGGAAATGTAGGGATATTGTTATGATTGCTATAATGAGCTAAGGACTAAACAAAAAAAACACAACACAGCTAAAACTAAGCTTAGACTAGCGCTTAGGCTAGAGCTCAACTTAGAACTTAAGCTACACTTTGGGCTAGAACTTCAGTTTGCACTTAAGCCAAATCTTAAGCTAACTTTTAGTCTAAAGCTCAAACTAGAGGTAAAAATAGAAATTAAGCTAGAGCTTAGACTAGAGTCTGAGCGAGAGCTAATTGTAAGGTAAGAAATAAAGCTAAAGAAAAAGTTAGAACTTGACCTAGAGCTTACACTAGAGATCAGGCTAGAGCTTAGACTAATACAAATATTGGGCTAGCCATTAGACTAAGACTGAGACTGAGATCGGGGTAGAACTACGGCTAGAAGTTAAGTTAAAACTGAGCCTAAGACGTAGCCTATAGTTCTTGCCAGGACTAAAGATAAAACTCTTAGGCTAGATCTTAGGCGGAATGAGCTAGGGCTCTGAGCTATGGCTTTGGGTTAGGGCTCTGGGCTAGGGCTCTGAGCTAGGGCTCTGGGCTAGGGCTCTGGGCTAGGGCTCTGGGCTAGGGCTTTGTGCTAGAGCTCTGGGCTAGGGCTTTGAGCTAGGGCTCTGAGCTGTGGCTTTGGGTTAGGGCTCTGGGCTAAGGCTCTGGGTAGGACTCTGGGCTAGGGCTCTGGGCTAAGGCTTTGGGCTAAGGCTTTGGGCTAGGGCTCTAGGATAGGACTCGGGCTTCTTACCCTAAACCCATCAATGATGTTTCCAGCAACCTCTTTAACAACATCATACTTGGCGTTGCGTTCATCTTCTGTAGGTAACACAGAATCAATGAAAAACCGGTCGAACAGATCACCAAAGACTGCACCATATTGAAATAGTACTTGATTACACTGAGCTCTCAGTTTGTCATCACTGTCATCAGCAAACAATGTCATTTTGCCTAAAGGTTTTGGAGTTTTGACAATCCCAAAAGGACTGAAATCGACCGGAAAATCAATTTCAATGTCGACCGGCTTCACATCGGTAGCTACGATGAGATTGGTGGGTTGTACCGTCGGAGTCATTGTAATTCGAAAAGCATTTTTGCGAATAAACTTCAAAAAGATGTAGTTGTAGATTGTTCGACCGTCAAGGGTGGCTAAATGTTGAGCTAGTCTCGTTAGTCCATCTTGATTCATAATGGCGATCTTGTACGTGTTTGATAGGACCTTGTTTTTGATCGCTTGGTCTTGGTCTGATAAGAGATTGGTGAGGTAGTAACGGATGTCAAACAGTCCTATGGCTATGGAGGCATCGTCGATTGTTGAGAAAGTGAATTTTCTGGAAAAAGCATGTTAAAGTAAGGGAACATATGTTATATTAGTGTAAAGTGACGTTGTAGTACTGCCTTGCCTTGCCTTGCCTTGCCTTGCCTTGCCTTGCCTTGCCTTGCCTTGCCTTGCCTTGCCTTGCCTTGCCTTGCCTTGCCTTGCCTTGCCTTGCCTTGCCTTGCCTTGCCTTGCCTTGCCTTGCCTTGCCTTGCCTTGCCTTGCCTTGCCTTGCCTTGCCTTGCCTTGCCCTTCCTTGCCTTGGCATTCGTTTTGAGTGGTTCTAACTTACAATATAGCCCAAGCTCAAACCTAAGCTTTAGCCCGAGCTCTGGCCGACAAACTCTAACCTTAGATTCTAGTTTTAGCCTAGACTTAAGCCTATGCCAATAACTTCTAAGCTACTTTTCAAGCATTGTTAAAACCTACTCATTAAAAGTCTTCTGATCAGTCTGATCATACAACACATTACTAGCAATCCATTTTTCCAATTCCCATATCTTCTCAATGTCTTCAGCCAACTTGTCTTCTTTTAGCTGATCTCTAACACCTTTTAGCACAGCCATCTTTTTAGCATAAGCTGTGAATGCGTCAGTCAAAGCACTTTTGACAACACTTTCTTTAGTATCAAAATTGTACTTGGTACTATACAAGCTTGGCTCCGAGAAGCCGACGGTGACCTTTTGCTGATTCATATCGTCAGTCAAAATTGGAAATATACCACTTGGTGCAAACACATTAGCACCACGTTTGGCCAAGTACAACATAGCTTTAGCCAGCTGTTCGGCTGATGGTTTGGCTGGAGCAGCATTTTCGTCTAGTATTGGGAATGGCAGTCCAAGCTCAGTGACAAGAGCATCGTACATTGGTACAAACTTGGTACCATCAATGTCTTTTTTAGTACTATCTTGGTCTTTTTGGGATTTGACGCATCGTTCTCGAATACCACGCAGCTTATGTTCAGCTTCGTATGTTGGTGCATTGTCAAAGGCTTTCAGAAGAACTAGTTGGTTCTTCATCATCAGTTTGGAGAATGTATCACTTTCGTAGTTGTCGCACACGTACTCGTAGAAGTTGGTACAAGGTTTTTGTTTCAAGTCCATAGAGTCAGTTAAGGCTTCTGTGTATTCTTTGAAGCTTTGATACTTTGTAGAACCTTCTGGTATGACGATGGGGTCAGCAATGTTCAGTTCGTCGTCTGGTACTGGGTTTGGCGCGCCGGTTGTGGGTATTGGTGATAGTGTTGATGTGGGCGTGTCATCTAAAAGTAAAAAAGGTAGATTTAAAAATAAAGAGTGTATTTTTTGATATTTTGAAATATTTATTAAAAAATAGTTGCGAAATGTCAGTTTTTAAAAATCCAATAGTTTTTGTGACATTTCGTTACAACTTTTAAAACGCTTTAAACATTAACTTTTAATTACTTAAAGTTGCTTTTCAACGTTTACAAACACTCTTAGACATTTTTGAAAATCCAATAACTTTTGTGACATTACGTCACAAACTCAAAAAACGTTGAAACATAATTTTACGTTATTTTAGACTATTTCAAAGCATTTTCAAATAATTTTTGACGTTTTTAAAAAACCGATAATTTTTGTGGCATTTCGTCAAAAAGCCAAAACCGTTAAAATTTTCCATTCCCAAGTTTACATAAACGTTCTACGGTGTGAAATATGTGTTAATAAGTAAAAATACAATGTCTTGTTTTACCAAAGAGTGATAAAAATGACTTTTACTGACTTACCAGTGTTATTCTTCCCTTTATTGTCTGAAGCTTTATTGCTGAGGTCGAACACTTTGACCATAGTAATAATAGACAAAGTGAAAGTCAACAATGCAAATACCAATAAAATGGCAAAAACCACATTTGCAATGGCAGTTTTTTCCATTTTCATAATGCTTTAGGCTTCACTTCTATTGTTTTAGGCTTAACAGCTATAGTCTTAAGCTTAACACAAGTAGTAGAAAATTTACTTTAGAAAGTTACAGTACACTTCACTACTACGACCAGAACAAAGTCTACAAAATAAGAAGAAATGAAGTGCCTTAGGGGTTTGTTTAAATCAGAGAGAATATTAATCATCACCGCAGTACATCACATTTAAGCCTAACTTTGTTATCAGTTAAGCTGATGACAAAACAAACATGCCCTTGAGAGGAGTGTTGCAGGGTGTGGCAACATGGTGACTGGAGCCATGTTTTGTAACTTAAGTCTCTTTTTTATTGTGAAATGGAAAATTAAATTTTAGTTTTTTTTTTAATTTTTGACTAAACAAATGGAACATCTGAAATAATTTAAATTAAAGTGAAGGGGGAGGGGATGATGAAAGTTTGATGAAAACCGTTAGAGCAATTCATTATTGCTGTTTCCAATTGAGCCCTATCCAAGTAATACTGCTTTTCGTGTTACCAAGAGTTCTCATCAAACCTTCAGGCCATAGCTGAAAGTCGGTATAGGTCAAGCAACCGATTTGGCATAGTTTTCGTGCACTGCGTGCGTTGGTAGTGGCTGTGGCGCCGCTCGCTATTCGGAAAGACTTTGGTTCGACACCGCGCCCACCCAACCCAGACGCCTTGAGGAGTGGGTAGCGCTGGTTGCACGGGGACTAACATTATGTAAGCACATTTATACTTGGGCTACACAAGTATATTATGATTTACCGCCAGAATTCTTATGAAGATAAGGTAATTTTTATGGATCACCTTATCCACGACTCAATGATGCGAGAAACAATGAAATACCGGAAGAAAAGCCTAAGTTGAATACTGTGCTACAGTATCTTTCCTCATAAATTTAAAGTCGAAAAAGCTTGGCCAAATTGGCTGATTAAAACCCCGATAAGGGCGCCAAGAGATCAGCCTACGCGGCCAAGCTTTTGCCCGAATTCCAACGAAAGATCGCAGCCTCTTGAAGAGGCTGGCGACAGTTGAAGGAAAGAAGGACGGCCGGTAGACCGAATACAAAAGGCCTCGATGCCACCGTTTTGGGATCGATCGCTTGGGCAGGCTTCTGTCCGTTCTAATTTATAGTTTTCAGCCGCACGGTCGGCTAAGGTTTTGAGAAGGTTTTTGTGTTATTTAACTTTGCAAAGTCGCGTTATTCGCGTATGTTGTTAGACATGAGCAACGGGCCGGGCCGGGCCTGAGCAAAATCAAAAACGGGCCGCGCTTGAAAAGTGGGCCCGGCCCGTTGCTCATGTCTATATGTTGTAGCCTCAAGACACAACACGGTGTCTGAATATCGCAATATATCGTCCAAAAACACCTTAAAAGACAGAGATTTTGGTCATTGCAATCAGTTGCATGCGTTTGGGATCGGGGATCTTGTGTTTTTATTATTGGTTTTGCCGATTTTCATATGTTATTTTATTTTTGTTGTTCTGAGTGTTATATGTTTCAGAGCATGAGCTAACACCGGGTAAAAAGCTACTAACCTAGGGAAGAAGCCGTTCCTCAAGTTGCACATCATAAGTGTAGAAACAAATAAAACTGGAAAAAGTCCCGTTTAAACGGCATTTTAAGAGGAAGAGAACACGACATCGTGATCTTCGACCCCGACCGTCAGTGCAATTTTCAAAAACCATCGTAGTAACTTGCAAAAATACTGTCTGACCGGTCGGTCGTCAAAAATAAGTTTATGCAAAACGCATGCTATGGTCTGATATGACTTTTTAACAAATCTTCCATGTGGGAAAAAACTCGCATAATGACCGCAGGCGGTGCTTAATTTCGATTGAACAGGATGCTGCAAATACAATATATTTTTATATTTTAGTAAATAAGTATGGAACATTTTATCCGGAGGGTTTCCTAAAGAGTCAAAATACTCTATGAAGAAGGTGACCCCGCGTGTAGCAAACTGGAACTTGTCGTACCGGAAAACGCAGGCGTCGTATTTGTTGCCGATCCGCACCGTACTCTAGCACGCAAACAGCGGGTCGTTTCGCACGGTCGGCTACGGGTTTGAGAAGGTTTTTGAGTTATTTGGCTTTGCAAAGTCGCGGTATTTACGTATATTGTAGCCGAAACTAGTTTCGGCATATTACAAATAATAGTTAATAGTATAAGGTTAAGGTCAAGGTTCATATAAGTTACAATATACAGAATTTGTCCTGGAACCACCCCACAAGTTAAGTATAGTATATAAGACGGTCAGGCCCAGTACTGCGACGGGTGCTGGGACGGGCAATGTCACCAAACCGAGCCCTCCACTCAACTCCTAATTACCGGGAACGTCGGAGATAGCTCAGTTGGTGTTCATCTGCACCTTGAACATCCTGGCACATCAGCACGGTACAAACTACGGAATTAAACATTATCGACTAATCTAATTTATATCTCCCGTATTGTAACTTTAGAAGCTTGAATATGTAAAGTAAATAAATTTAAAAAATAAGGTAAATAAAATTTGCCTGTGCCGGGCGAAGCGGTCGGTGGAAGCTGACTCCGATGGTTTATTGGTCGGCGTTACAACGGCTTGATAATGTTTTAGTTTTACAAAATTAAATACAGCCTTCGGCATAGCTTTAGCCTTAGTTTTTGCTTTAGTTTCAGTCTAAGTCAGCCTTAGAATTCAGTTTAGTACTACACCTAGATTCTTATTGTGACTTAAACTATGATAGTCTATATGATGATTCCATAATCACCTCATTATTCTTTAACAAAAGCATCAAATTTTAAGCTGTGCTTCTCACCACACACAGCTTAGAACTTGATGAGGTGCATTTTCGTACGTTAAGAGATAAGAACTATAAGTGATTTATAACGGCATTACAAGACATTTAGTATTATTGTTATACGAATGTGTTGTAATGCTAGTGTCTAAAAAATGACGTGGTCTTGTGCCCATTTGTGTTGATTGCAGGCCTGAGGCGGATTATTTCAATCGTTATTTGGCAAAATGAGTCACTTTGAATTGGCCTTAGCTCTATCCTATTTTGACCTGTCTTATTAGGTGCCGACATAAAGAACCCGCCATACTATTCCTGTAGTTTCCTGTAAAAAATGGCGGGTTCTTTATGTTGGCACTTAATACTCAAGGATAGCTCTGTTGGACTTCACTTGAAGCTTGAACAACCTTGCACATCAGCACTGTACGTTACAAACTACGGCATTAAAATCATCAGGGCGGGGCGGGGACTTTTAAAGAGATCGATACTTTGACGAAATTCTTATATTTTATTGAAAAACAAATTCACAGTACATTATATTATCATAGGTGTGATTTAATTTATAAAAATCATGATGTTTTTGCTGTTTCCTTGGCGAACACACGACAGTTTTCTATAGCATATTTAGTTGTTGCCAAACAATTAAATGCGTTTTTAAATTCAGCAAAGTTCTTCAAAGCTCCAAGAACTCGGAATGTTGATGGTATGGCATTACTATAGTAAGTATCTGGCTTTTTGTATGCCTTTTTGCTACACATTTCACGTGAAAATGCTATGAAGAGCAGTTGTTCATGAGTAAGGTCCTTGTAAACGTTTGATGGTAAGTGAGGATCTTCACCGTTGATGGCTGTGTGAAGCTTGTAGCCGGTGTAAGCGGCTCGGATACCTGTAAACAGAAGTGTGAGGGTTATGTGACACTTTACCCTACCCTACCCTACCCTACCCTACCCTACCCTACCCTACCCTACCCTACCCTACTCTACCCTACCCTACCTTACCCTACCTTACCTTACCCTACCCTACCCTACCCTACCCTACCCTACCCTACCCTACCCTACCCTACCCTACCCTACCCTACCCTACCCTACCCTACCCTACCCTACTCTACCCTACCCTACCCTACCCTACCCTACCTTACCCTACCCCACCCCACCGTACCCTACCCTACCCTACCCTACCCTACCCTACCCTACCCTACCCTACCCTACCCTACCCTACCCTACCCTACCCTACCTACCCTACCCTACCCTATTCTACCTTACTGTACTCAACACTTTCGGGCCATACCCTACTCTATGATACCCTACGCTATCGTATAATGCCGTACTCGATTGTACTCTACCCTATCCTTCACAAACAAGCCATGGTTTACCGTGCTTTGCACTACCTTACTCTATTGTAATTTTTCTTTCCCTTCTTCCTTCCCCCTCCCCTCCCCCTGTCCCCACGCTACCCCTCCCCCCCCCCTACACCAAAAAAAAATTTCAAAAAAAGTGTTGCTTTCTCCTTCTGAATAAAAAAAATTCAATTGTTTCCCCTGCCTAAAAACATTTTGGTAATAAACACACCTCCATTATCTCCCAGCGCTTCAGACAGAACATAAGCTCCAATTAAAGGGCTGGCCTCCACATTATAACCAGTATACTGCTTCACGACACACTCGTTCATTTTATCAAATATGGGCTGACTAGCTGTATCTATCCAGGAAACGACCCATATGCCTTGTTCATTAAACAAAACTCCATTTTTGTCGAAGCCATGAACTATTTCATGCCCAATCAGAAGACCTAGTGCACCATACAGTACCGAAGTCGGGTAGTTGACATCGAAGAAGGGTGAGGTCAAAATGGCATGTGGGATCGTCAGCGAGTTCTGCAGATTACTGTACTTGATACTGGTCGAAGTGGCATTGCCGTTGAATACTGGAGTTGCAGGACGGTCTTGTGCAGGCGTGCTCAGTAGTTGTACATCGATTAAAGACTGCAGAGTTACTGTAGTTTCGGCTATGTCATAGTAGTTTTGGGCCGTGTTGTCGGTAGTAAAGGCAGCGTATTTAGTGTTTAAAGCATCTGTAGTTAAAGTTGATTTTGAATAACCAACACTGATCTTCATATTATCAAGCTTGTTGATAGCCGCGGTTTTGGAGGTTGGCGACCAGGAAAGGGTTTGAATGTTGGCCTGAAATACGGTGTTTAAAAATATTTATGGTTTTATGAGTTTGTAAAGAAATTTCTTGCTATTCTAAGCTTTGTAAAGAAAGTTCTTGCTATTTTATGTTTTGTAAAGAAAGTTCTTGCTATTTTATGTTTTGTAAAGAAAGTTCTTGCCATCTTAAGCTTTGTAAAGAAAGTTCTTGCCATTTGCAGCATAAAAAGCTATTTTAAGAAATTGCAAGCTGCAGGTGACTGTTTATACGTTGAAAACAATTTCTTTGATTTGTAAAGAAAATTCTTACTGTTTTTGTGTTGGAAAGAAAGTTCTTGCTATTTTTTGTTTCATAAAGAAAGTTCTCGTTATTTTTTGCTTTGTAAAGAAAGTTATTGCCTTTGTTCAAAATATTGACTTTTAAGCTTTTGCAAGCTGCGAGTGACAAGTTATACACCGAAATTCGTTATTTATTTTGTAAAGAAAGCTTTTGCCATTTTATCATTTGTAAAGAAAGTTCTTGCTATTTGAATCAAAACGACTTCTGCAGGCTGCAGAGTTCATTTTATACGACAAAAATAGTGGTCGGGCGCTATTTTCAAAATTTTTGTGAAATGGTCCTACTTTAAGACCACAGATATTTGTAAAAAAGTCCTACCTATCAACTCTTAAAATTTTTGAAATATTCCTACCTTAAGTCCATTAATGACATTCCTAGCCACCTCTTCAGCAATCTTATACATCTTTTCTCGGTCCGCTGCCTCAGACAGTGTAAAGATGTAGGTATGGTCAACAAGGTCAGCTAGATACCTATTCTCCACGATTCTTCTATCACAAACTTCTTCAGCGTCAGGCTCGTCTGCCACATTGACTGTACTCGACCGTTCTGTCGGTGCCAATGACAATCTTAAATCGTATGTCTGACAAAACTTGATGAAGATGTAATTGTAGATGGCACGTGCTGTGGAGGTACCACTCAAGTACGTGGCTAGGGCTTCGAGGCGGGTAGGATTGGTGACTACAATATTATAGTCGGTAGCCGTGACCTTGTTCTTGAGATTGTCATCTGTTTGGTCAGCAACAAGGTCGGTCAGGTATTGAGTAAAGTCAAAGAGTGAGACTGCTGTGGTGGCTTCGGCTGCTGTGTATATCGTAGTTTTTCTGAAAGTTAAAGAAGTGTAAAGAAAGTTCTTGCAATTTTTTGTTTTGTAAAGAAAGTTTTTGCAATTTTTTGTTTTGTAAAGAAAGTTCTTGCAATTTTCTGTTTTTTAAAGAAAGTTCTTGCCATTTTCTGTTTTGTAAAAAAAGTTCTTCTATTTTTTAATAAAAATTAGTTTTTTAATGTTTGGCAGGCTGCGGGTGTCAGGTTATATGATGAAAAGGTTTGGTTTGCAATTTTTTGCTTTATAAAGAAAGTTTTTGCCATTTTTATTAAAAAAGCGGTTTTTAGGCTTTGCAGGCTGCGAGTGACAAGTTATACGATAAAAAGTTTTTGTTTATATTTGTAAAGAAAGTTTTTGCCATTTTATGTTTGGTAAAGAAAGTTCTTGCTATTTTTTGTTTTGTAAAGAAAGTTCTTGCCATTTTTTGTTTTGTAAAGAAAGTTCATGCCATTTGTTGCAAAAAACTTACTCAGTAAAAGTCTGTGGAGTAGTCGGGTCACTGACAACATTATCAGCGATAAACTTATCCAATGCCCACAACTCGTCTAGATCTTCTGCCAACAAAGTTTCGTCAACAGTACCAGTTGTAGTCTTCAGCAGGTACACTTTCTTAATGTAGTCCGACCATTTTTTCACTTGTTTAGCCTTTACAGCGTCTGGACTGTACTGATAATCATACAGCTGCTGATCTAGACTAGGCTCGTCGAACAAGATACTGTAGTCACGATCCGCCAGGTTCGCATGTACCAACGGTACTATCTTGAGCTGCGTGAATAGGTCTTGCCCTCGTTTGGCCAAATAAACCATGATTGTGGCCAATTGTGCGGCCGTCGGCTTAGCTAAAGTAGCATCTTTGGCTGATAATGCTGGGAATTCGACTTGGTTTGGCAAGGTGGCTACAAAGGCATTGTAGTATTCAAGGAACTTGGCTCCACTTAAAGCCGTCTTCTTGTTGGCCACGTCTCTCTCGATCAACATACACTTTGCTTTTAGTTGTTTTAGTTTGTTCATAGCTTCGAAATTCTGAAAAAAGATATTACTTAGCATTAGCCTTAGGCTTAGCATTAGCCTTAGGCTTAGCCTTAGCCTTAGCCTTAGCCTTAGCCTTAGCCTTGGTTTGACTGGCCTTTCTGTTGACAATAACTCTGCTCTGTTTTATTTTTTAGCCCTTTTCTAGCCTTACATTAGCTTTATCTTAACTAAAAATGCATGATAAGGTCTACCCGCTACGGGCTAGAGCGAAGGACTAAGGCTGCTTTACTCTTAACTAAATAAGGCATGATTAACTTCTGCTCTTCAATGCCAGCCTATTTTTATATCCTCATTTTATAAAAACGATTTCAACATTTAACTTACCGGCAAATTCGTATCATCCAAAGCATCACACAGATCGCTAAACGTGTTATCCTTTAACATGTCTTGTTCATCATTAGCACTCTTGTCGCACACATAACCAAAGAAGTTTTTACATGGATCTTCGCTCAGTGTCATACTACGATTCAGACTTTTGACATACCGTAAAAAGCTCGTGTACCGTGCTTCACCTTGATTAATTTCGGTTACTGGCCGAATATTCAAGCCTTGGTCTGGAGTTGCAGTTGTTGTTGTTGTGGGCGCCGGTGGTATCGTAACGGTTGTGGACGGAACTGGTTCGACAGTTGTGGTAGGGTTGGGGCCTGGGCCAGGGCCGGGGGCTACTGTAGTTGTTTTGTTGGAACCTAAAATCACTTTTTTATGGTTTGTAAAGAAAGTTCTTGCCATTTTTCGTTTTGTAAAAAAAGTTCTTGCCATTTTTATTAGCCTTATCAACTCACCATTACTGCTGTCCTCACTACCACTCAAGCTGTTCTTGATATTGAACACTTTGATCATAGTGATCAAGCTGGCCGTGAACGTCAAGAAGGCGAATACCAACAGCACCGCAAACACAATACTTCCTATGGTCGATTTGTCTGCCATGGTTTACTGTAATTTTTGATTTTTAAGTTAAAAAACGGCATTTTAAAATTACAGTAATAATTTCAAACAGATATTACAGTATTCTACAGTATCCTATCCTACCCTACCCTACCTCATACTATCTTACCTTACCCCACCCTACCCTACCTTACCCTACAATACCGTTTTTGCACTACCTACCCTACTCTATCCTACTGTGTCATACTATTATATATTTTGGATTGTCTTACCGTACCCTATCCCATTCTGACATGTCTTAACTTATGCTACCCTACCCTACCCTTTTTGTAGCAAAAGTACTGTTATTACCTATCCCTACCCTGTGATGCCTTGCCCTACCTATGATGCTCTAGCGTTTTGACGCTACACTACTTTTACTGTTACTACTCTACTATGTCATCATCTGTTTTTATATTAACTTTGTTATCCTCACTCAGTCATCTTAACATTTATGTTACAGTACTCCACTACCATACACTACTTTTAAAACAAAAATCACAAAACTCCAATTCGGGGAAAGTTTCAAAAACAATGTGAAAGACACAAACATACAAGAATTCAGTTCCTTTCTTATATAAAGTCGAGCTTTGTCTGTTATCGTAAGCTACAATATAAACATAGGCTTAATAGGTGCGGCAACAAAGTCAAAATTGATTCATGCCTAAGGCTTTCAACTTTTTTAGATTAAAAAACACGTTCAAGTGTTACTTGTGGTTGATACTAACACCTACATGCAAGTGAGCAAGAATTTTTGAGTGGTATTGGGGAAGGTTTGACGTCATTTTGATATAAATAGTCTACAGAAACATCATCCAGCAGTTCGTACTATGCACTGGTAGAGGTATAAGCGTAAGTAAGGCGTGAACAGGTGTAGGCAACAATAAAGGCTTGAGAAAAGGTAGTATATGATGAGTAAGGGCAAGGGTATGTGCATACTTAAGTTATGGGCAAGGGTAGAGAATGGCTAAGAGTAGGGTATGAGCAGGTATGAGCAATGGTAAAGTTTGGGCACAGAATATGCAAGAGTAACGTATAGGCAAGGGTAGGGTATAGGCAATGATTGGGTATGAGTTTGGTAGGGTATGGCCACAAATAGTGTATAGTCAAGGGTAGAGTATGAGCAAAAGTATGGCCTGCGCAAGAGTAGGATATGAGCAAAGACAGAGTAAGTTCAAGAGTACGGTGGGCAGGGTATGAGCAAAGGTAGAGTATGGGATAGGGTAGGGCATGAGCAAGGGTATGGTATGGTCTAGGGTACTTTGACCAAAAGTAAGGAATGCAGAAGAGTAAAGTATGGGCAAGGTTAGAACGTGCACGTGTACGATATAAGCAAGGGTAAGGTGCAGGCAAAAGTAAAGTTTGGGATAGGGCAGGGTATGGGCAAAAGTAGGGTATGGGCTATAATAAGGTTTGGCCAAAAGTATGGTATACGCAAGAATAGGAAATGGAGAAGGGTAGGGTAAGTTCAAGAGTACGGTATGGGCAAGGGTAGAATATGTCCTAAAGTGAGGCATGTTCAAGGGTACGGTATGGACAAGGGTAAAGAATGAGCAAGGGTATGGTATAGAAAAAAGTAGGGTATGATCAAGGTTAGGGTATGTCCACTATGTGTGTAGATTGATTTAAAGGTGCCGCAAATCCGTATTTCTAAACCAAAATAAAACAAAAAATCAAAAAAGTTGTTTTATATAAAAGTTTATTATGCGTATGTATGTAATACATTATAGAACATGTCATATTTTATAAATTAAAAAGAAATAAAGACTTGTCGTCAATTTACATTAACTTAGCATTACAAAAACGACAAAACTTTTGTCAGCATTTTGAATCATTTAGAACAATATACATAAAATTTTGAAAAATGCAAGATATCTTATCACCGTATGTACAAATATGTGTCACCAAGGCTCTCAAGTACTATGCTGCAATTACAGCTTCAGTTGTGAAGGTTGCCAGTGCTAAACGACCTCTTCTTTCAAGCAAACCGACGTTGTTTAGTGATAGCCCTCTTTGGAGAAGTTGAAGCTGTTCGTTTTCTTGAGGAACTGGTCGATATTAAGAAAGAATCTTCTTCATTATTACTTCTTATACATTCATCATGGTTTGTCAGAACTTCTTCAGTTTTTGCTGCTGTTTGAGTTGGTTCACGCTACAAAACATTATATGAACATAAAGAAGACAATCAAATACCATGGAAACTCTTTATAAAGACCTTCTATATAAGGATCCTCACATATTATATAATATTATATTAACCAGTTACAACTTAAATTTAAAAAAAGTACTACTTTTAAATACTTTTTCAAAATTTAAAAAAATTTTTTTATAACAAAGCAGAAGAAGCGCATTCGTATTTTACCTCTTGAATTTTTTTGCATTATCTACGCAACCTTTTTAACTAAATATTCTATATTCTACTCTATCTTACCCAAACCTTCCTAATCGTACCCGCTGTTATCATATTTTATCCTATTCTACCCAAACCGTTCTAACTGTACCCCACCTTACAATATTCTACCTTACCCTATCCTACCATACCCTACCATGTATAAAATAACTTGAACTTCATTCTGTCTTACCCAGTGTTTTGCCGGACCGGTCCGGCCCGCGGACGGGTCCGGTCCGGACCGGATGGCCGAAACAAAAATTTTTGCGGACCGGACCGGGCCGGTCCCAAAAACCTGCGGACCCGGACCTGAAGAAAAAGCTCCGGACCGGTCCGGAAGAAAATTTTTTTTTTATTTTAATAATCAACCTTATTTCAATCAGTACTAGTCCTACCCCAAAAAATTCGTAGCTTAATTCTACTATATCTTAAAACATACTTTACCATATATCATCTCAATACGTATGCTACAATAACTCTAATATACCGTTCCTTATACCTCAAAAACCTTCAAAAGAACAAAATAGAGGTAAGAATAAGGCCGCGTAAATCAATACATGCTATCTTATATTTACAATAAAATGGTAATCACTCTTACCATTAAATCAAACAAGAATGCTTCATCATCGGCGTCTTGTTGAGCCTCTTTCAACACCGACTTTCTCAATTCGTCACGGTCTGATAGCCTCATTCTGCGCGGCCAATAACAAATTCTTGGTGGCATGGCTTCAAACGCGGCTCCAAGAGCATCGATAGTCGTAGATGAAGCTACACACGTTTTGCCGACCATTTTTATACTTTCTTTTATAGTTGAAAGCTATAACAATATTTTAAATGTCATCATACTTGAAATATAATAGTACATAACAATACTAAATAAGATGGCTTGGTTATAATATAGTTTGAATTATCATAGTGCTCGTTTAAATATGTACCAACAAAGTATACTATTTTATTTACATTTTATGGTTATAGGCCCTATATGTACATATTACAATTACGGCCTAAATTGTAAAATCTAAGTATCAGCAACATAGTACAAATCTAAGTTTGCAAGCTTAAAATAAGCCTAACAAGTTGGCTTTTTAACTCTAAACAAAGTTCAAAAATGCGGGAGTGGCAAGCCTGAACCAAGCCTAGAAAGTTAGGCTAAAAATATAAAAATTGTAGGTTTGCAGGCTTAAATCTGTATTAAAAAAGTAGGTTTCCTGGGCGAAAACACAGCCTAAAAAATTGTGCTTACAACCTTAAAACAAACCCAAAATTTAGGTGCCAGTCTTGGTTTTTCCATTCACAAAACTTAATAATGCCTTTAAGCAAGTCTTAAAAAGTTGGTTTTGCAAGCCTAAACCAAGCCGAAAAGCTAGGAATAGGATATAAAAGTTGTAAGTTTGCAAGCCTAAACCAAACTTTAAAAATTTGGATAGCTGACCTTAAACTAGGCCTAAATAACTCAGATAGCAAGTCAAAAGCAAAATGGTAAACTAGCTTAAAACAGAGCCTAAAAATCTACTTATAAGCCTAAGTCTCTAAAAATAGGTTTCCCGACTTGAATTGAGCCTAAACAGCTAGTAAAGAAGCATTACAGCTAGCCTGAAAAAATTGGCTTTTACCCTCCCTCCAACATTCCAAGATCTATAAAATCATATTTGGTTCCCTGATTTTTATAATAAGTCTTGTATAAGCCATTCCAACTCTCAGCACTTCGAATAAATCATAAAAACCTAAAATATCGAATTAATCATGAAAACCTAAAATTTCAGATAAACCATGAAAACCTAAAATAAAGAAAGACCCAACAATATTAAAACAAATTGTAAGACATGAATGAGACTTTATTGATAAATCGGTCAACCACCACCGACGCGCAGAATATCTGTACTGATTTTTGGCAAACAATGAATATTCACCTTGCTCGAGCGTTGGTTGAGAGCGCCCGGGGTAATGACAAGCGTCGATTTTTTAAATAAAAACGTAAATAAATGAATCTAAAGGACCAGGTTAAGAAAGAAGCTACAGTACCAGCTTCTTGTTGTTCATTTTTCTCTAGCATCACCAGCTTCTTGATGTTCATGTTTCTTTAGTATTACCAGCTTCTTGAAGCCCGTAATTCTCTTATATCAACAGATTTATAAGAACCCACACCTTGAACATAAGTTGATTCCTTTATTAAACGTATCATCGTACTAACATTAGATCAATCAAGGATACACTGACAATATCTCAAATAGCATCATACTAACATTACATCAAAGACAATACAGTGATATAGGATTTAAAACAACATCGTACTATAATACGTCTAGTACCGATACCAATCCATCTTACTACTGATACTAGTCCGTCTGAGTACCAATACTAATCCTTCTGAATCGGAGCCATGTCTGACCGTTGTGATCCGGTCAAAATCAAGTATGGGCTTTGAGTTTGTTCCTGTTTCTTCAGCTGTTTGGCCAAGGTACCTAATGGTGTGTCCGAGCTGTTCATTTTCTTCATCTTCTCCTTCTTGGCCAGCTTGGCCTGGCGTTTCTCGATCTGCTTCTTGCCTGGGGTTTTGCCGTGGAACTTCCAACTCAACTCGCGGAACGCTTCCTTCTGGTCGAGGATTCGGCCCTTCTTGTCCGTGTACGTGATTTCAAAGTTGGGCTTGTAGTCGGATTTGTCGTCGAAATGGCGAGTGGGGCCGGAGGCACCGAGGCGTTCCAGTTTGCGGACGTATTTGTCTTCCATGTCTCTGAAAATTAAAAAAAAATTTAAAAAATTCAAATTTTTTCAATTTTTACCTAAAATACAAAAAAAAGTTTTAATTGTTACCTAAAATCCCAAAATTTGCCATTTGTTACCTAAATTCAAAAAAAAAATGTTACCCTTGTTACCTAAAACCCCAAAAATGTTTCACTTGTTACCTAAACCGCAAAAAAGTTCATATCCTCTAAACTTACAAATTGCCTCCCTCAACCCTGGAGAATCGTTTGCTTTGAAGATGTGCCAAATGTGAGTCGGATGAGCCTTGTTTCTTATTGGACAAGTATCCTCTTTCCGCTGCCATTTTTAACATGGCGCCAACGCCTTTTGTCACATCACGTTCGTCGCCCAGCACGTTTTGGTAGTCGGCTCCATAAACACCGTCATCCTAAAAAAGCAGTTTATTTTATTTTGTCTTCGCTGTTAAAATCAATTTTTAAAATTTGAAAATTCTCAAAAATTCAGCTTGGTCTCCCCTGTAAATTTCTGTCAAAAAATTTTTTTTTAAATTCTTTGGGTATAACAGACTACATGCTGCCCTTGTGATACAAAGACATCATTATTCACGTCTCCCGCACACAATCCCCAAAAAATAAAAAAAATTTTTAAAAGTTGAACTTGGCCCCCCCTGTGAATTTTTTTCCTAACAATTTTTTTTATTTTTTAGATAAAACCAGTTATATTTGTCCTTGTGATACAAAAATAACCGCCCTTCATCTCCCCTACGCCCAGTTCCCCAGAAACTTCGTCAAGTTTTTTAAAATTTGAGTGAGATCCCCCGTAAACCCCTACCTCATCCTTCTTCTTCCTCTCCTTCCGCTCCTTTTTGCTGCTTTCCGGCTGTTGATCCCCAAACTCCTTCCATTTTGGCCGCTCATCATCGTCAAAGTCGCCCATCCGGCTTTCCAGCTCAATTTGTCGTTGCTCCAGCTTCCTCGACTCTAGATCTTCTTCGTCTTGGTCGACTTCTGAATCCGAATCCGAGACTTGAGCTTCCTCCACTTTTTGTTTCTTCACTTCTTCTTCTTCTTGTTTGATTTCCGAATAATCTACATGATCATCCCTGTTGCCAGCCAAGCCCAATGACAGTACTTCTCCGATGGCTTTGTAGCTTTCGGCCGTGTGGTCGATAACCAGGCCTTTGGAGCTTGACGGTAAAATAAAGTCCTCTTCTTCGTCGCTGCTTCCTGGTTCTTCTTTTTTGATTTTCCGCTTCAACAGTTCCTGTTTCCATCGATCTGTAGACTTGAGTTCTTGAGTTTGATTCAGTTTTCGCGACTTTTCCAACGCGGCCTGGAGTTCGTCTTCGGCTTCGTCGTCCAATATGACACCGCCAATGTTGGCTCCACCAAAAAAATCTGAAAAAAGATCTTGGTTATATTTGAAAATCCTTTTTAACAAGAATCAAATCAAATTTTACACAGTTCTTCAATTTATCTTGTTGTACCTCGACTGATGATCATCCTTTATATCAGAAGCTTAGAATTCGAATTTTTTGAACAAAACTAACGCTAATTCGTATACCTAATCGTGTTCTAAATAGGCTATAGTACCCACTAACTCAAAATTGCTTCACTAGACTATCAACTTTTCTCTAAGCATCAATTTATATTAACCTACCGCACTTGAACATCATCCTTAATATTTAAAGCTCGTAGATCAATATTCAAACATCCGAACTTGAATATTTATATATAAATGCATTCTACCTTTAATAAAGTACATACAAACACAATATTAAATGCCTAGACTCACTAGCTTTCTCAAGACATCAATTTATATTAACATACCCTCACTTGACCATCGTACTTAATATCAAATGCTTAAAACTTGATTTTTTAATAAAATCAACCTTAATTTTAAATTTAAGTACCTTCAATAGCTTTATTTCCACCTTTTGCATCACTAACGCTCCTTTGAATAACATATTTTACACTCCAAAAAAAAATATTACACAACGCCCTCGACCTACCGTCGTCGTCGCTTTCCTCGTCCTCACTATCGCTGATTTTGCCAATTTTTTCCGACAAACTTTTCAATTTGTTAATATCCACACTAGCACGATTGTTTTCCTTCCATTTTCCGCCTATTTTCACTTGTGGTTTCTCGTCTGGTACCTCGCCTTCTTCCATTTCTTCATCTTGTTTTATTTCCTTAAAGTCGCCCAGTTTGCCATTCGTATCTTCATTTTCAGCTTGACGACGTGCAGCTAATCGTTTGGCTCTGAAATAACATTATCGTAGTGTTGTTTTAAAATCAATATTACTAAATTTTATCTACTACAATATTTTAAAATTTCATTTTTCTTCAGGTAAACATCAAAAATCATGTATTTTTCTTAAAAATTGCCATTTTCAATAAGATTTTGTTATCAAAACCCCATAAATTTGTCCTTAAAAGCTTCTTCATAATTCGCACCGTCTTCTATGTTACCTAAACATCAATAAAAAATCAAAAAATCCCTTACTTTTCACGTTTCTCAGCTTCACCATCGCCATCCGCTTCTGGTTGAATGTCGGATGCTTTTAACGTCTTTCTCTTCCTCATTTTGTCCTTTTTCAACTTCTTTGGCTTCCTGAATGATACCATTTCTTCTTCTGTGTAGAATTCCCGAGCTAATGTGTATTTAGAGGATTCTAAGGTTTCAAACTTCTTGTTAGCCATCATAAGTTTCCGCTTCATTTCCAGTTCACGTTCCTCTTTGTCCAAGTCGTAACCTCCTTCTTCGTCTGAAAAATTTGAATTATTACCTATTTTTCCAAATATATATATATTTTTTTTTATTTCAAAAAAAATTTTTCCTCAAGATCACCCTACCCAATCTAAACGTCTCTCTTTTGACAGGTTCATCCATATCTCGGTCATATTTCGACAAGATTTGCTGTTTCTTGGTCATTCCAAATTCATCAACCTCTTCATCTTCGTATGGATTGTAGTCCTTCTTCTGTTTCCTCAACTCCACATTCTTTTTGTGTCTTTCATTGTCAATTAGATTCGGATTGATGAGAACCTCTTCTCCATCATCATCAAGCACGTTCCGATCTTCTAGAACCAAAATTGTTTCGGATCCATCAACAAACGCTTCTTTTGAATGGCCAATAAGAAGATTGCCAGTTCCTGATTGAGACTTTATGATTCTTTTGGGCTTGGCTTTGATTTTTTTCATCTAAAAAGAAAGTTTTATCAAAATTAAGTTATCTTATCTATAAGGATTTACTCGTATCAGGGGAAAAAAGTCTATAAAACCATTAAAACATAGTCCTACCTCTTCTTCAGCTGCTTTTTCTGCAATTTCGTCCATTTCATCAAACTTCTCGGCCGCTTTCCGACTTTTATCCAGCCATGAATCTACATCCTCGTCCGAATCAGAATCCGCCAACCCCTTCTTCACCTTCAGCACCTTATTATAGATCTTGTGTTTCTCTTTTTGTACAGCAATCTTCTCTTTTAACTTTTCTTGCTCCTTCTTATTTGTTAAACTTTCGGCTTTCTTGTGATGAATCTCAACTCCATCAATGTTGTAAACCTTTTCACCGTCTTCCCCATCATCGTCAGCATCTTCTGCATTTCCATTGGCTGTTTTATCTTCGACTTCCAAAGGGGCCAAGCCAAGTTCAGCACGAATACGATTCGTTTCTTCGATCGACACCTCTTCAGCTTCGTCTTTCTTCGAGGATTTTGGCGGAGATCGTCGTGATGAACGACGTTTTGACTCTCTAAAAGATAGAGAAAGTACTATAGATATTAAAATTGCAAAAAATCTAATTAAAACCGCAAAATATCAAGTTTTACAAAAACCTTTCGTTCTGATGTCTAGTACAATATTCTGTTGCGCATATTTCGCTAATTTTAATTACAAACTGCCCAAAGCTTTCATAAAATCAAAAACAATGTCTGTTTTAGCTAAGAAAAATTTTTTACAAGCTTATCTTATAAGGCCGCTGAGATATAACTAAAAGCATAACCAACATCAGCAGTGTAACTCAATATCTCAAGCCTAGTCCATATTAGATTCTAATTCCTTTTCTAAACACACAAACCAAAATAAAGTACTTACCCATGGCTTTCGTGAGACGTATCTTCATCAAGACCGTGTTTTCGTTTCCGAGCGTATCTGAAACGATTTTGCAAGTTATTCATTGTTTTAAACCGACCTTAGCTTACTTTCCACTCATTGTTCCAACAGTAATAGAGAATAATTAAATATATCTATAGGTAACAACAAATAACAAGTTAAAAATGTGCCAACTTCACCAAAGAAAAGTTAGCGATATTTTCTGAAAAAATTTCACAAGAAGCGTATGACTTGACACGTTTAAAACAAATGAGTCAAGTGTTCTTTTTATGTTCTTGCGCGCAAAAGGAAATTTAAATTCTGCCCGCGGGCTATTTTAAGTTAAAATTTAAAAATTAAAAATGTTTTCAAGTTTAAATTTAAACTATGTTTTCAAGTTTTGATTTTTTTCACTTTTAAAACTGTAAAATAATGAATTTTTACTGACTGGTCGAAATGCAGCGTCATGTAGTTTTCATGAAGATTTTGGCCGAAAAATCAAAATTCGAGCCCTCTAACTTTGATGTTGTTCCACTGATTGTTGAACTGGTGTGTATTGGTAAGTAAATTACTATTTTTCTTGCGATTTTAGGTATCACCTATCTTATAGTAGGTGTGAAGCTACTTTTGAAGACGTTTTGAAAAAAAACCTTTGCATAACCTTAACAATCATAAAATACCTTTAAATCTTTTCAGTAATGGCAGTGGTATCGTTCGGAATCTTCGAACTTCTGTATCGTCAAGGCATTTTCTTCAAGGAGGATTCGGAAGGCCCGACCAAGATTCACATGCAGCATTTGCAAGAATACAAGAAGCAAGAAGATAAGTTTTTGTCCGAAGGCGGTCAAGCCAATCCAGTCCGGCAGCGTGAACGAAAAGTTGAAGTCAAAACCAAAACTGAAGCCGTTGCAGTTCAATAAACTTTCACTGACTTGAATTTTGGTTTATTTTCTTGAATATTGACTTGTTTTCTTGAGTGTTGGCTCATTTTACATTAATTTTCAAAGTTTTAGATATTATCTTTATACAATATTAATATTTTTCGACAGAAAAGATCCATATTTTACTATTTATACCACTTTACAACAGTTTACTGTCCAATTTTATCAGTCTTAACCAATTTACTGCCAAAAGCTTTTTTGTAGACATGAGAAACAGGCCGGGCCTGAATGTTAGGCCCGGCTCGATCGGAATTTTTCTCAAGGCCGGCCCGGCCCGTTTCTCATGTCTACATTTTTGCAAAAGACACTCTTGACTAATTTTTCCCGCGATGTGTCAACTCTCCCCTCGTGTTTTCCAGATTTTGTGAAATCTCGTGTGGCTCAAGGTAATTTGCTTCTGTGCGTGCCTAATAACTTCCTCGTGACTGGTTTTAATTAAAAAATGTTACTACTTTAGGGTCCAAACCGTTTTATTCCTGCTTTCTTTGTATTTACCTTGTTTTTCCGTGTTTTATGTAACGTTGAAACCGTGTTTTATATAACTTTAAACTTCCTAAGCTATTAAAATAAGGTTTGTTGAAGCTTTTTTAGACTAGATGTAAATAAATGGAGGCTGATGAATACAATAAAAGTTTGATTGAAGTGTTGGTTGATGAACCATGTATTTACGATCCATCGGACCCGGCTTTTCAGAACATCAACGAGCGTCACATGGCTTACGTGAGGTTGGGCCAGCGGTTGAGGGATCGTGGAGCTAGTGAAGAGCAAGGTATTTGTTTCGTCTTGATTTTAACGTTTAGATTTATTAACTTTGAGGCAGGTTGAGCTTGGATATTGGCATTTTTGTCGACATCTATAAGGCTTCTAGTATAACATACTAATTGGTCGATTTCTAGTTCACCGAATAAATGACCGGTTTCAAGTTTTAAAACGAAGATACATGACTGAATATCGAAAAGTTCAACGGGGAGTACAAAGCCATTGGGCTTACTACGAAGATCTCACGCCGATTTTAAATTCGCTGGCCGAAAAAGCAGTCTCGTAAGTGGTATATAATTGTTTTTACTATACTATCATATCAAATACTTAATAAATTTGTACTCAAAAGCTAGAATAATATCAATAGCATTTTTTAGAAACGAAACAACTAGTGTTATATCTGATTCCAACCTAATATTCTCGCCATATTCACCATCACCCAGTTCCGACGAGCGGCCGGCTGAAGCGAAGCGTCGGCACGTTGAAGAGAAGCAACGTTCCGACTTTCAGCGTTCCGAATTCTCAGGCATATTCGACTATGTATCTTATAGACTAGATAACATGGATGAGGCAACTAGGAAGGCGACGGTTGAAAAGATATTGAGATTAGTTCATAACCCGTCGTTGGAATTGGTGGATGAACGAGTTAATGCTTCAACTTCTACTCCGAAATGGTAAAATACGTAGTGATATACTTTGTGTTATTTCAGAAAGGGTAGTTTAATATTTTAAGAGTAATATTGAAGCATTTCAAGTTGTGATAGCTTGTTTGAAACAAGTTGTTATTCAGAAACATCAAGTATAACATAATGAACGTGTACAGATAATTTATTATTTTGTCATAGAAATCGTTATCACCGGTAGCAAAAACACATTGATATCAATTCTAAAAGTGCATTTTGTAGTCTCATTGCGATATTATTTATGTTGTACCTAATTTTCTAAATTGTAATATTTTTGGTTTTTCTGGATTGGATAAGGAAAACTGATACTTTTAACTAGATGAAAGTATAATATATGGTCTTTAGAGATATATAAATTTAAAATAACATTATTTCTCTTAATAATAAAAGCTGTACAGATGTAAATATCAATTGTAAATATGTAAATAAAGCTATTTATCCCAGTGTGCTGACTGTTTTTGATCTCAAATTGTTACTATGGTAATCATTGATGATATATTTGGTTTTTATAGTTGATATTAATATTAGCTTCGGTATGTTTATATTGTTTTTTTATTATGTTTTGAAAAATTGAGTTTTATATTGTTATAGACGTAAAATGAGGACAACATGGCTGCCATTGGAGTCGAATCCAGAAGTTTTTAATGATGTAAGTTTTGAATTTCATTTCGCGAAAACTTTCTTTACATTTTTTATAGTAAAATACGAAGAGTAAATAAGGTATTCTTTGATTAAAGAATTTTCTTTACAAAATTTTGAAATTTTTTCTTATTTTTTCAAATGATTTTCTCTCAGTTTATGACCAGAATCGGAGTCAAAAAGGCCACCTGTGTTGATGTATACGGATTTGACGATGAATCGATCTCCTTCATACCGAAGCCACATTTGGCATTGATCTTGTGTTATCCTGATTATGAAAAGGTAAGTAAAATACGGGGAAGATGCAGGTGTCAAGTTAAATTGGTAAAAATTTTGTTTACAGGGAAAATGGCGAAAACTTTTTTTACAAAACAAAAAATGGCAAGAACTTTTTTTACAAAACTGAACATGGCGAGAACTTTCTTTACAAAACGAAGAATGGAACGAATTTTACTTACAAAACAAAAAATTACAAAAACTTTCCTTACAAACCAAAATATGTTTTTCATCGTATAAAATGTCACCCACAGGCTGCAAAATTCTTTCTTTGCATATTTTTTAAAATTTCTTATAATTTCAGGTCCAAGACATTATGAAGCCAATCTACGATAAGCTATTCTCCGATGGCAACACGGTACCGGACAAAATTTTCTTCATGGAGCAGAAAATTGACAATGCCTGCGGCACTTTTGCTCTGTTCCATTCGATCGCTCAGAATACTGACAAATTGGATATTGGCCAAGGATCTTTCGCCAAATGGTTTGAAGACGCCAAGAAGGTTGGTGTAGATGAACGATCGGATCTGTTGGAGAAGTGCAAAGACATAGCGGAAGCACATGAAGCCTCGGCCGCAGTTGGAGACACTGACACGGAGGTGGTGAAACATCATTTCATTACCTACTGTAATGTCGATGGAATTTTGTATGAAATTGGTAAGTGTGGGAATAGGGATGAGCTAGGGGTAGGGTTATGGATATGGGGGTAGAAGTAGAGGTAAGGAGGGTAGGAGTAGAAGTATGAGTTGACGTAGATTTTAAATAGTATGCAATTTTTTAAATTTTTCTCGTATTTTACAATATTTTTTAATTTTTTGCCTTACCATGGTACAAAAGATTTTCTATTAAATTTCTTGTTTTTTTTCAGATTCAGATCAGCCATTTCCAAGAGCATGTGGCAAAACGACAGAAGAAAACCTATTGAAAGACGCTGGAGCAATAGTCAAACAACTTATGGACAAGTTGGGGAATGTATCGTTTAGTTGTTTGGCATTGGTCGGCAATTCATAGGCCTAAGCTTAGGTTAAGGTCAAATGGATTCATGTTTAGGAAGGATCTGGAAAATTGTGTTTATATTGTTATAGCTGTTGTGATTTTTTTATACGGGTATTTTTGTTACCTAAAATTGAAAAAAATTGTGTTTTTAAGCGGTCGGAGTAAAAATTTGTTACCTAAAATATATAAAATGTCAATTTTGTTAATTTAAATATAGGAACTTCTTATTTTAGATAACAAATTACTTAAAATTTACATAAAATTCTATTTAAAATGTAAATTTGTTACCTAAAATTCTAAAAAAAACTATTTTTAGGTAACAAATTTGCAAAAACATAAAATCTCCAATTGTAAATTGTGTAAATAAAGTTATTTTTACTCGGTGACAATTTGTGATCATAATTGTGTTACCATGGCAATCATTGGCATGATATCTCTTGTTTTATTTGTTTTTTACCGTTGAATATTTTTGATTTTGTAAAGGTTGAAAATGTTTTGTAAAGAAAGTTTGTGTCATTTTTTGTTTTGTAAAGAAAGTTTTTGCCATTTTTTGTTTTGTAAAGAAAGTTCTTGCCATTTTTTGTTTTGTAAAAAAAGTTTCGTGAAAAACTGTTAGGAGTTATTTTTGAAAAATCGAGTAGATTTCAAGGTTAATCGCACTTTGAAAACAATTAAAAATGTGAGAAAACGAACGCTTTGACAATGTAAAATGAGTTTTTTTCTACAATTTGAGGTTTACGGGGATTTTGAACTTTTAAATCGGTTTTTTTTTGCTTTTTAAGCAGGGAAATGGCAAGAACTTTCTTTACAAAACAAAAAACGGAAAGAACATTCTTTACAAATTGAAAAATGGCAAGAACTTTTTTACAAAACAAAAAATGGAAAGAACTTTCTTTACAAAACAAAAAATGGCAAGAACTTTCTTTACAAAACAAAAAATGGCAAGAACTTTTTTTACAAAACAAAAGATTGCAAGAACTTTCTTTACAGCACGAAATTGCAAGAACTTTCTTTACAAAACAAAAAATGGCAAGAACTTCCTTTACAAAACAAAAAATGGTAAGAACTTCATTCACATGTCTAAAAACGGCAATGTCTTTTTAAAAATGAGAATAAAACGTCACAAATTAAGTCGATTCTAAAACTTTCTTTTTAACTTTGTTGCCCTCTGGCCATTATTTTTTGTGTGTGTTCGGTCTTTGACCGAATTTAGATGAGGGCAAATTCAGAGGGGACGAAGGGAACGAAATTGCACGAGAAAATGAGCCCACTTTCATTAGGGTCAGTTAAAAGAAAGAATGCAATACCAGGCCGGTATTCTTTTACCAACAAACATTTTTTAAATTTTTGATAATTTTAAAGGTTGTAAAGAAAGTTTTTGCAATTTTTTGTTTTGTAAAGAAAGTTCTTGCAAGTTTTTGTTTTGTAAAGAAAGTTCTTGCCATTTTTTGTTTTGTAAACAAAGTTCTTGCAATTTTTCGTTTTGTCAAGAAAGTTGTTGCCATTTCTTGTTTTAAAGAAAGTTCTTGCTTTTTTTTGTTTTGTAAAGAAAGTTCTTGTCATTTTCTGTTCTGTAAAGAAAGTTGTTGTCATTTTTTGTTTTCTAATGGACCTTTTTGCTACTTATTGTATTGTAAAGAAAGCTTTTGCTTTTGTATTAAAAAAAACGATTTTTGGTTTTGCAGAACGCGCGAGACAAGTTATACGATGAAAAGTATACTAATAATGCTTTTGACGCGACTATAAAGAACGTTTTTGGCATTTTTTGTGTTGTAAATAAAGTTTTCGCGCTTTTTTACATTATTCTTTAATTGATTTTTAGAAAAATATATAATTTATATTGTTGTAGATAAACGATGACTACTCAATGGCTGCCTTTGGAGTCAAATCCGGACGTTTTTAATGATGTAAGCTTTTTCTGAACTTCTTGAAAGGTTGTAAAATACGATTTTTTCATTGTGATCTTGAAAATGACATTTTCATTTTATAAAATATTTTTAGTTTTTAACCAGAATTGGAGTCAAAAAGGCCAAATGTGTTGATGTATATGGATTTGATGATGAATTGATATCCTTCATTCCTAAACCGCATTTGGCATTGATCTTGTGCTATCCGGACTATAAAAAGGTTAGTGAAATACTTTTTTGGGGCAAATTTAGTTGTGGACATAAAATCTTGGGTTTAAGTTCGGGCGCAGCTTGGGATTGCATTTTTTAATCGTTTAGACTTTTACTTTCTTTACGTACTGGTAATTGGCAATAACTTTCTTTACAACACGAAAAATAGCAAGAATTTTTTTTACAAAACACAAAATGGCAAGAACTTTCTTTAAAAAACAAAAAATGGCAATAACTTTATTTACAAAACAAAAAATGGCAAGAACATTCTTTACAAATTGAAAAATGGCAAGAACTTTTTTTACATAGCAAAAAATGGCAAGAACTTTCTTTACAAAACAAAAAATGGCAAGAACTTTCTTTACAAAACAAAAAATGGTAAGAACTTTCTTTACAAAACAAAAAATGGTAAGAACTTTCTTTACAAAACAAAAAATGGTAAGAACTTTCTTTACAAAACAAAAAATTGTATGAATTTTCTTTACGAATCGAAAAATGGCAATAACTTTCTTTACAAAACAAAAATGGCAAGAACTTTGTTTTACAGAGCGAATTTGGCTGAAAACTTGAAAAATGTATTATTCATTGTATAAAATGTCATCGACAGCTTGCAAAACTTTATTTGCGGATTGATTTTTGGTTTTAAGTGACTTTTTTTCCAATTTCAGGTAGATGAAATCATGAAGCCAGTGTACGACAAGGTCTCGGCCGAAGGCGCAATCGTACCGGACAAGATCTTCTTCATGAAACAGAAAATTTCGAATGCCTGCGGCACTTTCGCTCTGTTCCATTCGATCGCTCAAAATACTGACAAATTGGATATTGGCCAAGGGTCCTTCGCCAAATGGTTTGAAGATGCCAAGAAGGTTGGTGTAGATGAACGGTCGGATGTGTTGGCTAAGTCGAATGACATCACGGAACAGCACGAAACCTCGGCTGCTGCCGGCGACACTGATGCGGATCCGAACACTGTTGAACATCACTTCATTACCTACTGTAATATCGATGGAACGCTGTATGAAATTGGTAAGTGATATTGGGGGAATTAGTGTGTGGTACAGTAGGAAAGGCAAGGTTACGGTAGGGCAGATAGAGTAATATCATGTATAGAAGGATAGGGTAGTGAGGTAAGGTAGAATATGGTAGGACAGGTATTCATCTTCTCGAAATTTTTTTAAATTAAAAATTTGAATTTCCAGATTCCCGCCAACCATTCCCAAGAGCCTGTGGCCAAACCTCTCAAGACAGTCTTCTGAAAGACGCTGGCGCAGCGGCCAAAGAGCTGATGGACAAGCTGGGAAATGTCTCGTTCAGCGCATTGGCTTTGGTCGGCGATGCCTAAGCTTGGCTTAAGCCTTTGGACAGGGGTTAAAACTTTAAAATTTGAAAGTTTGAGCCAACAAGCCTACTGTCCTAAGCTTGAAACCATGTTCTTTTTGCTTGTGGTATCTTCATACGGCTGAATTTGTACCCTAATTTATATTTTTTAACTGCTCTGAAGGTAATAAACGTATTTGTTTGGGTTTTAGCCCTTTAACAGCCAAATTAAGCCTACAACTTTTAACCAAAAGCAGCCAAACCAAGCCTAAAACTTCAAATACAAAGCAGCCAAATTAAGCCTATAACTTTTAACCAAAAGCAGCCAAACCAAGCCTAAAACCTTTATTCGTGGTCAGTTTAGAACATGAATTTATCAGTGAGAAACTTGAGGCCCTTCTTTATTTTGCTGTCCGTCACAGTCGCTTCGTCCTCGTAGCGGTCGGGTACGGACTGCAAATCCTTGAGCTCGTGCTCTTCCACATCCGTCTGCACGTCCACTTCTTTGTCGATCTGCGGATGAAACGAGGTGGTCTTTTTCTTGCCTATGCGACGCTGAAATTCGAAAAAAAATTAGGCTTCGGGGCGGGGTAAAACATGGAATGGTTAATAAATGAGGTTTTTGGGAGGGGTAAAAATGGAATGGCTGATCTGGTGGGGCAGAGAAAAGGGGAATGGCGTCATTTTAGGCAAAAAGTTGTGGGCGGGGTTAAATTTTGCATGAAAGAAATATAGGTAATTTTTAACAGAAAAATATTGTAAGTGGGATGATATTTTGGGTAGGGCATGGTATGGCAGGGTAGGATAGGGTACGGTAGAGCTTACGGTACGGTAGGGCCTAGGGTAGGGTAGAGTAGGGTAGGGTAGGGGTGAGAAACGGGCCGGCCTTGAGCTAAAATTGAAACGGGCCGGGCCCAAAGGTTAGGCCCGGGCCCGAAAAAAAAATTTTTAATTTTTAAAAATTTTTAATTTTAATCCCCGTTGATGTTTTTTGATTTTATTGGGTACCATGATACATAAATGATCTAAAGGAACAATTCAAAGCCAAATTTTCCGTTTATTTTTTAAGTTTTAAAATTTTTTAAAACGGGCCGGGCCGGGCCTAGAAATTTCCTGACCGGGCCGGGCCGGCCTGAGAGAAAATTGAAAGGAGAGTTCAAGTGTAGAAAAGGCTAGTACTGTACAGTACGATACCCACCTTGACCAATATTTTCTTTTCCGGATTCATGACGAAGAACATTCGTCGTTTCAAGGCTTCAGTTCGTCCGATCAGTACGGCGTCCATCTTCATCTTGTCATCGTCGTTGTCCCGCAAGAGCTTGCTCAACCTCTCAATGGTCTCGGGGCACATTGGGCGAACAATGGCCAACGACACCATCTTATAATGCTTTATGGCTCCAACCAGGCATTCTCGCGCATTTTCCGGAGTATCGCATATTATCCCGCAAATGTCAAGGATAATATCGCCCTTTTCTAAAACGCCGCTGGCTGAAAAGGTGTTTTTGATATCGACCGGTCGAAAATTGTTTTTTGGTTGTTTGAAAAAAAAACATCACAAAAATCATAACAATAGCCATTATATATTGACCGGTCAACAAAAATTTTTTGGAAATCGACTGGTCGAAAAATTTTTTTTTGACTGATCGATTAAAAAAAACGGGGAAAACCTGAAAACCTGTCATTATATACTGACCGGTTGATAAAAAATGTCATACAAGACTGTCTTCATTATAGAAAAAGTAAAAATTGACCAAAAATATTGACATACCCAACGAATAGTCCTGAATACTGCCCACTACCAGCAGATTATCCACCTTTTTTACGGCGAAACCCAGTTTGGCGTTCTTCCGATGTAATATGAAAGCTGTCAAACATGAATCTTTCTAAAATTTTTAAAAATTTAAAATTTTTCAGTTTTTTAATTCAATTTTTTTTTCGTACTATATAGCACGATACACAATTTTTTGTACCAAGCAGTCGTTTAGCGTGACTTTTTACTGCTATTAGTAGTATTAATGATTTAACTTGTAGTATTGTACTATATAGTACTAGGAATATTAAAAGTTATAATACCGTGCTACATAGTATTAGAATAAAGGAAATTCGTTGCACAGTACTATGCAACCCCAAAGTTAGAAGTTTTCATGTTTTGGTGCTATATAGTACAAAAAATGATAAATACTATCCATATTCTACTAGTGCTATACAGTACTAGTACAAAAACCTACAGGATATAATCTGTCCGTTTCGTGATATGCTTTTCGCGTGGGCGTTAACAGCGTGATTCTGGTGAAGCGTTCTATCGTCAGTGATACGGGCGAGGAAGTGCGGCTTAACAATTTGGTGAGTTGAATTTTACTTGTTACCTAAAATACATAATATTAAAATAATTTTAAAAAATAAAAAAAAATTTTAATTTTAAAATAAACTACAATATAATACCTTAGTTTTGTTGACTTGCTTGATCACGTCATGAACCTTGATTTTGTCCCAAAGCGGTGACACACCTGGCCTCATGTCAACATCCATAACGCCTAGCCCATTCGACATTTCCACTCCTAACTAAAATTACTGTCTATAAAATAAAAAAGCGCTCTACCCTATCCTGTCCTACCCTACCCTATCCTACCCTACCCTACCCTACCCTACCCTACCCTACCCTACCCTACCCTACCCTACCCTACCCTACCCTACCCTACCCTACCCTACCCTACCCTACCCTACCCTACCCTACCCTACCCTACCCTACCCTACCCTACCCTACCCTACCCTAACCTATCTGCCCTATTATGTCTTAATCTATTCTACTCTGCCCCTGTTACCCCTGCCTTGCCCTATCTCATCATAAATTACCGTAGACTACTATAACTAAACGTCATACCCAGTGTTTTGCCGGACCGGTCCGCGGACGGGTCCGGTCCGGACGGACCGAAACAACATTTTTTGCGGACCGGACCGAACCCAAAATCCTGCGGACCCGGTCCGGAAGAAAAAATTTTTTTTATTTTAATAAAACTGCTTTAAAAATTGCAAAGAAAACGTATTTTTAAGAGTTTTTAAACGTAGAGAAAGCAGTTTTAGCGTTCCTTGCTTTTTTTTTAAAAAAAATTTTTTTTGCGGACCGGACCGGACCCAAAAATTTGAAGTTTGGACCGGACCGGACCCGAAAATCGCCGGACCGGACCGGTGAAAAACGCTCCGGACCGGTCCGGGCAAAACACTGGTCATACCTATCATCGTCAAAGCTTAGACATCTCCAAGTCTACAGTGAACATAACCTGCTCATTTACCAGCTTTACTTTGCCTTACCTTAACTTTATCTTGCCCTACTCTAGTTCTACCCTAACCCTACCTTGACTTACTCCAGCGTTACTCTAACCCTATATTGCCTTCCTCTGGAGTTACAATTCTCTTACCCTAACCCTACCTTGCCTTACTCTATCTACCCTAACCTTACCTCAAGCTACCCTAATGCTAACAATCAAAATTCAAATCCCTACCGGCTGTCCAGCCTCGTAATCGATAGTGATAGTGTGAGTTCGTTTCTTCGGGGGTTCAGTAGCTTCTTTCAGGATTTCCTTGAGATCCACCTTCTTCTTCGGGCCTTTCTTTTCATCTTTTTTGCCATCTTTCTTCTCATCCTTCGGCTTTTCTTCTTTTTTCTCCGGAGTCTTCACCGGTGATATACCATTGTTGTTGTCAGTTGGCAACGGTTGATATGTAGAAGTATCTTTGTACGTTTTGGTGCTGACAGCAAGTGCATTTTCTGGTGGTGCCTAAAACAAGGTTACTGTATTTTTAATAATTAAGAAAAAAATTGTAGAAACTTTGTTTACAAGGCAAGTAATGGTAAGAACTTTCTTTACAAAGAAAAGATGGCAATAACTTTCTTTACAAAAAAAGAAATGGCAAGAACTTTCTTTACAAAACAACACATGGAAAAAACTTTCTTTACAATACAAAAAACGGCAAAAACTTTCTTTACAATACAAAAAATGGCAAAAACTTTCTTTACAAAACAAAAAATAGCAAGAACTTTCTTTACAAATAAGAAATGTCATAAAATTTGTTTCTACGACAAAAAAAACGTACATCATCATTCTCGTCCTTCGTGGTCAACGTCATGTCCACGGTGGCATCCGCATTCTTCTTCTTTTTCTTTTTTCCTTTCGGTTTCTCGGCCATTGTAGCAGATCAAAGTCGCCGGTTTTAATGGAGTCAAGCAACAAAAAGGAACGCACAAACAGCCGTTCGGATTAGACAAAGAAGGTGAAAATGAGTTTTTGGGAAAATGGGTACAAAATGAAGTTTGAAATTCAAACTTTGAGTCAATCTAAACTTACAAACTTTTCAAAAATTTGGACCTAAAACTTAACTTTTTTAATGATCATGAAGTTTCTATGGAAAAAAAATTATTTGCTTAGCATCCATCAGTCAAAATGTTTCTTTTAGTGCTATGCAACCATATTTCAGCGTATAACTCGTCGAACTCAACCCACCCCTTTCTGGTCGAGCTATTTTGCGCTCCGAACTTATACTTCCTCCGAGAAGTTGTCCGGATTGCCTTTCCTGTTGTTTTCTTTGAAGTTTTTAATTGAAATAAGATAAGATACCTAAAATATATATTATTGTCAATGTATTAACACATTTTTTATTATAAAATCAAGTTATTCTAAAGAATCTTGACCTTTCTTTGATTTTCTCGCTGTTTTTTGGTTAAACTCATGTTTATCACGATGTATTGCGCGAAATAAAAGTTTTAAATAAGTGTAATATGTTTATTATGATTTAATAATGTTTTACACAGGTTTTAGAGTAAGGAAACTGTCTGAAACAACGACGATTTACAAGTTATGGCGAGGAGAAAATCTTCACCAAGCCGCTCTTTCCGGAAACTAGCGGAATGATCAGAACAAGAGACGAGGTGAAATACGATGAACTATTTAATGACAACTGGACAAGCTGATGCAAATGTGAGTATTTGCTTTTTATTTGTTTCTTTTGTTTTTAGGCTTATTTGATGGATTTTCTCTTGATTATCACATCAGAACCATGGATAATATAATTTTGATAAAATTTGTGAATTTTAGCGAATGTGTATTGATGTCTTACTGGAATCAGTCGTAAAGGATCATGTGTGATGTTTCGAGTTTAAAGTCAAGGTCTGAAGAGCACGGCAAAGTTCAGAAATGATCGTTAAAACCCTGGAGGTATAGACAATGTTCTGCGAGTGGATTAATTGTTTAATGTGGGTTTTTTTCTTATGATAGCTGAACATAACAGGGTTTTGAAGGTAAATTAAGTGTTATATAAAACTCAGAAACGTGAATTTTATTTTTATGATTGATATTATCATGGATAATATAAATTTTTCAAAAAATAAAACTTGTTTCAAATTGAAATGGTTTGTATATAACGTTAATACTAATTTTGCGTATTTTAGGCGGTAACTTCTATAGTTTCCTTGTTCTATTACCTAATTGTCGCGCCATATAGTGTTAGGCGATTATTTTTTCATTTTTTTGAAATTTTACACTTTGTTTTAGAAGTTATTTCGAAAGTGAACTTTCGTTTTCTTTTACGAGTCCGACCGGTGGTTTGTACGTTTATAAAATCAAGTTACTTTGATCTGCTACAATGGCTGATAAAGATTTGAAGAGGAAGAAAAAGAAAACATTGACTGATGACGGGACACCAACTCCGAAGGACGAGGATAGAAGAGTAAGTATTTTTGAGATTTTTTGGAAATTTTGGTTACGGTTGTTAAGTTTTACGATGGATATTTAAACTTGTACTTCAAGACTGCGGGTGTCAATTTATACGATGAGAAGTATCTTTTGCTAGCTTTATTGTTATTTTTACGTTACAGGCGAAATCAAGATTAAATGCGCCTACACGCTCTTCAAATGAGCCGTTAAAGTCAATGTACCTAGACGCTCTTTTGGAAGGAACTTCACCCAAATCTACAGATCTTACCGGTAGCCCAAGCTCTCCAAATACGCCTCCTACTGGCGGTTCAAAGCCTTCAAGTACACCTCCTACTGCCGGTTCAAAGCCTTCAAGTACACTTCCTACCGTAAGCCCAACGGCTGCAAGTCCAGCTGCGAAAGAAAGCCCGAAGTCTACTACTCCAACTGAAAGCCCAAAAGCTGCAAGTCCAGCTGCAGTAGAAAGCCCGAAGACTACAGCGCCATCTCCAACTGAAAGCCCAAAAGGTGCGAGTCCAGCTCAAGTAGAAAGCCCGAAGAATAAAGCACCAGCTGCAGTAGAAAGCCCAAAAACTACAGGTAAAGCCTCAATTTTCATTCCAAAGTCTACGTACATACTTCCACCCAACGGCCCAAAATCAGCGCATTTGGGTCTAATTGACAATCCTAAATATACAGCTCCGAAAGAAGGCCCAAAGTCTGTACATGTAGCGCTGAACGCCGCTCCAAAATCAGTCAGAGTCGATGATAAACCGACTAAATCCATTGTTTCTATTCCAGACGCGAAACAGAAGCCGAAGGAAAAGCCGAAAAATACATCAGCTTACATGGATGAAGTTCTTCAGCCACCCAAAGTTGAAACTCTTACGGTTACGTTTGATTATGAACCCGGAGACACGGTGAGTTTAGTGAAAAGTACTATGTGTAGTCGAAGTCATCAAGGAAAGTACAAGACCTGCTTCGCTCTGATTGACTTCAAACTGTTTATACAGAAAGATCATGTAAATATAAGACCTTCAGTAAAGTACTAAATTGCACTTTTCAGTCAATTTCAAGAAAATCGAGATTAAATATACGTTTTGAATTTCTCGCCAATTTGACATAGTGTTTCAAGCTTGTAACTTTGCCATTTTTTGAGTTTTATGAATTTTTCTTTGATATACTGGTAGAAAATTTTTAAATGAATCTACATTTTTAAATTTGTAAGCCTAGTTTGTCTGTAAAGTCGAAAAAACTGCTTGAAACACAATGCCAATTTGGCGGGAAATTCAAAACGTAATTTTTTGATCTCGATTTTCTCGATATTGATTGAAAAGCGCGATTAGTACTTTGCTGAAGATCTTATATTAAAATGATCTTTCTATATAAAAAGTTTGAAGTCAATCAGAGCGAAGCAGGTCGGGCCCTTTCCTTGTAAGATAGCAGAAAAGTTTTGTCGTTTTTTAACAGCACGTTAAATTGCGACCAGACTTTTGCGGCCTGGGTATGGCCGTTTTTTGTTTTAAACGCTAGTTGACTGTATATCTGATTTTAGCTGGGCCTGGAAGTGACGGAACGATTAAAAGTGGTAAACGTTGACAAACGACCGGGTCACTCACCTCTTTGGGGCAAACTGAAAGCTTACGACAAGATATTGCAAGTCAACAAGAAAAAGGTAAGTTTTTGTTTATGGAACTACCGTTTAAAAAATTTGTTTGACTATACAGTAGGCTTCTGTATAACGAATCGCTTGAGGATTTAAAATTTGCTTGTTGTAAAGGTTGTTTTGGTATAGAGAAGTTCGTTATACAGAAGTTTGTTGTAATACAGTTCGTTATATAGGATTTTTACTGTACTAGTCTTCTTGTACGTTCGTTTTAGGTACAAACAAAAGATGAATTAGTGCAATCATTACCGCGAACTTCATCAACTGTAAAGTTGATAGTTGAAAGGTACATTAGAGTAAGTGAGTTAACGCCTCTCCGAAGAGCATACCATCAAACGGACAAGTTATACCCGGTAAGCTTGTTATATCCTACCTTGGCTTTGGTTTGGCTTGGCTTTGCTTTATCCTTGTCCACTTGATCTAGCTTTGCCCGGCTTGAGTCTTAGTTTGGCATTAGCGTTGTTCTAGCTCTACCTTAGCTTTGCTCTATCCACGCTTGGTTTTGCTTAAGCTGAGCTTTGGTCTTGACTTGGCCTTGTTCCAGCGCCGGTGTAGTCCTTACTTGGTCTTCTCTAGCTCTGGTCTAGTCCAGCCTTGGCCTTGCTTTGGCTGGGCTTTAGTCTTGACTTGACCCTGTCCCAGCTCTTGTTTTGCCTTTACCTGGTATTGTCTTAGCTTTGGTCTAGTCTTGCCCTGACCATGCCCTAGGGCTATGCTCTAGTTTTGCTTTGGCTTGATCCTAGCTCTAGTTTAGTTCTGCCCTTGCTCTGCTCTAGTTTTGTTTTAGCCCGTACTTCATTCTGTTTTGGCCTTACTTTAGCCCTGTTTTAACTTTGCTCTACCTTGTCTTTGCTCTGGACATTGCCTACGCAATAGAAAAAATAATTTGTTGAATTTTCAGCTCGACGCCTGTTTGACAGTGTTTCTTTTGCAAAGCAAAAATGGTCGATTAGGGTTGAAATTTGGAATAACAAAAAGTTTGTTGGTAGTGATGGGTGTGGTAGAAGATTCGCCTTGTGAGTAATTTTTTCGATATTTATCATTGTTTGCCATTTTTTTCAAAACTTTATGAAATTTTATTTTTTAAATTTTTTAAAAATAATTTTAAAAAATTTTTTTAAAAAATGTCTTAAAATTTAAAAATTTTTCAGCCAGTGGCGTCTTGGAAGCGGGCGATATAATTTTGGACATTCACGGCGTAAAATGTGACAATGCGGAGAAAGCGAAGAAAGCGTTGAGTAGCGCGATGAAGCAGTACAAAATGATATCACTGGCGGTTGTTCGCCCGTTGACTGTAGAAACGCTGAAAAAAGCCCAGCCGAATATTGACGAATCTGAAGAGAAAACGAAAGCTGATGCCATGCTGATTGGACGAGCTGAGGCTTTGAACCGCCGATTGAAGGAGCCGAAGGTTGGCAAAGGGATCTTGGTTAAGGTAGGGTTGATGGTTCTTTATTTTATGATTTTTTTGATTCATTCAAGGACGTCGCTACGGATTTTCTCTGGGGGGGCGATAAAAAATGTTGTCTGCAGTTACCTGTGGACCAATTTAAAAAAAAAATTTTTTTTTGCGTTTAGGTACCACCTACCTGTGGAATTTTTTTTTGGATCGACAATGGGGGGTTGGGTACCCCCCTCCCCCTCTACCCCTTCCCCTAAACGACGTCTCTGGGTTTATCTTACTTTTTTTATTTTTTTTGTTTATCTTATCCTACCTTCACTCCTACCACTAACTCCACTTTTTCCAGCGTTCTGCGAAGACAAAGAACCGAGCTACTGTGAATACAAGCCCCAATGTACTGGATGTTCATACGGATACTGAGAAGGAAGAAATACCCAATTTACATTCGGTCAAAGAGATGAATGACGACACTAGAATGCCGAAGCAAAAAAACAAAACGGAATTACTTAACGAAAAGATCTTTGCCGAGTACTAACTTGAAATAAACGTTTACGGGCTTCTGATTGAGCAATATATTGTGAGAAATAAATTGTAGTAGACGTGTTTTGGTTTTATACCATTAGCTATAGTATTGATGTCTATAACGTGTTTATTAGCTACTGACCGTATCTTTTGAGGATTTATTATATAGTTTTATCTTTCTTGTTTTGTAGTTTATGCTTATGTTATGGTGTTTTTGAGATGGATTTTTTGATCGCATGGTTATATTGGTCAAGTTATGCAGTTTTAGGTTGGTCAAGTATATATATATATAGCGAACGGTCAGTTATTGTTGAGCACATAACAGTTTCAATTCGAGATGGAATTGCATAAAAATGGAAGTATAAAGGTAAATTATGTATAGCTACAGATTTGATAAGTGGTACGATGTATAATATTGAAGCGTACTTTGGGTTTTGTGGCCATAGTGGTTAGGTTGTTGTTTTAGATTGGTCAAACATGGCTGACCGCGTAACGGCTTCAATTCTAGGTGGAATTGCATTCAAATGGGCATATAAAGGTAGGTTATAGTATGTAGTTTTAGAATTGATAAGATATACGAGGTATATGGGTATACTTTTGGTTTTGTGCTATGGGTAAAGGCTGGGCACAGTCTCCTTAATAATTGCTTAGGCCGGGTAGAAATGAGGAACTTCAGCCCGGGCCCACCTTTGGGTCGGGTATGAGCAAAATTTAGGTCTCGCCGGGCCTGGAAAAGCCCGGCCCGTTTATACTTAAAAAAAATTTGGACCAGCCTTGAAAAAAAACTCAGATCGGGCCGGGACTAACATTCAAGTCTTTTGAATGTTAGGCTCAATCACGGCCGGGCGCGGGAAAAAGAATTTTCGAAAAAAGTTGACGTGCTTCCCCCTGTGGATGTTTTCAACCTTTCCCCTTCCCCCCCCCCTTCTCTAGACCAAAAGTCCCCGCCCGCCCTTGGGCCCAATGTTCCCCACGTCTAGGCCTGGGGTTAGATGGAGGCTGCGCTGAGGTTAATGAGCTTTCAGATGTAGCGCCAGATAGTTTGGCCATAACTTTGTTAATTTTGATTTGTGACTTTGGTACTTTTTTAATTTGGATGCTCTATTGGAATCTACCGTCTAGACCAGTGTTTTGCCGGACCCGTCCGGACCGGACCAAAAGAAAATAGAGCCGGACCGGACCGAAAATTTTCCGGACCGGACCGGACCGAAAAAAAATGTTTTTTTATTTTAATAAAATTGTTCTAAAAATTGCAAATAAAACATATTTTTAAGAGTTTTTAAACGTAAAGAAAGCAGTTTTAGCGCTCCTGGCTTTTTTTAAAAATAAAAAAAAATTTTCCGGACCGGACCTGACCTTTTTGGTCCGGACCGGTCCGGCAAAACACTGTCTAGACACGTAAATTTTTGGTTCATATATATTTGAAAAAATTAAAATTTGTAAATAAATTGCATTTGCTTTTGGTTGAAAGGGGTTGATGTAAATTAAATCTTATTAATTACAAAGGTTTATTTAGTCTAAAATGGTGTGTAATGTGATGTGAAGGGCACTGAGAAACGTTCAGTCCAATAAAAAGCCTACAAAATTGTGTTCGCATCTTGTTTATTAAAAACTTGTGATCTTTTTGAAATTAAAATTAAATTAAACAATTTAAAATTAAACACGATTAAAAATTGGTGCTCTTTAGCACTATTTAATCACTGTTATTCTAATTGTTTTAGATTTTGTTGGAGTGTTCCATCCATTTTTTGATACGATGTTAAGGTTATTAACATTGTGTGTACTGATATGTATAGGGATTGAAGCCTTGAATGTTGAAAATTTATTAAAAAGTTCGAATTCGGAATTGGACAATCTAAACGGTGTACCAGAAGGCACAAAGAAGACCTTGAGATTGGCTAAGCAAGTGTATTTGAATTTGAACAAGAGCCATGAACACGATTTCAAGCAGTTCTTCACGTTTGTACATAGGTATGTTGATAGTTTATATCGGTGTTTTGTTGGGCTGTTGTAGAAAAATATTTTATTCAATAAGAATGCAATAGGAAATAGGTCGGATTACGGTAATTTAGGCAGTATTAGGGCTAGTGGGAATGCTATAGCAAGCAGAGCTTTGGTAAAGAAAGTTTATCTTATGGTTTTGTCATGTAGAGCAGGTAGGATTATAGTATGTTAAGGCCTAAACTATGTCAGGGCCTAGGGTACGATAGGGCCTAGGATACGGCTGGGTCTAGGGTACGGCAGCTAGGTACGGTTGGGCCTAGGGTACGGTAGGGCCTAAGGTACGGCAGGGTCTAGGCTACGGTATTGCCTAGGGTACGGCATGGTCTAGGGTACGGCAGAGCCTAGGGTACGGCAGAGCCTAGGGTACGGTAGGGCTTCGGGTACGGCAGGGCCTCGGGTACGGCAGGGCCTAGGGTACGGCAGGGCCTAGGGTATGGCAGGGCCTAGGGTACGGCAGGGTCTAGGGTACGGCAGGGCCTAGGGGACGATAGGACTTAGGCTGGGATTTAGTAGAGTAGTAACACGTACGGTAGGCTAGGTTGGAGTAAGGCTGTGGTAAAGCCAGGTTAAGATAAGCTAGTTGTACTCCGCCATTCTATTATAAATGATAAAACTTTTTTATTTTTTTTATTTTTCTAGCTTTTTAGACATAAACGTGAATACGCTGACGAATCTACCCTGAAGTCTCGTTTTTCCAAATTTCAACTAAATTTGCGGCACATCGATCAACTCAACAAAGAAGACAACCTTGCCACATATGGAGTGACTAAATTCAGCGATTTATCATCAGAAGAGTTTATTAAACAAGCTACAGGCAATATCCTCGGCGACAAATCTTCCCATAGCTCGTCAGATGAACTAACTTCAGTTAAAGGAGACTACAATTACCCAAAAAATTTTGATTGGCGAACCGACCGAGGCTTCCAACCAATCGTAATGGATCAAGGACTGTGTGATTCGTCGCACGTCTTCACAGTCATTGCCATCGCCGAAGGCAGTTACTTTAGAACCTACAATGTGTCTGTGAAATTCAGCGAACAACAAGTTTTGTCTTGCATGGAGAATGAAGGCTGTAGTGGAAATACTATAGAGAATTCATTAAAGAACATACTAGATGAAGGTGTCGATTATGCTGATGACTATCCATACACGAATTGGGATTCTCCAACAACTCAAGCTTGTATCAAAGACAAGGCCCAATACGGAGTAATTAACATATACAGGGTTTTAAGAGATCAGCCGGAAGAACAAATAAAGCAATGGCTCTACTGGAATTCACCGATTGCTGTGAGTAAGTGTGGCCAAGGGCGTTGTGGCTTTAGATTATCAACATACTAAGTATATTTTGGGCCCTGCCGTACCCTAGGCCTTGCCGTATCCTAGGCCTTTCCGTAGCTTAATCCTTACCGTGTCTTAGATCCTACCGGGTCTTAGACTCTACCATATCCTAATTTCTACCGCACCCTAGGCCTTACCATACTTTAGATTCTATCGTATCCTAAGCTTTACCGTACCATAGGGTCTACCGTACTCTAGGCTGAGCATTATAGACTTCGTTCAACTTAACGAAAAACATTGAAATATTTAGTAATTGATGCCAAGCTGATTCAACATTATAAGAAAGGAATAATTGGTATTAAACAACCGTACGATTGCTCAATGGTAAATCATGGCGCGGTAATAATGGGGTATGGCGAAAACGAACCAGGTGTTCCATACTGGACACTGAAAAACTCGTACGGAACGAATTGGGGCGAAGGTGGTTACTTCAGGATTGTTCGTAACCAAAGCACGCTTCAGGTGAACTGTCAAGCCGCTTATGCTGCTACTAGTAAAGGTAGAAATTAAATAAAGTAAAATAATTTTTTTGATTATTTACTATAGTAATGCATGTTTTATTTATTTGAATAAAATATTACCTTTGCACAACATCATTGACTTTTCCTACCCTACCCTGCTCAATCAGACCTTTTTTTACTCTATTCTATTGTACCATAATTTATTCTATTTCACCCTACCCTACCCTACCTTATTCTACAATGCCCTACCCTACCCTACCCTACCCTACCCTACCCTACCCTACCCTACCCTACTCTACCCTACCTTACCCTACCATATCCTATCCTACTCTATTCTACCTTACCCTACTTTACTCTACCTTACCCTACCCTACCTTATCTTACTTTACTCTAGCTTTACTTTTCTTCCTATAATAAATAATTCTACCGCTAGTCGGGACTTTGTGATACGGTATTCTATCCGAGTCATACGATAGGGTTTATGATCTAACGTGATCTACAGTCTACCATGCTTTTATATATCCTATAGTATACTTCTTGACATTTTTTTTTCTTTTCCTTTTTTCCATCCCTTCTCTCCCCCCCCTCTCCCATCTCCTCCCCCCCCCCTCCTTCCCCCTCCTCCTTAAATCAAAAATACAGGCCCAACAACCTTGCTCTAATCTCATCTTAAAAATATTTGAAAATAAGCGAAAAACCTGTAAACAAAATTTCTTCACTGTAAATCTTTTGACATTCGAATCCATCTACATTTCGCTGCAAATCCAGTGTAAACAAAGTTTTCGCGGGCAGTTTTTTATCTATTTCCGGCCACAGGGGAATTTCGAAAAAGTGGCTGAGGTTAATTTTGAGAATGAAAATTCGAAAAAACAAAAAAGAAGGGGGAGGGCGCGGAAAAGCAGCGAAAAATGTTTGGTCCTAACGAGTACGGGAGCACAAAAGAGCCGCGGGGGTGTTTAAAGAGACGGCTTTTTTGGAGGATTTCTTCGTTGCTTTGTTACTACTATTTAAGGGGTTTTACTTTGTTTTTGCGGTTTCGGCATCAAGAAGAAGGGTTTATGTTTAGTACTATTGAATGTTTATGGGATTTAAATTGGTTGTTTTTGAAATGGCGTCAAGTTGAAATTTTATAAAAATTAAATTTTAAAATTAAAAAAAAAGTTTTAAAGAGAGCTACTTATGGCTGGCGGTAGGGTAGAATAGAATAGGTTAAGTGTAAAATTGGATACAGTAGGGTAATGTAGGGTAGGGTCGGGTAGAGTAGGAAAGGGTAGGATAGGGAAAGACGGGGTAAAGTTGGGTATGGTACGGCAAGGTATGTTAGTGTAGAGCTAGAACAGACCCTGGATTAGCCAAGCTTAAAGTTAGTGCACGGTTAGGGTAGGGCTAGTCAATGAATTTAGAAGCTAGGGTACAGTTAAAGTAGGGTTAGGCTGGATCAGGTATAAGGTTCTTTTTGTCTTGATGGAGATGTTTGTACTTGTATTATGTTTGGTTTGGCTTGTTCTTAATTTTTAACTGCCGTAGGACTAGCAAACGGTCAAGTATGGATTTGGTTGTGTAGGGTAGGGTAAAATAAAGTGTAAGAGCAGAGTGGAGTAGTATAGGGCTGGATACGGCAAGACGGGTCCATTCAGATTAGAGCAGGCCAGGGTAGAGTAGGGTAGGGTAGGGCAGGGTGGGGTACGGTAGGGTAGGGTAGGGTATGTTAAAGTACTATGATATTATGGTACGCCTTTTCTTTTTCAACCGTTCACTTCACAATAATTTACTACACCTCCTAACATGACAAAAAATACATTTGGTTGGTGTTATAAATAAATAATTTATTTATAAAGACGTGGAAAACGCGCCAAAGTTTTTTTCCGTCTTCTTTGCATACATATTCATTCCACTTCGTATATGTAATGTCTTTTTCGGGATTAGAGGGTGTTACAGCCAGAAAAAACCTTGGCCATAACTGTGATATCTTTGGTCGTGTCGTCTTAGTTTTTGTATTTTTTCATAAATTTTGAAGTTTTATCTTTAAAAATGGAAAAATTGCGGGTTGCAGGCTGCGGGAGTCATGTTATACGAAGAAAGGTGTTTGTTTTTTGAAGGCATGATGTAAGCAAATTTTCTGAGCGGGAGGTCATTTTTGTATGCTTAGAGGTCTAGAGGATGGGGGGGGTGGGGTGGATTAAAAAAAATGGGGCAGGAGTGGGGGTGTGTAAAAAATAAATAGGGGGATTATCTTTTAATTTTTTAAAATTTTGTGGGTGACTTACAAAAAACCAAATTAAACAAATTGCCAGCTTAAACCATTCATTAAGTAGATAGCTTTGATATTATTCAGAAGTACATACTAATGTACTTTTGCAATTACGTTTGATGAAAACAAAAAGACGATTAGTGGTCCATGTTGATGTTTGTACGTATCTGCACGTGCAATTTTGTGTGTCATACTGTTTATTTTTGGTTACTTTTTAGTATAAAATATGGTTTTGTTGATCTTTGGTAAAAAAGTGAAGGGGATTGCTTGTGTTTGATAAGTAAGACACATTATACGATGAAAAAACTAAAAAATTTTTAGTTTGAAAAAAAAAATTTTTAATTATAATTTTTTTGATTTTTATATAATATATTTGACGTTTTGAAGTAATTTTTTACTATTTTTATTTTAACATTTTCAAAAAGCAACATTTTATGCGATGAAACATATACAAGAAAATTTAAAATTTAAATTTTTTGAATTTTAAAAGTTTTAAAAATTTAAAGAAAAGCCCGACATTTTGCCATTATTTAATAATTACATGCACCTGCAGCCTAAAATTAGCTTTTTTTCTCACATTTACGTCAATCCGACGTGTTTTGTGAGTAGAAAATTACAGGTGAAATAAATAAAATAATCGCTCAATTACACTGTTTGGGCCGCGTATGTTATTAATAATGGAAAAATGTCACAACTTAAACTTTTTTTAAAATTATTTTTTAGTTTTTAAAAATTTTTTTGATAAATTATGAAGTACGGTAAAGTTACCTTTAAAAATTGAAAGACTGATGTTTTAACGTAATGCAGTTTAGAGTAGGGTAGAGACTGATAAGGTAAGGTGGGTAGAGCGGGGTATGGTAGGTTAGGGCAAGACAGAGCAGTTCAGAATAGGGCAGGAAAGAACAAAGATGAACAGGACAGGAACGGTATGAAACGGCAAGGCAACGTAAGACTGAGCAGGGAAGGGCAGGGCTGGCCAGGGAAGTTTGGGGCAGGCAAAGAGAGAGCAGAGCAGGGCTAGGGTAGGCAAGGCTTGGCACAAAGCAGGGTTGGGTTGTGTAGGGCAAGGGAAGACAAGGCGAGGCAGGGCAGGACAGAACAGTAATGAGCAGGACAGGAACGGTAGGACAGGATAAGGCAAGGAAAGGCAGGGTAAGGTAAGGCAAGGCAAGGCAAGGCAAATCAAGGCAAGGCAAATCAACGCAAGGCAAGGCAGAGCAAGGCAAGGCAGAGGAAGGCAAGGCAAGGCAAGACAAATCAAGGCAAGGCAAATCAAGGCAAGGCAAAGCAAGGCAAGGTAGTCTCTCCATTAAAAGTCTGAGTTTTTTAATTTAAAAAATGTAAAAAATTTGATATTTTGAGCGGTTTTTGATATTTTTTTTGTTTTTCGAACAAAGACTTTTTCAAGTTTGTGCCATTCATTTAAATGTTTACGTGTGTTCGAGAAATGAAGGTCTTTCTTTCCCCCTCCTTTTCTAATTTTAATGTCCTGGAACTTTATTATACGAATTCGCTTTTGTTTTACGACTTTTTACAAGTTTTCAATAACTTTGTAGTAGGTTTTGTTTTTGAGTTTGTTTTTGAGTTTTTATACTATTAATTCTTCTAAAAAATTTTGAAAGGGCAGGCTTTAGGGCATGTCTGCTCTTTTAGGGCAGATTGGAGTTTAGGGTAGCTGGCTTTTGGGGTAGGGCAGAGTACGGGGTAGAGAAAATTTACGTTAAAAAGTTAATTTTTTTGGTTAAGCGTGGTATTATGTAGGGAGGGGTAAATTTTAGAATGGAGGCGGGTAGGCTTTTTGGGTAGAGCAAATTTTAGAAAAAAAAAATTTTGGCAAGCCGGGTTTTCGGGATGTTTAAGCTTTATGTGTATGTGGTAGTACCGGGTTGGGTAGGGCAGGGTGTGATATGTTTGATGTTTAGTTACGGTTGGAAACGTTATTTTTCTGTACAGTAGGACAAATTATGGCACATTAGGGCAGAGTAGGTTAGGGTAGTGTAGGATAAGGTAAGGTAAGTTATGGTAGTGTAGAGTGGTTTATATTAGGGTAGGGTAGGGGTAAGGTAGAGTAGGGTAGGGTAGGGTAGGGTAGGGTAGGGTAGGGTAGTGCAGGGTAGGGTAGGGTAAAAAATACTTTAAAGTTAGTACTGCATCAGGGTAAAAATAGCCAAAATATTGTCAATAACATTGCTCAGACATTAAACTTTTGGTATGCAAGGTTTTGAAGCGAAAAAATCCGTTTTTTTCTAAAACCTATGGCCAAAAGCCTTGGACTCGATCCGGAGGCGTTTCGAGGGGATCTTCGAGAAGAGAACAGGCCGGATCACTGGTCGGGGAAAAAATAAATCTTTTAGGGCCTTTCCGAGGTTTCTTCGACATAATTTTTTGCTAATTTGAAAAAGTTGAAAAACTTTATTATTAATCTTATTGGGCGAAGACTCAAAAATTGTTTCGCGTACAGACCTACCTGTGCAATTGTTTTCGGATTGGCTCTGGGGGGGGGATGGATCCACTCCTTTCACGCCCCCCTCCCTCCCTTGCGACGCCCCTGGGTGGATTTTATTAAAAACATTACTTTCAGTAACAGAAAAGATGAAAAATTGCAAGAACTTTCTTTACAAGACAACAAATGGCAAGAACTTTCTTTAAAAAATAAAAAATGACAAGAACTTTCTTTACGGAAATAAAATTTTTTTGAAAGTTAGGTTTGTGCACTATGCAATAAAACAAACTTGCCCTTAATTGGCCTTAGGGGATTAGTACATTTTGAAGCAAATTTTTTATATTTTTGTTTGTTTACACTTTTAATGATGTGATAATGGTTTTGAAAAGATTTTTAAGGAAGAAAGTTGTCTATAATTTTCTCGACATTTTTCATATCATGTGTGAAATAATGGGTAAAATACGAAATTTGTGGGGTGAGTTATATGAAGAAAAGCACTTTTTGTAAAAACGTTTTTTCTATTTCTTGTCTTGTAAAGAAAGTTTTTGCTATTTCCAGGCTGCGGGTGACAAGCAGTGTTTTGCCGGACCGGTCCGGCCGGTCCAAATGTTTAGCGAGGAACTTGTATGAGACGGACCTTCACAAAAGTTATTTATTTTTTAAAACTTCAAATTATAATCTCAAAAGTTTTTTCAATTTTGCAATTTTTGAAAATCCGGACCGGACCGGACCCGGTCCGGCAAAACACTGGTGACAAGCTTTATGATGAGTAATTTTTTGTTTTGTAAAGAAAGTTCTTGCCATTTTTTGTTTTGTAAAGAAAGTTTTTGTCATTTTTTGTTTTGTAAAGAAAATTCTTGCCCTTTTTTGCCTTGTAAAGAAAGTTCTTGTTACTTCTTTAAAAGAAAGCTGTTTTGCGACGTTGCAATCTGCGGGGGACAAGTTGTAAGATAAAAAAGGTTTTTTTCAAAACAATTCTGGGTTCTGTAAACAAAGTTTTTGCGATAAAACTGTAAGTGTTAGGTAAAATACGGAGTATGTGTTTAAGTCTTCAAAAGCTAAGGAAGTTTGACAGTGGAGCTTTTGTATAAACGACTTCACATTAATGAAAACTCCGTATAACGAACAAATTTAAAATCTTGAGCGATTCTCTATAGACGGCTTCTACCGTATTTTTTATATTATAATTTAACCTTACTGTACTTAAAATCTTTGCCAAAACACAACTTGACTTCAAAGCCCTGAGGCTCCAAAAACTTGTTGTTTAAGAGGAGTTTAGGGGCAGAGTGCGAACCTATTGTTGGCATCACTTTTTGCGTATTTTTTATTCGATTTGGTGTGTGAAGATGTCTGTCTCTTCTTTTTTATGATTACTCTTCGGCCGCCAAGATTTTCGGGATTTTCGTAAAAAAAATTTTTTTTTGAGTGCGAAAAAGTGGAGTTTTTTGTTGTGAAAAAAAACCTCTTGAAACTTTTTCGCGGGGTTTCTCGAGATTTGCAGATTGACTTGAGCTTAAGGCCGGGAGGGCGGTAGAGGGGGGGGTTTAAGGCCGGGAGCCGAGTAGGAGATAGCAGGTTAAGGCTGTCTTGGCCTTAAAGGTCAGGGCTCATAATTGACGCTAGTGGTAATTCGAGGCTGCGAAGGTTTCAAAGATTTTTTTAAAACGTTTTTTGGCAGGGTGTATAAGTTTAATGAAAGGGAGGGGGAGTAATACACCTGTAAAGGTTCCGCGCTTAAGTTTATGGTCTGGACCGAACTTATTTATATTTGTTTTGGCTAGGCCATTTTTCAACTGTTTGGGGCAGGGCTAAAATTAAAAAAAAACTGGGGGAAGCGAAAGAAGTTTGAAAATGCGAAAAATGCTTGCTGCTGGGCTTTGGTTTGGACCATGCTCTAGGGCTTACGTGCGCTGGCTCGGCCTCTTTCGAATTTGCTTCGGCTGACCTGATCCGACTTGGACCGGGCTGAGAACTTGCTCTGCCTAGTATGCCCTCTTTCAGATCTTGTACGAGGTAAAACAACTAGTTGCTGTTTTACTTTATACTATGTCGGTGTTTCTTCTTTTCCTTTTTCAGTAATATAAGATTTATAAATTATTATTGCGGTTTTTGAAATTCCATCCTTAAATGAGCAAACATTGGCCGGTGGCCTTTATGTGGACTTTTTATTTAGTTTTTTTACATTTTTAAATTTTTTTGATTTTACTACCGCCAGACAAGGATTTTTGGCTTGACAGGGGAGGTGCTAGAAATTTTTTTTGAGGATTTTTTGATTTTTGATAACTTTTTTAAAATGTTTGATACTATTTTTTAAACTTTGTGATTCGCGACCAATATAACATCATAAAATGAACGTTATGTCATTTTAATTACAATTTTATCATTTTTAATTATCTTTAATTTTTCAATCCGATTATTAAATTGTTTATGTGATAGATGCAATACAACTTCTACTACAATATACTTTCCATTTTACAACCTGTAATTACTCTGTAAAAGCTTATTTTTAACTTTTTTAAACTTGGAATCAAATAAGCCTCGTGGGATTGGGTTTAGTTGGCTTAGGCATATTAGGCTTAGGTTTAGTAGGCTCAACTTTAAAAAATTTAGGCTTTGTAGCTTCAGGTTTATTAGAGTTAGGCTTAGTAGTTGCTGGCTAAAATTTGTTGAAAAACTGTTTAGGCTTGGTTCAAACTTTAAATTCACGTATTATTTGTTTACTATGCTATAATACCGCGTACTATAGTTCTTATTATACATATTTTGAGTTGCACTTCTATCCTGACAACAGTGCCTAATGCTCGTGTATTGTCAACATGTTTGCTTACCGCGGTTTTTGAAAATAGAAAATCTGTTTCTTCCTCATTCTAATGTGGAATGACATAGGTAGTTACTGAAGATGCATATAGAGTGATATCGATTTATCATTGAAATAATATAGATAATTATGCGAAATAACGCCCCCCGTATTTTACAAAAAAAATTATTTCCAAAACTTTTTTTTAATTTCAGGTCAATTGATGACCAAGCTCAAACAACACTATCAGTCCGCGCCATTCTAAACCCTAGTTCAGGCACAGAATGGCCGAAAAGGAAGAAACGTCGGGCGGAGAACAAGACGATATCTCCTTCTTGAGAACGGTAAGTGTGGTTTATTGTATGCTAAAGTAAAATTTGGTGACAGGGCCAATTTTGAGGGTAGGGTGAAATTTAAGAGTAGGGTAAAATCTGAGGGTAGGGGGAAATTTAAGGGTAGGGTAAAATCTAAGGGTAGGGTGAAACTTAAGGGTAGGATAAAATTTTTAAGCTAGGTTTAATTATAAGTGTAGAATAGGATAAAGCAAAGTGAGGTGGAGTAGGGTAAGGTAATGCAGAGCAGAGTGGAGTAGTATAGGGCAGGGTAGGGCACGACGGGTCCATTCAGAGTAGAGCAGGCCAGGTTATAGCGGGATAAGGTAGAGTAGGGAAGAGTAGGATAGGGTAGGGTAGGGTAAGGTAGGGTAGGGTAGGGTAGGGTAAGGTAGGGTAGGGTAGGGTAGGGTAGGGTAGGGGGTAGGGTAGGGTAGGGTAGGGTAGGGTAGGGTAGGGGTAAGGTAGGGTAGGGTAGGGTAGGGTAGGGTAGGGTAGGGTAAGGTAGGGTAGGGTAGGGTAGGGTAGGGTAGGGTAGGGTAGGGTAGGGTAGGGTAGGGTAGGGTAGGGTAGGGTAGGGGTAGGGTAGGGTAGGGTAGGGTAGGGTAGGGTAGGGTAGGGTAGGCTAGGGTAGGGTAGGGAAGGTAGGGTAGGGTAGGGTAGGGTAGGGTAGGGTAGGGTAGGGTAGGGTAGGACAGGGAAGAGTAGGGTAGGGTAGGGTAGGGTAGGGTAGGGTAGGGTAGGGTAGGGTAGGGTAGGGTAGGGTAGGGTAGGATAGGGAAGAGTAGGGTAGGGTAGGGTAGGGTAGGGTAGGGTAGGGTAGGGGTAGGGTAGGGTAGGGTAGGGTAGGGTAGGATAGGGAAGAGTAGGGTAGGGTAGGATAGGGAAGAGTAGGGTAGGGTAGGGTAGGGTAGGGTAGGGTAGGGTAGGGTAGGATAGGGAAGAGTAGGGTAGGGTAGGGTAGGGTAGGATAGGGAAGAGTAGGGTAGGGTAGGGTAGGGTAGGGTAAGGTAGGGTAGGGTAGGGTGGTAGGGTAGGGTAGGATAGGGTAGAGTAAGACAAGGCAATGTAGAATAGTAAATGGTACTGTAACGGCGACTTTCTGACCGAAAAAAACCATTCTTATGCCTTTTTGGCTTTAAAAATGCACAATTTCTTACTTGTAATCTCATTTTTATTAAGCATAACTTTTAAAATTGTAAAACGAATTATATTTTTGCACTTTTAAACTATTCATCAAAATTATTTTCAAGTTTTACCACATAATATAGCCTATTTTCGCAAGCCGGAACAAATATTTTTCTGTTTTTAACACTTTTTTTTACTTGAAAAACCCCCGCAAAAAGTACGTTCTACGTCAAAACGAGTAAAGAGATTTGAATAAAAACATTTGAAAAGAAAAAACAGTTTTTTGCATGAAAAAACATTGGAAAAGCAACAGCAAAGCGGTGTAAAATTTCATTGTAAACGATACGAGGTCAAAAGGTTAGTAGATAGAGGGAAATGAGACAAAATTTATGACAAAATTAGTTGATTTTACGTTAAAATAAGGAAACATTGTTAAAATTAAAAGCACGTGATGATTAAGCCTAAAAAGCGAACAGCTTTTAAAATTAAACTTACTAAGCTTTTTTAAGCCTAATAAGCTTAGATTGAGTAAGCTCAAGCCTACAGTGTCTAAGTCTTTTCAGCCTAGTAAGCCTAAGCTTACCAAGCCTTAACCTAAGCCTACTAACATTGTAAGATTAAGCTTAATAATCCTAAGTCTACTAAGCCTTAGTCTACTAAGTCTAAGCCTACTAAGCTTAAGCCTACTAAGTCTAAGCATACTAAGCCTTACCCTAGTGAGCTTAATTTTGCTAAGCCTAAGCCTATTAAGCCTAAGCCTCTATAGTCTAAGCTTCCTAAATCTACCGACTTAAAAAAAGTAATGTAAAATACGGAACGGCAGATTTTTTTTAATAAAATTTCCATCTTTAGGGAGATATCGTAGCCCTGAACTGTGTCTCATCCACGACCAAAGATGGCGTCAACTCATCGGGTCGAGTATGTATGTGCACCGAAGGCTTCGGTAATCGTATGTGTTCGTTGGAGAATGTCAGTGGAAAAGATGTACCACCCGACATATCCATGTGCATGTTCTTCATCGACAATGCTTTGTCCGTTCGTGCTCTACAGGAAATGATGAGCGCTGAGGGGGAGATGGTAAGGGTGTTTTTGGTACAAAATTTTGATTTTTAGGTATAAGTGGTACTGTTTTGGGTAACAAAAGTAACATATAGGTACTATATTGTACGGATCACTTTATTTTAGGTACTATATAGAACGTGGCTTCTTATTTTAAGTATCAAAAACTAATGTTTTTGCTATAAATAGTACTATTTTATGTTTCAGAAGAGTATCTTAGGTAACAAACGAAATATATAGGTACTATATAGTACGGAGCACTTTATTTTAGGTACTATATAGTACGTTGCTTTTTATTTCAAGTACGAAGAGCCTTGTTTTAGCTATAAATTGTATTATTTTATGTTTCAAAACAGTATTTTAGGTAACAAAGCCTAATAATTTAGTTATCTTAACCACCAAAACTAACCTCTTACAATTTCAGAAAGCCTCAGGCGGTAGTGGAGGTCACAAAACTCTACTATACGGTCACGCCGTTCAATTAAAGCACGTTCAATCCGAAATGTTCCTAGCCTGCCTATCCACCTGTACCTCAAACGACAAGATCGCCTTTGATGTGGGTGTTCAAGAGAGCAATGAAGGCGAAGCCTCATGGTGGACAATCCACCCAGCTTCGAAACAACGTTCAGAAGGTGAGAAGGTTCGAGTTGGCGACGATGTTATCCTTGTCAGTGTGGCTACTGAACGTTACTTGGTGGGTTTTGATTTTTTTTAAATTTAATTTTTTATTTTTAAAAATATTTGAAAAGTTGAAATTTTTTTAAATTTTGAAAATTTTAAAAATTTTAAAACATTAAAAAGTTTTAAATTTGATAAATAATCATCCACGTGTTCCAGCACATGGCCGTAGCCAAGAACTTGATGGTAATCGCATCGTTCCATCAAACTTTGTGGAACATTACATCGGTCAGCTCGGGAAGTGTCAGATCTCGCAATATGGGCAAGTATTTTGAATTTTTTTCGCTCTTACTAGTCTACTAATCCTCTCTTATTAGTCTACTAAACCACTCTTATTGGTCTACTAAGCCACTCTTATTAGTCTACTAAGCCGGAGCTTTTTAAGATTAAGCCTACTAAGCTTAGGTTTAATAACAAGGAAAGTACCCAATCTGCCCCACTCAGAATGAGCTCAAACTTATATTATACTAGGCTTTATATAATAGTTGCCTCGATGTAAAACGGCCCAACAAATGACTGCGAGTGCTGGGGTTTGGGTCTATTTTACTTCGAGGGTCGGGTTTTATCAGCTATGTAATATGCAATAAAATGAACGTGTTAGGCCTAAGCTTTTTAAGCTATAAGTTTACAAATCTAAGCTTGTTAAGCTTAATTTTGATAAGTCTAAGCTTAATAAGCTGAAGATTATTAAGCCTGAGCCTAAGAATACATAAGCCTTCTAAGCTTAAGCCCTCTAAGCCTAAGCCTGCTAAGCCTAAGCTTTCTAAGCCCAAGCCTTCTAAACCCACGCCTTCTAAGCCCAAGCTTTCTAAACATAAGCCTTCTTAGCCTAAGCCTTCTAAACCCAAGCCTTCTAAGCCCAAGCCTTCAAAGCCCAAGCCTTCTTAGCTCAAGCCTTCTAATCCTAAACCTATCAACCCTAAGCTTACTAATACTAAGCCTTATAAACCTAAGTCTAGTAATCCTAAGCGTAGTACTTTCACTTCATTATCAGTAATAATTAATATTGTTTTAGGCTTCTTGTTTGGAAACGATGTTCTTCGACTGTTTCATGGTAATGATGAATGCCTTACCATACCCGAAAATTGGAGCGACAACTCTCATAAGTATGTGGAAATTTAAATTTTGAAAATTAAAAATTTTTTTTAATTTAAAAATTTTAAATTAATTTTTTAAAAATTTTAATACCTAAAATGTACCTTAGTAAAGACAAAAATTACATTTAATGACAAAATATAACCAGTATGACATTTTGACGACAACCCATTTCTAGCATGGTGATCTACGAAGGCGGAAACGCGGTAAATCAAGCACGTTCCCTATGGAGGATCGAGTTGATCCGCACAAAATGGCATGGAGCCATGGTGGGATTCGAACAGCCATTCCGAATCCGCCACATTACGACCGGTCGATATTTGGCCATCAAAACGAAAGACGACAGTATTGCGTCGGAAAACGTTTTGATCGTATCTTTGGTTAGAAAAGAGCAGGCTAGTTATCAGAAGACGGCTTTTGTCATGTGTCAGAACAAGGTATGGTTAAAGGGTGTTTAGAGTTGGGGAGAGGGGGAGGTATGGGTGATTTTTAAAAGGTGGTAGGGGCGGAGGGCTAAAAAAGGATTTTCAGGGTAGGTTAGTACCCAATGTGCGTTTTTTTGTAGGGCGGGGTAAAAAAAATTCTGAGGAGGGGGGGGTAAGAATTTTTTTCAGAAGTGTCATGTAAAAAACTACGCTGATTAATTATAAATATTTTTTTAAGTTTTTTTTTGGTAACGGTACCCCCCCCCCTTTCAAATGATCCTCCCTACCCTAACCAATATGGTTTTGCTAAAGAAAGCCTAAGCCAACTTTAATATCCTCATAATAACTTTATAATCTAACGTACTGTAAACTTTATGATACCTTCAGGACCCAAAGAAGCAGATGCTGGACGAAAAAGAAGAAGAAGGCATGGGCAACGCTTCGATCGCCTACGGCGAAACCAACGCTTTCATTCAACACGTCGACTCCCAGCTATGGTTATCCTACAAAACGTCGGAAGTCACCAAGAAAGGTCTCGGCAAAGTGGAGGAAAAGAAAGCGGTACCATTGAAGGATGGCCACATGGACGATTGCTACACCTTCTTCATGGCACTGGAAGAAGAAAGCAAATCAGCCAGAGTCATTCGAAAGTGCAGCTCTGTTTTGAATAGGTTCTTGCGGTAAGTCAAGACGGATAGGGTCAGTTATCGTGAGGTAGAATAGGTGGGGAGAAAAAGAGATAGTAAGCAATAGATATGTAGATATTAGGAAGAGTGACCCATGTAACATTAATATCAATATATTAAGCTTTTCAAATAATTTTGTGCCCCTAACCCTCAAAATTTTATGTGAGAGAGGGTATAGAATTATTTGAACGGCTTAATAAATTGATATCGATGTTGGATGGCTCATCATTTTATAGAAACAGATAAGAAAATTTTTTTTAAAATTGAACTTGGTCCCCTCTGTGGATTTTTCCCGAATTTTAATCAAAAAAATTAACAGGGGGGACCAAGTTCAACTTTTTTCAAAAATTTTTTTAGAAGAAATTTACCTTCCCCCGCTCCTATTTATTTCTAAATATTGTTGCTAAGTGGAGTGGATGGTTTTAGCTTTAAAATAAGTTGCCAATTTTTTTTTCAAAAAGTTGAACGTGGTCCCCCGTGTGGATTTTTTCCCGAATTTTTAGGAAAACATTTAACAGTGGGGTCCAAGTTCGACTTCTTTGAAAAAAAATTTTGAGGTATAGAAAAAATAAAGCCCGAAACCTTTAAAAATGCTCTAGAAATGATTGATAAGACAATATGAAGTACAATATATTATCCTAAACATTAAAAGATTAACAATGTTTCAAAAATTTCAGAGGAATCGAAGCATTGCACACCGAAGGCAACCAGGCCAACGACTGGAACCGGGTAGACTTGAACGAAGTCCTCAAACTTATGGAAGACCTCATTGAATATTTTGCTCAACCTAACGATGAAATGAGTAAGTCATGAGCCTTGTTATAACAAACGGTGATATTTTCCAGCCTTCGAAGAGCGTCAGAATCGTTTCCGTGCCCTCAGAAGCCGTCAAGATTTGTTCCAAGAGGAAGGTGTTCTGAACATGATCTTGGATACAATTGACAAGTTCAGTGAAATGGAGTCGCTGCCAAACTTTGCTGGATTGATTGGTGATGAAAACCAAATGATTTGGGAGGAAATCTCAACATATCTTTATCTTCTAGTCGCTGCCATGATTAAAGGTAGGGGTTTGGAACTTTTTTGTTAGGATTACTATTCTTTGGCCTAAGGATACTGAGACCGAGCTTTTAAGAATAAGCCTAGTAAATATAAGCCTAAAGAATCTTAGCCTAGTGAGATTAATCTTAGTAGGTCTCATCTTGCATAGCTTTAGCATACTAAGCCTAATCCTACTAAGCCTAAGCCTACAAAGTCGTAGCCTATTAAGCCTTAGCCTACTAATCCTTAGCCAACTAAGGCTTAGCCTACTAATCCTTAGCCAACTAAGCCTTAGCCTACTAATCCTTAGCCAACTATATAAGCCTTAGTCTACTAGCCTAAGCTTATCACCCTAAGCCCAAATTAATTACGAAAATCAACCTTCCAGGTAACCACTCAAACTGTGCTCAATTCGCGGCCGTCCAACGTCTGGACTGGCTGTTCGGCCGTCTTTCAAACCCGCAGTCCGCCGAAGGTATTCTGGACGTACTGTACTGTGTCTTAACCGAATCACCCGAAGCCTTAAACATGATCAACGAAGGTCATATCAAATCTGTCATCTCGTTATTGGAAAAAGTGGGCCGAGACCCAAAAGTATTGGATGTGCTGTCAAGTCTATGTGAAGGTAATGGAATGGCCGTGAGAAGTTCGCAGAATACCATTACTAACCATTTGTTACCTGGAAAAGATCTGCTACTTCAAACCGCTATGAAGGATCAGGTAGGGTGGTTTTTTGGTTTAGTGGCCGGAACCCAGACGTATTTTACATTAAAATGAACATCTTTAAATTTTGATCAGTACCATGGTCGCCAAATCTCTCCTAACAGTACCATATAGCCAAAATCTAATCCCCTTCCAATTCCAGGTATCCAGCATGATGCCGAACATCCTCGTAGGCCTTGTGGATGGCAGCTCCTTATTCAAAAAATGGTACTTTGAAGCCGAAGTGGAACATCTCGAAACCATGACCAAGTCTCCGCCGATCCTCCGCGTCGGCTGGGCCAACACCGTCGGCTACAAACCCTTCCCCGGCTCGGGCGATGGCTGGGGATGTGGTGGAGTTGGTGACGACTTCTACTCATACGGCTTCGATGGTTTGTTCATGTATTGTTCTGGTAAAGCACGTCAAGTCGGACATCGAGTGTTCCGCAAAGGCGATGTTATCGGATGTTCGTTGGATTTACTGGTTCCGGAGGTGAAATTCTCGCTAAATGGACAACCTATTGCGGCTGTCTTCAAGAATTTCAACGTGGATGGATTCTTCTTTCCGGTCATGTCAATGTCGGCGAAAGCAAGGTAGGTAAATATGCTTGAATATGCTTTAGACCCTTGAATATTTTTTAGAAGCTTACAGTTACAGAAAAAAGGTCAAGATTGACTTGTATTTCAATGTAAAGTCGTTTAACATCTAAAATAAGGTCTGGAAAACTTACATTTAGTTGGTTCAAGTATGTATTCAGGCCTAGAACAATGTAAAACATAAGAAAAACCTACTTTTCGTTGATCCAAGCTTGCTTTTGACCCTAAAAAATAAAAATCTTAACAAATAACTTACTTCTGAGGTTTTTTACTGACCCAGACCTTTCTCCATGCTTTTACTGCTTCTTATACCTAAAATTCAAGCTTTATACCTAAAATTAAAAACCTTACTTTCAGTTGCCGTTTCCTCTTCGGCGGAAACCACGGCCGTCTAAAATACGGTCCACCAACTGGCTTCTCATCAGTCGTCGAAGCCCTGGACTGTCCGCTAAAAGTCGACGAATGCCTTTCATTCGGAGATTTGGCTAAAACAATATACGCTGGACCATCAACAACTCTTCACGCTATAGAACCATTCGTACCAACACCTCTCGACATAACTGGAGTTAACTTACCAAGCTTTGCCATCGAAAATCATCAACGATTCGCGGAAAACTTACATGAACTATGGGCGATGAGAAAGATCGATCTTGGCTGGTCGTTCGGCGAAGTTAGGAATGAGAAACACAAACTTCATCCATGCTTGACAGCCTTTAATCAACTCCCAGAAGCTGAACAGCAGTACAATATTCAACTGGCTATTGATACAATGAAGGCGATCGAAGCTTCAGGTAAGGTTTGGTGAGAAAGTGAGGTTGTTACCTAAAATTAAAAAAAATAATATCGAAGACTGAAAAAACAAGTCGAAAATTGTTGAAAAGCTAAAAATAAACCCAAAATTTCCAGGCTATCACATGGTATCAGACAAACCACCAACTCGTCTTCGCCCAGTTCGTTTAGGGCAACATTATGCTCAAGCAAGCAATGGATATAAACCTCAACCTCTGGATACGCATGAAATCGAACTTTCCGAATCCATGAATCCTCTCATCGACACTTTGGCCAGGAACACTCACAATGTATGGGCCAAGGAGAAGATTCGTCGAGGATGGACGTTTGGAGTCAGCGAATATGTCGATGCTACACAGAAAAGAAGCCCTCATCTGGTGCCTTATGATCAGGTAAGGGTTGGCATTTTTTAAATTATGGATGGAAAATAAGTTGAATTTGGGTTTTTTTGTTTTTTTTGTTAAAAAAGTGTAAAAGGATGTCGTTTTTAGTGAAAATTTAATGAAAAACGATCGAAATCACGTCAAAATGCCATAATGCATAATATTTTACGTTTCAAGTCCATAAAGTTCACGTTTTCATCCATAAACATTGTTTGCTTTCGAAATGCATAAAATTTTACGTTTTTCGTCCATAACTCTTTCGCCTGTTCTTTCAAAAAACGTCTAGAAACTAAAGAACGTGCGATTTCAAGAGAGCGTGAAGAACGTGTGAGAGAAAGTAAGAAAAACAAGAAAAGAGCGTGCTTTTTGAGGAAAGAATGTCTGGAAGCGCGACAAACCCAACCAAAAAACTAGTGGCATATGAAGCCGGGGTATAAAAGCGAGTCCGGCTTTGCTTACATTGTTCATTCCAAATGGACATATACTAAAATTGGAACAATACAGAGAAGATTAGCATGGCCCCTGCGCAAGGATGACACGCAAATTCGTGAAGCGTTCCAAATTTTTTGTCAAATTTCGAATTTTTTAAAAATTTTTGAAATAAAAAAAAATTTTTTTTTTGAATTGAAAAAAAAATTTAAATGATCTCCATTCTTTATGGTTAATATAAAATTTAAAAAATAATTTTAGGTAGATCAACGCATCAAAGAAGCCAATCGAGAAGCAGCGGCCGAGAACATTCGAGCTCTTCAGCTGTTCGGAATCTTCTTGGAAGCACCAGCGATTGAACAAGACGAAGCGGCCGAAAAGGAAATGAGAGCCATGAAATCTCAAACTCGTACCTACAGAGCCGAAGCCAATTACAAAGCGAATCAGGGGAAATGGTACTTTGAATTCGAAGTACTCACCGAGGGATTCATGAAAATTGGCTGGATGGACATTTCTGCCATGCCTGATACTAAACTTGGTAAGGGATATTAGAGTGGGTATTGTAAGGCAGGGTGTGGTAGAATAGGGTTGGGTAGAGTAGCGAGGATAGGCTGGGGTAGGGTACGGTGGAGTACTGTAGGGTAGGATAGGGTAACGTGAGTACCATTCTTGCTTATCTAATACTATGTTTTGTACTTTATCATCATATAAGTTTTAAATTTTATAGGTATGGATGACAAATCCTACGGTTTTGACGGCTTCTTGTGTAAGAAATGGCATCAAGGAGCTGAAACTTATGGCCGAGAATGGAAGGTCGGAGATATTGTGGGCTGTTTCTTGGACTTGAACGATCGTACAATATCATTTTCATTGAATGGAGAACTCTTGTTGGTATGTTACGGCGGGTTATTTTATTTTTTTTGTATTGGGGTGGAGAAGGGGGTGGTTTTTAAATTTTTTAAAAAATTTTTAATTTTGATTTTTTTTTTATATGTTGTTTTTTTAAATGTGAAATTTTAAATAAATTTGATTTCAGGACCCCTCCGGCAGTGAAATGGCATTTGACAATGTAACACCGATTGATGGCTTTGTACCAGCAATGACATTGGGCGCAGGTCAAAGAGCTCGACTCAATTTTGGCCAAGATTCAAATTCATTGAAGTTTTTTACAACTTGTGGTCTACAGGAAGGCTACGAACCTTTTTTGTGTGTAAGTTTTAAAATTTTTGAAATGCAAACTTTTTTTAAAATTTTTAAATATTTGAAAACCAAAAAAAATTTATTTTTTGGACGTATTATTATGAAAATTATACAAAAATGGCTCAATATAACATTTTACAATTTTAAATTTATTTTTTATACAAGTTACAGTAGTTTAAATTAAGATTTTTTATTGCACCGTGCAGTCATTTAATGCTTGCACCGTGCAGCCTATATAATTTCCACTGTTGCACCGTGCAACGAAATAATCATTGCACGGTGCAATAAAAAATCATTTCAAGAAATGAAATAATTTTTAAATTTTTTGTAAAATACGGCGTGGTTACGAGTAGTGATCTAAAACGTAAAAAGTATACTTTATAATAATGCAAAAAGCTAAAAAAATATATTAATATGCACCTTATAGCAACATGTACCGTCACATGCCAATGTGGTACTCAAAACATTTGCCAACGTTTCATGAGATCAGCGAATGGTCTAGAATGGAAGTGACTCGTGTACCACCAACTGCCACCTCACCACCGTGTCTTAAGTTAAGCCAAAAGGCTACGAATAATGACAGTTTTACGGAAAAAGCCAAAATGGAGTTTATCAGACTGTCATTACCTATCAGATGCAAGAAACAGTTCGTCAAGAACAAGTAAGGATGTTTGTAGGATTGTACTAGGGTAGAGTGGGTGAGGAAGAATGTAGGGCAGGGTAGAGAACTTTATGAAATTTTTTTCTAAAACCAAGGCTGGAGTACAGTAAGGTAACTAGGGTAAGGTGGGGTTGGGACATAGGGTACAGTAGTAGGTGAGGCTGAGTAAGGATATACATGGTAGGGTACGGTATGGCAACTGTAGGGCAGGGGTTTACAAGGATGAGGTTGGGCAGGGTATGGTAAGTTATGGTATGGGTAGGGCAGAGTACTGTAGTAGGTGAGGCGGGGTAAGAATAGGCATGGTTGGGTACGGTATGACAAGGGTAGGGTATGGGCGGGTAGGGTAAGTTAAGGTATGGGTAAGGTAGGGTACCGTAGGGTGGGTAAGGATTGAAATGGTAGGAAGTTGTATGGCATGGGTAAGACAGAGGTATGCAAGGGTATGATAGGGTAGGGTAGAGTGAGTAGTGTAGGTTAGGATTGGGTACGGTAGGGTAGGTTAGGATTGGGTACAGTATGGTAGGGTACGGTTGGGTGGGTTAGGGTAGGGGTAGGGGTTGGTAAAATACGTCATTTTGAGTTCTTACGACTAGTAAAAAACCTTTTATAACCTCTTCAGAGACCGAGAAGCCATAATGAAAGCGATGCAAGAGCTTCAAAAGCGGAATCCATCGATTGCCACTATAAAATCACCTGGATTGCCAAAAGAATTCGAAGATCAGGCTGATAAGAAGAGGAAGTCGATTGGAAAAACCTTACTTTCGGCTTTCAGACATAATAGTCATGATGACGATGCTAAATCACATACGAATGCATCATTTGATGGTAGTAGTTATCATGAAAGTTTGGAGCCACCAGCTTTGTCGTAAGTTTGACTTTACTTTTTGACCTTTTCTAGCTTTCTTCTTGGCCGTTTTGCTAGATTTTCTTGTTTTAACTAGGTTAAGTTGTCGTATTTTAGTAAACACAGTACTTTTTTGATTGGTACTATGTATGAAAAGTACTATTTTTGATTAGTACTGAATAGCAATCGTACTTTTATGGTAAGTACTAGGTAAAAACGGTACTATTTTTGATTAGTACTATTTAGAAATAGTACTTTTTTGGTTAGTACTGTATATAAACAGCACTTTTTTGACCAATTCTATATAACAGATGTTATAGTAGGTTCATATGTTGAAAAATTTAACAGTTTGAAGTGTTACTAATACTATAACACACTAAAAATGACATAAAAAAACTAAAAAATTGAAGGTTTTGGCTTCTATAAGAGCTTACAAAAGTCTTGTCGTTTTTTAACAGGGGAGTCAATGCAAATTAGCGACAAATCTTTTTTTTTACGGATTTTGTTGTTTTTTCTAGGGCTGGGGATTGTATTAGGGGATGTTAACATATCCTTAATCATATGAAATTTAAAAAAAATTTTGAAATTCCGAGATTCTTAAAATTTTTTGAAATTTTTGAATTTCAAACTTATCGTTGCACAATTTTGGTTGATATACATATTTATGTTCGTAAAACCAAAAATCAGTTACCTACAATAATATAACGTATGTCACCAACTGCTTTGATAACTTGTCCCTCAGCACGTTTAACCCAATCACGCTTAAAGACAGCGACGTCGTGTGTTAACAATGATCCATTTTGGCCTGCATTCCTTCGATGAAACAGTTTTTACATGGCTGAAGACTGAAGACCAGAATCATGAACAGTTCTGGGTGGATGGCGTCAGGTAGTACTATTCAAGTGTTGATGGTCGTACTTTGTGAATTGTGCTTTAAGTTGGTTTTTGCGGTGTAGTGTTTAGTGCGATCATCGTAAAGTGATGGTGATACTCCTACTTCTACCCTATTCTACCCTACTTTACTCTATCTTATCTTAACATACCCTATCCTACTCTGAATGTTTACCCCGCCCAAAACTTTCACCTTGCCTAAAATGTTACCACGCCCATGTTTGACTGTCCCTAAAATTTTTCTCGGCTTAAGGTTTTATCTTGCCTAATACTTTACCCTGCCCAAAGCTTTAACCTGCTTAAGATTTCATCCTGCTTAAAACTTTTAACTTGTTTAAAATTTTACTCTGCCCAAAAGTTTTAACCAGCCTAAAATTACACCTCGCTCAAAGGTTAACCCTTGCCCTTTTACCCTATTCTTATCCAGCCTTGTGCTTTAGAATCTGATACTTCCATAGTCTTTAATCGTTATTTAGTAGACCTAAAACTGAGAAAAGCCCACTTGGTCCTTTACTGGCCTATCATATAGTTTTATATGTTGTGTTTTGATGTGTTATGCTATGTTTTCTGCTGTGAACTTGCACTTTTAACGCTATGCACAAAACTGGTTTGAGCTACTAACTGCTTTATCTTTCAAATTAACATGTTCATCTACCTAAAATTTATTTTAAAATTAGTTTTACATTTCAAAATGAACTAGTTTTTATCTTATTTTACCAAAAACTCTTAACGTAGATGTACGTATTGATGCTAACTGCTGACCTTTTCTTTTTTTCTATTGTACACAGTGGTACGCCATCTTATGCTATCGTATGCTATCGTACTTTCGCTGCTATAACATTTTCAACTATTTTCTAGATATAAAAAAGGTGTTTAAATGTAAAATAAGATTATGTTGTTGTAGGAAATCAAGCCATTTGGATATGTCTACGGAAGAACGAGCTCTAGCGGCCGAAAAACTGCGAGATATGACAAAACAAGGTGGTAATGTTCACAAAAAGTCTTCCGGATTCTTGAATCGAATCAGAGAACGAAGGGATAAGAGCAAGTAAGTAGGGTTTGGTGTGGGGAAGGGGCGTGGTGAGGATGGGAGGATAAAGCCAGATAGGATAAGAGTTAAAACACAACAACATTAAAAGGCAGGGTAAAATTTTAAAGAGGTGGGGGGGGTGGATAATTGTTGAGAGTTGGGCAAACGATAAAGTATGGTAGGATAAGTCTAGGTTATGGCTACGGGCAAGTAGGGTAGGATAGGGTAGAGTAGGGTAGGTAGGGTAGGGTATTATAGGGCGTAGTAATGTGAGGTTGAGCAGGGTAGGGTAAGGAGTCATACATATTTTGTTACCTAAAATTAAAAAGACTTCAAAAAGCTCATTTTAGAGACGACCGTTCAAGTGAAAAGAAGACCCGTTTAGATGAAGACCCCAAATCAGTAAAAAGCTTCGATTTGGCTTCAGCAACTGAATCTATGTCTCGTCATGAAAGTCGAGACCTTTTGAGCGGTGAGGATGTTTTATTTTTTGGGAATTTGCCATTCGGTTTATATTTGACAATATTACTATAAATGCAGTCATGTTTGGCTAAAGGATAGGTAAAGATTATAGAAAAAAAGCTAGAAAAAGAAAATTTTAAAAATTTTATGCGTAATATACATGTGTTTGAAAATTTTTATGCGTAATATTGAGTCGATCAACTTTGATTCAAATTTTATGATAGTTGTTAGACATCTATTTTGAAAAAACTTTACGAATCATATTGTAAAAGGCTTTACTATTGATTTACAAGTAATTTTATGTCTTATTGTTACCTACTCATCGAGTTACATGTGTTTGAACATGCTCATCGACTTTTTTGAAATTCTTGACTGTGCCATCTAGAATAAGATGTAGCTTTCTGGAGAGACTAAAAAGGCTTATGATTTTGGTTTAGATAGATTTAACATGAAATAAGCTTTGATATGATATATAATTTATAGAAATGGGTAACATAGTTTTTGAGATATAGGTCCGAGACTTCTGATATTGTTATAGGTGATCAAAGATTTTTTTGAAATTTCAAAAATGGCCTTTAGATTGATGTTATTCTTTAAAGTTATATATTCATATCATTAATAAACATCCTTTAATACCGTTTATAATGCTTCACATCAACTTACTTTAAAAACCTCAACGTTACCTTGCTTTAGACATGCCCCAATCAGGCCCAGGCCGAGCCTCCTTCCGTCGTGGATCAAAGAAACGAAAAGGTGGTCGAAAGGATCGATCTCCATCAATGCCTGACAAAGAACCTCGACTCTCCGTAGCACCTACTGATGTCACAGATGGTGGAACTTCTGTCGACGATGACAGTTTCGCCATGACACAGTTGGCCGATCAAATCGACGATTATTACTATGGCGTCCGCATCTTTCCTGGTATGTTTTTGAGATTTTTTCTTTGGTTTTTAGGTAACAAGTGATGGATTTTTTGGCTTTTAGGTAAAAAATTTGAAGTTTTTGGATTTTTAGGGAACAAATTTGAAATTTTTGGGTTTTTAAAGGTAACAAAATTTAATTTTTTTTGCTTTTTGGGTAACAAGTGACGGACTTTTTGGAGTTTTAGATAACAAATAAGGTGTTTAAGATTTTTTAGGTAACAAATTTGAAGTTTTTGGGTTTTTAGATAACAAATAAAAGTTTTTTGGGATTTTAGGTAACAAATTTGAATTTTTTTGAGTTTTTAGGTAACAAATTTGAATTTGTTTTGGTGTTTTAGGTAAGAAATTTGAAATGTTCTTAAAATTTTTTATTTTTGTTACTTAAACTACGACTTAGTGCTTTTTTGTTACCTAAAACACTATTTTTTGCCATTTTGTTACCTAAAATACGATTTTTGTTATTTATTCTACAAACATTATTCCTAACAAACATCCCTTCAGGACAAGACCCAGCAAACGTATGGGTAGGCTGGGTAACTCCTCAATACCACAGTTATGCTCAAAGCTTCAACGCGGCCGAAGCGGTTCGAAAGTGTCGTTTCACCGAAATTGACCATCATGGTATACCATCGGACTCGGTCGAGTACCGCAACTGCTACATGTTGAATGCGCAAGAACTTTTGAATCAAGTCTCAGATGGCACTAATACTAAAGTGTCAGGACTGCTTATTGGCTGTATTGTGGACATTTCGTTGGGAGAGTTGTCTTTTTTGGCCGCTGGGCAAGATACTGGAATGAAGTTTAAGCTGGAGCCAGGTGGGTTTTTTGGGGGTGGATGTTTGAGAAAGGGTTAAGAAAGAATGTTGTAGTAGGTATAGGCGTTCAGAAAAAGGTTTCTTTTAAAGGTTTTGAGTTAAAATTTTGGAAAAAAATTATATTATATTAGGTATAGGGGGTCAGAAAAAGGTTGTTTTTAAAGGTTTTGGGTCAAAATTTTGAAAAAATGATGTTATAGTAGGTATAGGTGTTCAGAAGAAGGTTGTTTTTAAAAGTTTTGGGGAAAAATTTCGAAAAAAGTTATATTGTAGTAGTTATAGATGTTCAGAAAAAGGTTGTTTTTAAAGGTTTTGAACTAAAATTTAAAAAAAATATATTGTAGTAGATAAAGCAGCAAGCCTTGTTTCTCTATTTTCAGACTTATTTTTTGAAGAAAGTTTATATTATAGTAGATGAGGAAGCTCATAATGGCGTTGCCTTTCAATTTTTTAAAATAAATTTTTTCAATTTTAAGTTTTGTTTCAGGTGCCATGCTGTACCCAGCAGTATTTGTCACACCGACAACTCAAGAGATTCTTCAATTCGAATTGGGTCGTCTAAAATACTACTTCCCATTGTCAGCAGCGATGTTCAAGTCTTCACACAAGAGCTTGATACCTTACTGTCCACCCCGATTGACTGTACAAAAGTTGTACCCACGGTACTGGTCTCGAGTACCTAACGAATGTCTGCGTACTACAGCGTTGAAACTCAGTGATGTTAGAGGTAAGTGTGCGGGGGGGGCAGGGGGTGCAGTAACTTGGGGTAAGGTAAGGTCCCGAGTAGGTTGGGGTTGGGAGGATGATAAGGTAGCGTTACGGTAAAGTAGGGTTACCGTAAAGTATGGAGGGTTGCTATAAGGATTTGTAAGGTTATGAAAAGGGGTTGAGCTACTGAAGTTTGGGTAGGTATATGGTAAGGTAGGGTACGGGTGCTGCAGGGTGAGAAAAGATGCTGTAAAGAAGGGTAGTGTAAGGTGGGGTAGGGCTACCGTTAGTTGAGTAGAGTAGGGGTACTGTAATTTAGGGTAGGTATATGGCAAAGTACGGTAGAGGTACTGTAAGATATGATAGGTAGGGTAGGGTAAGGTAAGGTAGAATAGCATAAGGTAGGGTAAGGTAGGGTATGGTAGAATAGGGTAGGATAGTGTAAGGTAGGATAGAATAATGCATGGTAGAGTAGAGTAGAGCATTGACAAAGATTTAAATACCGTAACTTGCGGCTGAGTTACTGTAAGGTACTGCTGAGTTATTATAACGTACTGTTGGGCTGTCGTAAAGCGAATTAGGTCACAGTATTTCTTTTCGCGCCTCTTTAATAATACTTACTCTTCCAGGCTGGTCCGTCCTCTGCGATGACCCAGTACGAACCCTCATGGTGTATATCCCAGAAAAAGATGCCGCAGTCGATATCCTGGAGCTGATAGAAATGCCAGAACTGTTAACCTTCCACAGACAAACTCTGAACTTGTACTGTAGATTGGCTTCACATGGAAATCAAAAGGTGGCTCATATACTGTGCCTACATGTAGATGAGGATCAGTTGATGTATGGAGTGAAATGTCATTGTAAGTGGGGTGGATTGCTTAATTTATGGTTTTTTGTTACCTAAAATACGATTTTTTTGAATTTTTGTTACTTAAAATACGATTTTTTTGACATTTTTGTTACCTAAAATATGATTTTGTGGCATTTTTGTTACCTAAAATATGACTTTTTGGTATTTTTGTTACCTAAAATACGATTTTTTTTTGAATTTTCGTTACTTAAAATATGTTTTTTTGGTTTTTTTGTTACCTAAAATACGATTTTTTTAAAATTTTTGTTACTTAAAATAACCTTTATCTCAACTTCAGACATGTCCGGACCGATTCGCCAAGGAGTACATGACTTTATCATCGCCGTTCACCTCCAAACCCACGCCGGCTCTCGTCTCTCCACCTCGAAAGAGTACGTGGTACCGCTGGTACCCGAGCTCACCGGTATGGACGTGTTCGATTCGGAAGCCGAAGGCCGATACCCACATGTGTTAGGGCCCACCGTCTCGATTCTACCGGTAATGAAGGCGGAGGAGATACGAACAGACTTTGGCGTGGATGAGGAGTCTAGGATCTTGCCTCCGGCATTGAACTTCGAAAGTCTGAAAAATCAAGTCATGATCGCGTTCAGGTCGGCTACTGAGAATGCTGTCATGAATTGTCGAGACCTGATCGGTGGAGACAATCTACATCATTTCGAACCGATTTTGAAGTTGTTTGATGCTCTGTTAGTGATTGGAATGATCAATGATGACGAACTGATCGAAGTCATGACTTTGATTCACCCAATCGCTTTTGATGAGAACTATTCACCTGGTAAGGGGACATTGACTTTTTTGAATTGATTTAGTAGGGTTGGCTAGGAAAAGTTACTGTAATTTTTAGAGTAAGGTGGGGTCGGATAGGGTGGTAGTGTAGGGTAGGGGAAAAATAAGGTAATGTAAGGTAAGGTAGGGTAGAGTAGAGATAAGGTAGATTAGGGTTATCGTAAGATAGAGTAGTACTACGGTTGAGTAAGGTATGGTTACTGTAAGGTTGTTTGAGAGTAGGATTACGGTAAGACAGGGTAAGCTCACGGTGAGATAGGGTAGGGCTATTGTAAGGTCAAGTAAAGCTACGATAAGTTCAGAATTCTACTACCGTGGGGATTTGTATGGTTACGATAACGTTGAGTAGGGTTATCGTGAGGTAGAGCAGTTCTACTGTAAAGTAGGGCTACTGTAAGTTCATGTGACTGTGTTAAGGTAGAGTGGGGACAAGATAATGTAAGATAAGGTAGGACTACTGTAAGGTAAGGCTTAAAATAATTTTAATTTTATACTACTGTAAGATCAAGTGACAAGGTAAAGTAAGGCTACAGAAAGGTAGTGTAAAGCTACTGTAAGGTATGGTAGGGATACTGCGAGTTGTTGAAGTGCTACTGTAAAGATAGGTAGGGCTTCGGCGCGGTATAAATAGGTAGGGTAAATCATCAAAAACGGGTAGGACTACTATATAATAAGGAAAGTCTAGTATGATATATGGCATTACGATTGAAAAGTTATGGTAAAATACGGTCGAAGTTAGCGGCTTCTAAAAAATTTAAAATTATGGCCAAAATTTAAAATTTCAAAATTTAGAAATATCAGAATTTGATAAAATTTAAAGCTTTTTTAATTCCAGGAACAATGACCAAAGGCCTAACCGAAATTGAGCTAGCCGAAGGAGTGAAGCTTCAATTAGTCAACATTCTTGACCACATTTGTGACATTCAGCTTCGTCACCGTGTCGAATCCCTAATCAGCTTCTGCGAGACCTTTGTCGGCGACCTACAACAAGATCAATGTAAACGCTACATGGATATCAAGCAAACCGACATGCCTCCGGCCGAAGCCGCGAAACGTACGAAGGAATTCAGATGCCCACCAAAGGAGCAGATGTTCCGCCTTCTCAACTGTAAGGTCAAGGAAGAGAAGACAGCACTACTACTGGATGAGGACGTTGAGTACGATCAATGCCCGATGACAGAATCCCTGCAAGACGAACTACGCGAATTCTGTAGCCTCCTGGTGGAGAAGATTGGATGTGGCAAGGAGGAGGAGACGAATCAGAAGGCCATAACCTCATCGTCAAAAGATGACGACAACTCATGGGTCGATAACCTGGCTCAACTGGTCGTATCCGTACCACCAGCACCCGAGAACGTGGATCAGAATGTGGCGAAGCACGGCACGGAGAACTTTAGACGAATGATCATCGAAACCCTGAAGAAGTGGGCTGGAGAATCTGAAATCGAATCTAACGAACTTATCAGACGGATCTTTAAGCTGCTCCTAAGACAATATACTGGAGTTCGTGAGCTGATTGATGCCATGCAGCTTACGTATGTTCTACACGAACGCAACGTGAACGATGTAGAAGCCTTCATCGTGTATCTGATGCAAATCCGAGAACTCTTGAAGGTACAGTTCGAAACATACGAAGAAGCCATCTTAAAACGAGGCCTCTGGCAACTAATGAACAACCGCATCTTCTTCCAACATCCCGACCTCATGAGGCTACTCAGAGTCCACGAAGACGTCATGACCATCATGATGAACGTCCTCACCGCCCAACAATCAGCAGCCGACAACGATATCATAGACGAGACCGGAGCAACAGCCAATGTCAAAGACGCTAGCGAGATGGTCGTAGCCTGCTCCAGATTCCTCTGTTACTTCTGCCGCACCTCACGCATGAATCAGAAGGCCATGTTCGAGCATCTGAGCTTCCTACTCGACAACGCCACAATGCTACTGGCTAGGCCAAGTCTAAGAGGATCAGTCCCACTGGATGTGGCATACAGCAGCTTCATGGACAACAACGAGCTAGCCCTGGCGTTGAAGGAGGAAGAACTCGACAAAGTCACGATATACCTCAGCAGATGTGGTCTTCAATCCAATTCCGAGCTGCTAGCCAAAGACTACCCTGACATTGGCTGGGACCCGGTCGAAGGCGAACGATACCTAGACTTTCTCAGGTTCTGTGTCTGGATCAATGGCGAGAATGTGGAAGAAAACGCGAATTTAGTGATTAGACTACTGATCAGAAGGCCAGAATGTCTAGGAGTGGCTCTGAAAGGCGAAGGACAAGGGTTGTTCGCCGCCTTCAAAGAGGCTATTGTACTATCGGAAGACATAAGAGCACTGGAAGAGGGAGAAGACACTCAGTTCTTGCATTCCCCGATTTTGAAAGATCATGGGTAAGATGCCCTAAAGTCATAATTTTAATAAAGTTTTTAAAAATCTTAAATTTTATTTTTTATATTTTTACCATGCCCTAAGGTTAAAATACGCATTTTCACGCCCATTTAAAAAAATTTTTCAGAAAATACCCTTCAAAAGAGGTGGAAGGAGAAGACTACGTCGATCTAGGCGCAGCCATTCTCGACTTCTACTCATCATTGGTCGATTTGCTAGCCAAATGTGCCCCAGACCCCTTAACCATCCAGGCCGGCAAGGGTGATAGTGTTCGTGCTCGTGCCATTCTTCGTTCACTCATCTCACTAGAAGATCTGGGTCGAATCCTGGCTTTGAGATTCACCATCCCCAACTTGGCGTTGGCGTCGGCCGACGGTAAAACGCGTCACCTACTGTATTCAGGTCCTGTCCATTCGCTTCGTTGCCTACCTCAATTCATTGACACTACTAACACGTTTGCTAACATTGCTGCTAACCTTACAGCTCAGTTGAATCAGGACCATCAGCGGAGATACGCGAAGAGGGATAAGATGCTGAGTAGTACTGGTGGTTCGATTGGTGGTAGTCGGTATCAAGATATTGGTCATGGTAGTACTAGGTATCATGATAGTGACCATGGTAGTACCATCAGCCCAAGTGGTACTCATAAGACTATACTGGATAGTATTGGCCATGATAGTAATAGAAAAGGTAGTACTGGCCATGATAGTACCATTACGTCTAGTACTAGCCATGGTACTAACAAGAAATCTAGTACTAGCCATGATGGTAATAAAACGTCTACTACAAGCCATAACACAACTATACAAGCTAGTACAGGCCATGATAGTACTAGAAAATCAAATACCATGCTATTCAGTACCAGCCATCACCCCAGTACCATGACCTCAAGTACCACCTTCCCATCTACTACAACATCCCAAAACACCACCAAATCAGGTCGACGAGCATCACAATGCAACGGAAAACTCCCTGGTACTAAGCCAGTACAAAAAATTTCAGCACCATGCATACTGAAACGGCCTAGCCAAAAACTGCGCCGTCAGTTCAGTTTAGAAGCCTCACCCACGCCTCCAGGAAAACATCGAAAATTCTGCTCAATGGACCACAGCCTAAGGCGTTTGACCGAAGAAGACGATCCTGATGAAGACAGTACGAGTGTCTACACCACGCCAATGGCTAGTCCAATGAATCGACGCAGGATCATAAAGTACAATTCCAATGTTTTTTCGATTAAAAACCGGAAAAAAGGCTTTCGACAGAAGCGAGCCCATTCTTGTACGTCTAACAGGCTTTTTGGTGTGATTAATATTGTTTTAGGTGGTGTGATGGGTGTTTTAGACATTGTGATGGATATTGTTTTAGATATTATGGTTGGATTCGTACTGGTTTACATGGCAAACTTGATATTTTTTGTTTAGGTTGATATTGTAGTAGGTATTTTGATGGTTATCTTGTTATTTTTTTATATATAGCCATTGCTGACCATTTTTTAGGTATTGTGGTGGTTTTTTGAAGTAAAACGTGACGTGCTGTGCCGTGATTAATAATGTTTTATGTGTTTTGATGTGTTTGATATTGTTTTAGATCATTTATCGATTAATGTAATTTTGTTTTAGGTCGTATTTCAAAAAGATTGATATTGTTCTCGATTTTTTGTTTAAATTTTATATTGTGTTAGATCATATTTTGAAGTGTTCGATATTATTTTAGGTATTTCTGTCAATTTATTTTATTATCTTAGGTATTTCTATTGATTTCGGATATTGTTATAGGTATTCCTGTCGATGTACGTTGTTATTTTAGGTATTTCTATTGATTGTCGATGTTTTTTAAATATTTCTATTGATTTTTGACATTATTTTAGGTTTTTTTTTCTTCATTTTTTAGAAACCTAACGTGATTAACGTTCTATAACGTGCTGTGCTGTGATTAGTAGTGTTTGTTGTATGTCTACTTTGATATATTGAAATAATAAGTTTAGGTATTAAAAGTGTTCCAAGTGCTAAATTTTAATTTTTTAAAATTTTGCTATTTTTGAACTTCGATCAAAATTTTAAAATATCACAAAATTTTTTGATAAAAAAGTTTAAAATTTTGTAAAATTTTAATATTTTTTTTTATGTTACTCCATGTTTTTTATTGTTAACATAGTGTTTTGCTGTGAATAATATAACTGTTACTAACATTTGTGCTTGTGGTGGACCCCCGCTCAGCTAACTCTATGTTATTGTCCACGTCGTACAGTCTGTCAATGTGTCAAAATACGAAAAATAAGTTTTGAATTTTCAATTTTTAGATATGGGACCATTGCCAGGCCTCCTACCCAATCACAAACAGTCGATTTTATTGTTTTTGGACCGAGTTTATGGCATCGATTCACAAGAAATGCTGATGCACTTTTTGGAACAGAGCTTCTTGCCGGATTTGAGAGCTGCCACTATGATGGATTCGGTGGGAGTTTGGATTTTTTACCCCTACCCCTGCCTTGAAACTTATCCAAAAACCTCAAACAGCCATAAATTTGACCCTGCCCAAAAGCTGGTCTGCCCAAAATTTTACTCTGCCCAAAATTTTTTTTGTTTAAGCGTTTGAACTCTTACTCTAACCTAGATTTTACCCCTCCCCCCCCCCCTTTTTTCCTGTTCAAAAATTTACCCTGCTTAAAATTTTACCCTGCCCACCATTTTACACCGCCGAAAATTTTACCCTGCCTAAAATTTTACCCTCCCTAAAATTTTACCCTGCCACAATTTTTTTCTGCTTAAAATTTTACCCTGCCTAAACTTTTACCCTGCCTAAAATTTTACCCTGCCCAAATTTTTATCCCGCCAAAAATTTCACTCCGCCCAAAGTCTAACTCCAGCTTTTTCTTACTCTATACCTTTTCAGCCCCGCGCCCTAGAATCTGACACAGCCCTAGCCCTAAACCGTTACCTCTGTAACGCCGTACTGCCTCTACTCACCAATCACTCTCACTTCTTCGCCGATGCGGAGCACCATTCAGCCCTACTCGATGCTACACTTCATACTGTCTACAGAATGAATCGCCTTCGCTCTCTGACCAAGAATCAACGTGACGCTGTCAGTGACTTCCTTGTAGCCTTGACTCGAGAAATACCACCAGCCATGATGATCAAATTACTGCGCAAAGTCATTATAGACATTCAACAGATGCACGAAAATGTGTTGGTACCATTAAGGATTGTCACATTGCACTATGAGAGGTGCAACAAGTACTACGGTAGTGGAAACAGCTACGGTGTGGCTACGGAAACAGAGAAACGTCTATCCATGTTACTGTTCTATGCCATCTTCGACTCACTAGGAAGTCAGCCTTACGATCCTGAGCTGTTCGGCAAAGCTTTACCTTGTCTAACAGCGATTGGCAGTGCCATTTCGCCTGACTATGCCTTGACTAGCGGCTCGGAACGTTCCGAACTGGCCAAAGCACAGGAAGACGAAGGTGCTTGGGTACCCAAACCTACAGATGACAGTAAGATTGGCCTAAACGCTGACCTAAACACCATGGTCACAAAGTTCGCGGAACATTTCCACGACTCCTGGGCTAGCCGAAAGCTGGAGAAAGGCTGGACTCACGGTGAACTATATTCAAGACAAGAACTCACCCACCCAAGATTGCTGCCATTCAAAGAGCTCAAAGAATATGAACGTGACTTCTACAAAGAACGATGTGCCGAATGCCTCCGAGGCCTGCTAGCCTGGAACGTCAACTTCGAACTGGTCGATCATGATGCCCACGAGAAAGCGAATCAAGCCCGGGCTGCCAGTGCCTATCATGGTGGAGATTACAACCCCAAACCCATCGACCTGTCCAACATGACATTGGAGAAGGAGATGTTGAATATGGCGGAGAAGATGGCGGAAAACTCGCACAATATTTGGTCGAAAAAGACCTTCAACGAGTTGGGCAGTAGTACTGGCGCCAACATGCCATTAACCTTGGTACCCTGGGACTTATTGACTGATTTTGAACGACGAAAGAACCGATTCCGTGCTCAGGAGATTCTCAAGTTCTTCCAGTATCACGGCTACAGAATGACGATAGACGAGGCTACGGAAGACCGTGTAGAGAGGACAAAGTCTGAAGGCGAAAGAAGTTCGGTCGAGAAAAGATTCGCTTTCAATTTACTAGAGAAACTACTACAATATCTGGAACAGGCTTCATTCCGTATGAAGTCAGTCAAGCCATCGGAAGAGTTGACACGTCGAAATTCTTTCAAAAAAGAAGGTCAAGATGTGAAGTTCTTCGAAAAAGTGGTTCTACCTCTGATTCATGCCTACTTCAACGCCCACAAGAACTACTTTTTGGCTAGTTCAAGCATCGTCCAGACTGGCATGGCATCAAACAAAGAGAAAGAAATGGTAGCCAACCTGTTCTGTCGATTGGCCGCGTTGCTTCGTATCAAGAATCATGCGTTTGGCAGTGTAGCCAAAATCACCGTGAAGTGTCTACAAGGACTAACTCAAGCGCTGGACCTCAGGACCTTGGTGAAGATCAACTCAGATATTGTTCGGACAGGCCTATTGACCTTCTTCAACAACTGTGCTGACGATCTCTTCGCGGCCGTTAAAGAGCTAAAAGAAAACGGGCAATACGCTCTGTTAAGAGGTGATAACCTACGATCCTGGATCTCTCTCGAATTTGCATATCAAATGATCATACCAGTCCTAACCACAATGTTCCTACATCTAGCCAAAAATCATTTCGGAACCGACCTACTACTAGATGACATCCAAGCCGCGTGCTACAAAATGCTCGATAGTATGTACATGGTAACCACATTGAGTACGAACTACGTGCACAGAAGAAGCATCCAGTACGAAGTCGAGAAGCATCGCTCCGGACTAGGCCAATGTTTAAGCGCTTTCGCTAGCTGCTTCCCAGTAGCCTTCCTGGAAGCCGAGTTCAATAACAACAACAAGTTCTCGGTGTTGGCCAAGAGTCAGGACGCTTCAGTACAAGTGCAGGAGATGCTTCAGAACCTGTCACAACATATCCCAGAGCTGGAGAAGTTACTACAGAAAATTGAAGCTACAGCAGAGAATAATACGATCTACCAAGACAACCCCAATGTCTACGATGTGGACCTACCATTACTGTGCAGTTACTTGGCCTATTGGTGGCAACTGGGCCCAGATGGTCCGAATAGAACACCGTAAGTGTATCACTGACATATTTTTTGAAATCTAAAAATAAAAAATTTGAAAAAAAATTTTTGACCACCCCCCAAAAAAAATACCCCTGCCACCAAAAATTAAACAAAGAAAAATTATTGTGATGAAAATACATATTCAAGGCTAACAACAACCATGGTAAACAGCGAACACATGAACCGCATCTTCTGCGCCTTGTTGAAGGTCATGAGAGAACACATTGGAGTTGAGAATGCTCCTTGGCTGTGCCGAGTCAATTGTAAGTTTTTGTAAAATACGGACAACCAAATTTTAATATTTAAAATATTTTTTACAACTTTAATTATATTCAGCGAGAGAACGAGAAAAAGAAAATTTATATTGATCACCTACTATAATATAGGAAAAATGGTGTAGTCGAAAAAGTAGGTGCTGATGTCTAAAGTAATCTAGAGGTACTAGTTAACGAAGTTTATTTTAATGTTACTTTAGATTATTACAGTAGAAAACGTTAGTTTTGAGGTTTTATGCCTTTTAAAACGATATTACACTTGATGTCTAGTGTAATATAGAAAACCTTTTATATCTCATAAAATAGTAATTGGTACCTAAAGTAATATAAGTAAACTTGTAAAGCATATTATTTTTCAAGTTTTGCCTAATTATGAAATGGCACAGCGGAAAAATGAAGATTTTATGAGCTTCTAACCAGCTGTTGGATCTGACGTCTAGTGTAATATTGGAAAATCGCTGTAATTTTAAAAATATGGGTTGATACCTAAAGTGTTATACATCATAAGATAGGGAATTTAATTTTTAACGTTTTGCCTTATTTTCACATTTTAAAATCAAAAAATGAACATTATATGACCATTGAAAGATCATATTGTAGTAGACATCAAGTGTAATATCCAAAAATCGTCTTATTATATAAAAACTGGGCTTGACACCTAAAACAATATAAAAGCAAGTTAAAGAACAAACTGAAGAAACTTTCTTTCCAGTCTTTGCGGTCCAAATCATTCAGTTCGTCACCTGCGATCCAGTCAAAGACTACATGTTACCCATCGCCGAACGCCTTCGCTACCTCTCGGAAAAGGCCTATAAAGAAGAGGAAAGAATGCGAACTCACCCCGACGATGCTGATGAAGGAACTGTAGCCGAAGACAATGCTCGTCTCGTCCGTGATGTGTACGCATTCTTCCCCATCCTCATGAAGTACACTGATCTTCACCGTGCCAAGTGGCTCAAGTCTCCAACCTGGGAATCGGACGGAGTTTACGAAAATGTGGCTGTGATCTTCAAAATCTGGTCCTTCTCGCAACATTTCAAGCGAGAGGAGCTGAATTACATGGCACAGTTCGAGGAGGACGCGCAAATGGTCGGCGGAGGCGAGATGAAAACTGGCAAAGCGGCCATCGCGGAGAGGAAGAAGAAGAGACGGGAAGGACAGGTGAGTGTACCTAAAATATGAGTTAAAGAGATGAAAAATAAGAATAATTGAGAAAATAGAAAATTAAAAAATAGTTTTAAAAATCGAATTTTAAAAAAACTTTTTATTAATCTTCGTCAACAAAAATCCGTTTGCGCCCTGGTTTTGCGACCTGCAGCCTGCGTGGATCATTTTATACGATGGATTCTTCTTTAATTTTACAAATTTACTTACTGGCAAGGAAATTCATTTAAAAGACAAAAAATGCAAAAACATTCTTTACAAACAAAAAATGGCAAGAACTTTCTTTAAAAAACAAAAAATGGCAAGAACTTTCTTTACAAAACTAAAAATGTAAAACTTTATTTACATTGCAAAAAAAAACAATAATTAAAGTAAAATACGGACTGTTTTTTAATAATTGATAAATTAAAAAAAAACTTTTAGGTAAAATTTTTGTCAAAAAATATTACTTCAGGTCAAAAAAGATAAGCACGCTAACAGCATCGTGATCGCCTGTCTAAAGCGTCTTCTACCGGTCGGTTTGAACGTGTTTGGCGGTCGTGAGCTGGACATTGTTCAGCAATGCAAAGAACGCTTCCTGGCCAAGGAATCGGAAGAAAAAACCCGAGAATTCATTCGAGAATTGCTTGATGTACCAGTCAAAACCGACCCAACTGATAAGAACTCATGGCAGCTGAACTTGTATCGCAAAATTGGCAAAAGTCAAATGCGCGGCAAAGAAGAGATGACTCAAGAAGCGGTGGTGGACAAAATCGCCAACATGGGACAAGTTGTGGCTATTTTGCATGCGGTAGGTCTCGGATATTGTTTTAGGTGGAAATTTGGGTTTAGATAGTATTTTTGAAGCCTTTATCGCATTTTAAAAACCATTTTGAGTTGGAAAAGAGGTACATATGTTATGAGACGGCAATTTTTTAATTGGAATGCACCAAAAACCTAAAATAATGTCAATTTTTTACATTTTTTTTTATTTTTTTGATCATAATTCATGAATGTTGAAACATTTAAAGGTGTATTATATATCACTAGAAAGCCTATTCTAAGCGCTGTAAAACACAAAAAAGATTTATTGAAAAAGGGGTGTTATGGTCATAATATGAAAAAAAAGGGGTGTTATGGTCATAATACTTTTGCACGGTGCACTCGAATTTTTTTAGTCAAAAAAAAAGTTTTTTCTTATCATAACTCATTAACATTGCAATAGTTAAAAACAAATGTCTTATTCATTCAAAAGAGTATTTTATTGGCTTTAAAGCACGTAAAAAGATTTTTTGAAAAAGATTTGTTTTTGTCATAAAATGACCATTTTTGCACTGTGCACTCTCAATTTTTAAGCTTTAGGGTTAATGGCATTTTTAATCATACCTTATATATATTGTTATGTTTAGAAACTTATTTTGTTTGATTTGAAAGAGCATTTTACGGGCTTGAAAACGCATATCAAATTTTTCACTAGTTATTTTTCATTAATGAGATATGATTAAATTTGCACTGTGCAAAGGGAACAAATCAACGAAATTATTTTGCACCATGCGAGAAATATAAAAGTGGATTAAAATTAAGTTTTTATTGTTGTAAAATCGTATTTTCTAACATTTTTATCTTGTTTTTTATTTGATTTGGCATTTTGTACATGTGTTCTGTTGTATTTTGAATTATATATTATATGTTGTTATAGGCTCAAAAGCTGGTCAGTATAGGAATTTTTTGCTGTACTAGCCAGTCTTTGAGTACTATCAATGTAAATGTGTTGTCAAAATATGTGAAAGTGTTAAAAAATGTCTGTGTAAAGTCGAAAGGTTTTAGTTTTGTGTAAAGTTATATCAATGTTAGTGATGTTGTTGTACTTGGACATGTTATGTGCTTATAGATAACTCGTTTGCACACGTACGAACATTTCCGTCGGTTTGTTGTCCAAAATAGCTATCATAAAGCTGGGCCAAAGGTTTGTATTTTTTATGTTTTAATATTTTTTTACTTGTTTGTTTAGGTAAAATACGAGTAAAATTGAGCCGCTCAAAAATCTTTAAATTTTGTTTTCGGCGGGAAATTTAAACTTTGAATTTTTTGAATGTTTGTAAAATACGGACGAGCTGACTCTTTGATTGTTAGGAAGTATCAAAATATAGATTTTTATGTTTTTCAGATAAATTATTATAATTTTAAATTTTGGCGCAAAAATACAAATTCGAAATTTGGCGGGGAAAATTGAATTTGAATTTTTTGAAATTTTGACATTAAAATACAGAAAGATAGACTTCTTAATTATGAAGATAGTATCAAAATTTTATTTTTTTAGATTAAATATTCAAAGTTAAATTTTGGCGGGAAAATTCAAATTTAAAGTTTGGCGGGAAAAATTAAGTTTGGATTTTTTAGTTTAAAAATGATTTTTCGGACAATTTTTTGATTTCTTAACATAATAAAATACGAAAAATCAATTTTTTACTTTGGTTTTTCAAAAAAAAATTAATTTTTGTTTTTGGCGGGAAAATTAAGATTTGAAAATCTGTTTTGGCTTAGTACACAATATAGGCAAAAAAGGCTTATATACCTCATTTTAACACATTTTAAGCTTTTTGTTATCAAAAATGATTTTCATAAAGTTTTTTACTGTATGTAACCCTTATATCTCTTTAGTTTACTACATGTTGTTGATCGTATGTTGTCGAGTATTTTAGGTCGAACACCAACTTAATGCCTCGGCATCAGCATGGAAGAAGATGTTGTCGAACCAGCGAAAACGTGCTGTTGTAGCGTGTTTCCGTATGGTACCGGTCTACAGTTTTGAAAGGTTCGTATGTTTGTGTTGGTGGTACTATAATATGTTGAGTATGATATTGTAGTTGGTCTGGGTTGTTGTGTTTGATTTGATGTGGTGATCTAGTGTGAATTTTGTGAAAAACTGTTTTTGATACTATTATTAACATCAGAAATTATTTTGAGTATGGTACTATATAAGTAGTAGATACTATGTAGTATCGTACTATACAGTACGATTATCAAATTTTGTTTTAAAATGCGTTTTATGATTCTTTATAGTAATATGTTGGGAAATAATGCTATTTAGTACTATGGTACTATATAGTACTAGGTACTGTATAGTATCTTACTATAGTGTACAAATCTAAAATTGAGTTTTATCATACTATTTATGACTTATTATTATACTACATATTGCTATAGTGCTATTTAGTACTATGGTACTATATAGTACGTACTATAGTACGATTGTTAAAAAAAGTCATGCTAAATAGTAACAAAGTACAATAAAATAACTTACGACTTCCAATTAACGCTAAATTAACCGTACTGTGTAGGTAACATCGAAAATGGAGAAGGAAGACAGATGGAAGAAGGTGCTAACACTACAGCGCAAGCGAATGGCCATCTCTCTCATCACCGCCAGCCACTTGTACAAGGTGGAAAAGTAAGGGTTTGACGTTCGAATAAAAAGTGGCATTTACTGCATATTATGGTTGTTATGTTAGGGTATAAGATAGGCCTATAAAAAGTTAGAATGATAGAAAAAAAAGTTATTAATTAGGCTAAAAATGCTTTGAAAAAAGTGAAAAAATGATGATTTTTGAGACTTCAAAAGGGTTGTAGCTGCAGTAATTTCAATTTTTCTGACATTAAGTAACATTTTATGAAAAATTGTTAAAAGCAACTTGTAGAGCATGAAAAGCGTTACAATTACTGACAGTTTTTTTGATTTACCTATGACAGAAAATGAGCTATGAATTTTTAAAAATTTAAAAAGTACTGATTTTTCAAGCGGAATCGAACTTTTTTTGATTTTCGACTTTTTCAATTAGTCATAACTATTTTATAAAATGAGTTGTAAGTATGATACATGTAGTATATATACAACTTTTTATGCTTTTTAAAACGTATTGCTCGCATGTTTGAAAAAAGTTGTTTTTGGGGCAGGGGTTGGGTTTTAAATGGGTACTATACCTAATAGTGGCCAAGAGTAAGTAGTTGAAGCGAAAGCTAAAGTAAATATTAGGTTGTTCACATAATTCTGTGTTTCAAAGCAAGTTTGCGTAGTTAAAGGGCACCGAATTATGTGAACAACGTATTACTTACTTCAGCTTATGCTTCAAGACGTACAATTAACTTATAAGTATTGATATACAGTTTGATGTTCTTCTATAACCAACTAGACTTAATAGACTTACAAGATACTATAAAATAGTTACTGATTCTATAGAATCTGTGCTTCTTGAGTTGCCTCTCTTACTACGATAACTACCGTAATACAGCTGTAAACTTTATATATACAACTAAACTCACATTGCTTAGTTTTTCCAAACTTTACAGTGTCTTACTTACTACAATATCTTTATTGAATTAATACTTGAATTAAAATGTATCAGAGTACTAGTATTGTTAGGAGTAAGGGAGGGGAGGGAGATGGATTCACCATGTTCAAGTCCTTACCCTTACCCCTTCACCACCTACTCCTACCTAAACTTGAAAGGGGTCTCGGTAGGGTTAGGAAATCCTCTAGCCTCGTTCCGGCCGAAAAATTAAGGTTGGCCTTAATTTATTTTCTTCAGTACGATACTATATAGTACTGAGTTTTATATTGAAGTACGTTAGACACTGTAAAAGCTTAAAAATCCCTTGTGAGTGCTAAAATTGAAGTGAATGAAGATGATTACTGTAGTTGACGCTAGTACTAGATAGTGTAATGCTTGATGATAAAAGTATAATGCTTGGTGGTAAAATACGCGTTTGAATATGTAACCAAGAATTTTTATAGACACCGCGGTATCAACTTCTTTATGCCAGCTTTCGCCAAGCTGTGGTTGGATGAGGAGGATGTGGGCAAGGACCGACTGGTGGCTGACATTTGTGTAAGTTAATTGTCTGACTTTACCTTTTAAATGTAATGCCTATCTAACCCTCCCCCCCCCCTAATATATACTCTAATATATCTAAACCTTCAGGGCGATTCTGAAGAATCCGAGAACACAGCCTTCATGATCTTTGAAGACGAAACTGGAATGCTAAAACTAGAAGAAGGTGGGCCAGGTGAAGAGCGGCCGACTACAAAACCTGATGCCCTGAAGCAGCTAATTCAATGCTTCCAACGTGCCGCGACTTCAGAAGAAAACCAGTCCGTAGCCATCGCTGACGACACTCTTTATGTCAACTATGCTGACGTCATGGCACAGTCAGTCCATCTGGAAGACGATGACGACGGTGATGAAGATGGTGAAGTAGATCAAGCCGAGAAAGAGGAAATGGCACAAGCCCTGAGGGCCGAACAAGCTATCCTGGCTGATCGTGGAGCCGCCATCATGTGCCTGATGTACCTAAGTGCTTCGAATGGTGAACCAACCGAAATGGTCGCTCAGACTTTGCAGCTAGGTATACATCTACTGTCTGGAGGTAACAAGGACATCCAGAAGATCCTGATCGACTATCTTCAACTCAAGAAAGATGTGAGGTTTTTCACGTCCTTGAGCACGTTGATGGGCCGCTGCTCCGTGCTGAATCTCGAAATGTTTGAAAGGCAGATCAAGGCTGAAGGTTTGGGCATGGGCGCTGAGTTGGCTGCTGGTGATCATCAGAACTTGAACGATGCTGACTTCACATGCAGCTTGTTTAGGTTCTTGCAGCTGACTTGTGAAGGTCACAATTTGGATTTTCAGGTAAGGAGAGTTTGAGAGTTACGGTAGACTTAGCGTAACTTATGGTGGAGTGAGATAGGGTTTCGGTAGGTATATCGGGTAGGAATAGAAATGATTAAGGACTAGGGTAGATTGGGGTGAGATTTGTTAGGTTACGGTGTACTAGAGAGTGTATGCTAAGGTTACGGTAAGACAGAGTAAGATAGGTACAGTAAGGCAGAACAGTTTAGTTTAGGGTAAAGTAGTTCAAGTTAGGACGGGATAGGGTACGGTAGGGTAGAGTACTATATTGTAGAGAATGGTATGTTAGGGCATGGCAGGGTCCGGCAGTTTAATATAGGGTAAGGTAGGATAGGATAGGCTAAAGTAGTGTAAGGTAGAGCAGAGCGAGGCAGCATAGGGTATTGTGGGACATGCTAGGGTAGGGTAGGATAAAGTAGGGTAGGTTAGAGCAGGGCAGGATAAGGTAGAGTAGGGTAGGGCAGGGTAGAGTACGGTAGGATAGGGTAGGGTAGGGTAGGGTAGGGTAGGGTAGGGTAGGGTAGGGTAGGGTCGGGTCGGGTAGGGTAGGGTAGGGTAGGGTAGGGTAGGTTTGGGTAGGGTAGGGTAGGGTATGGTAGGGTAAGTTAAGGTACAGTAGGATGACGCATTGTAACCTTCTGAAATTAATTTTTTTTCTTTTCTAGAACTACCTCCGTTCCCAGCCAGGTCACACAACAAGTGTAAACCTGATCATCTCTACCGTCGACTATCTTCTTCGTCTCCAAGAGTCGGTAATGGACTTCTACTGGCACTACAGTAGTAAAGAAGTGATAGACGAAGGCGGGAAAGAGTACTTCCTCCGTGCTATCAGAGTATGTAGTCAAGTGTTCAACACTCTTACTGAGACCATCCAAGGCCCATGTGTTGGTAATCAGATGACATTGGCCAACTCGAGGCTGTGGGACGCGATCAATGGCTTCTTCTTCCTCTTTGCTCACATGATGGAGAAGTTGTACAAGAACAGTACGCAACTCGAATTACTGAGAGAGTTCCTGAATCTACAGAAGGATATGATTGTGCTAATGTTATCTATGCTGGAAGGTAATGTCCTTAATGGACCGATTGGAAAACAAATGGTCGACGCATTGGTCGAAAGTCAACAGTGTGTGGAGATGATCCTCAAGTTCTCGGACATGTTCTTGAAGCTCAAGGATCTCACTACTAGTCAGGCTTTTCAGGTAGGGGTTTTTACTATAGGTAGGGCGGGGGTGAGTCAGGGTAAGGGTGAGAATTGTTTTAATAGGGCAGAGGGGAGATTTTTGCAAAAATTGGCAAGAACTTTCTTTACAAAAAGAAAAATGGCAAGAACTTTCTTTACGAAACAAAAAATGACTAGAACTTTCTTTACAAAACGAAAAATGGCAAGAACCTTCTTTACAAAACAAGAAATCGCGGTTTTTTGAATTTCTATTGTATAAAATATCACCCGCAGCTTGCAAGACTCTAATCTTCTGAAAATGCCATTTTTTGATGACAGTTTTATTTTATAGGACTTTGACACCAATCGTGATGGCTGGATCTCGCCCAAAGAGTTCCAACGTGCCATGGAACAGCAGAAAATGTACTCGGTGGAAGAGATCACCTACCTCATGATGTGTACCGACGTGAACAACGACGGTAAAGTCGATTACATGGAATTCACGGAACGTTTCCACAATCCGGCCAGAGATATCGGCTTCAACTTGGCCGTTCTCCTCACCAACCTCAAGGAGCACATCACGAACGACCCGCGGCTGGAGAAGATCGTGGAGAAGGCCAGCTCTCTACTCGAGTACTTCGACCCGTTCCTCGGTCGAATCGAGATCATGGGCTCGTCGAAGCGCGTGGAGAAGATCTACTTCGAGATTCAGGAGTCCTGGCTGGAGCAGTGGTCGAAGCAACAGATCAGGGACTCGAAGAACGCGTTCTTGTTCAATGTACTACAAGATGATGGTGGAGATCAGGGCAAACTGGAGGCTTTTATCAACTTCTGTGAGGACACAATCTTTGAAATGCAACATGCTGCCGAGATTTCCAGTGGGGATTCATCGGATTCAAAGGTAAAGTTGTTTTTTATAGCTTAAGCTTATCAGCCTACTACGCTTAACTAAGACAAGTCTAACCCTCCTGAACCAAAAATCTACTAAACCTAGCCTTCCTAATTGTTAATCGTGGCTTAGGCTTGGTTGACTTAAGCCTAGTGGTCTTAGGCTTAGTATGCGCAGACTTATTAGGCTTAGTAGCTTTAGGCTTAAAATTTATAGGTGTAGTAGGCTAATGCATTGTATGCATAGGCTTGATAATCTTAGGCTTGCTAAGTTTAGGCTTAATACGAGTAAGCTTATTAGTCTTAGGCTCAGTAGGCTTAGGTTTAGTAGGCTTAGGTTTAGTAGGGTTAGGCTTAGTAGGCTTAGTAATTTTAGACTTAGTATCTTTAAAGTTCCGAGGTGTAACCTGACTGGGCTTATGTATAGCTTTTTTATATTAGACTTACGCTTAAAATGCTTAGGCTTAAAGTAATTTAATTTCTTCGAAAAAAATTTAAAAGTTTTTTTTGAATGTGTAAAAAAATTATATTATTATAGGTGGAGCGAGCAATGAAACAACGTGACTACTTCCTCCAACAAACTACCGCCGGCCAACAAATCTCCAAGACTCTTCAACGAGGCTACGACTACGGCCTATCAGCGGCCGAAGCCCTAAAGCCGGCCAATATGAACAAGACGATCAAGCACGCGGTCCAAAAGTTCCGGACCATGACCTGGGCCCAATTGTTCATCGAACTCCTCAAGTTCTTCTACCGCCTGGGCAAGGGCGTGGTAATGGTGATCTGGTTCCTGATATGCACTCTCGGCCGCTTCGCCTACTACCTCACGGCTCCAGAATACGAGGACGATGAAGCCAAGAAGCGGGTGGAGCCACAACAAGAACAACAAGGTCAATTTGGTCAACATCACAACTTCCCAACCTTCTTCCCACCCACCACCACACGTCACAATGTGGACGTGTTTGGTGTGCATATTGCACATGATGAAGGTGGTCTACCGCCTGACATTGTGGAAGAAGCACCTCCAGAACAGACAGATCCATCAATGAATGGAGAGATACCGGAAGATCCAAAGCCTATGAATGGAAATATTTATTCGGAACACGGGTTGGAGGACGAGTCGTTCTTGAGGGTACCTCCGAGAGAACAACAAAAACGACCCAGGTAAGGGGGAAGATTTTGAGTTTTTCAGGCGGTTGGTGGGGTTTGGGGGGGGTGAGGGTGAGTGGGGAAAGGGCAAGTTGTTAGGGTCGAATTAGGGAGAGGCATCGGTGGAGGGGGGTTAAGGTAAGAGGGGCTAGGGAACGGTAAGATGTTGTAGAGTAAAGTCCAGGAGGGTCGGGTAGAATAGGGTAGGGGTGGGTCGGATAGGGTAGGGTATTTTTAAAAGTACCGCTTAGAGAACAACAAAAACGGCCGAGGTAAGGCGGGAGAGGAAAGATCTTGAGTTTTTTAAGATAAAGGGTGGGGGGGGTGGGGAATGACAACGACTTTTACTATGATAGAGGCAGGAAAGGTCTGTAATGTAGGGTAGGGTAAAGTAAGGTAGTGCAGTGTAATATACTGTAAAGTAAGGTATAATAAAGTAAGTTAGGAAAGGGTACGATAATTTACGGTAGGGCAAGGTAGTTGGCAGTATATTGAGATGGTAAAGGTAGGATAGGGTACGATAATGTACAGTAGGGTAAGGTCAGTGGAGGTTTATTGAGGTAATGTTTGGTGCTGTAATGTTGAGTTGGATAGGGTAGTATATGTTATGGTATGGCATGGTAAGGTAGGGTAGGGTAGGGTAAAGTCTGATTGGGTAGGGTATGGTAGGGTCATGTCTTATAAAAGGCAAATTTTTTTGTAAAATACATGCTCAAGATCACTCATGACATAAGTATTTTAATTAATAACAGCCATTCTAGTGTATACGACACCCAATCCTTTGGCTCAGCCCAACCACCAATTCCAAGTGTTTCCGGAATTCACTCGGACGATGCAGTAGAACATCGTGTCTACCCCTACTATGAGCCAAAGATAGCTGAACAAATGGGTCTACGATCTAAAGGCTCTGTGCTCAACGTGCTAGCCAGAAACTTCAAAACGATCGAGAAGATCACGCTGTACCTGGCGTTCTTCATCAACGTGATCCTACTGTTCCATCGTGTCGACATTGCACTGAATCCGGATCGTCCAGAAGACCGTGACGATGTGGACGAGGACGATGAGGACACGGTAGACGAAGTCATGGAGAGTATCTACATAGCTGGCATGGTAATACCCTACTTTTCGTATGAGATCACTGGCTGGTTGTTGGCACAAGTACTGTACTGGCTGAGTGTGATGCACGCTGTTACGTCGTTCGCTCTTCTGATTTCGTTTTATCAATTGAAGATTCCATTGATAACGTTCAAGCGGGAGAAGGAGGTGGCCAGGAAGTTGATGTTCGATGGATGTTGGATCACCGAGGAAGAGAGTGAGGAAAGGAGTGTCATCGAGACGTTGTTCTGGTACATGGACAGGATTGTCATCTCCGCCAAAAGCTTCCCGGTTAAGGTAGGTGAGGTATATTGAGGGTAGTGTAGGGTAAAGCAGAGTAGAGTAGTGTAGGTTAGGTTAGGGTGGGTTATAGTATGGTAGTGTAGTGTGCATTAGAGTAAGGTAAGATAGGTTAGGATAGGGTAATGTGTCATAGAGTAAAGTAGTCGGATGACATATATTGAGGGTAGGGTACTGTAATATAGGTGGGTGGTGTATGACATGGTAGCCTAATGTATTATAAAGTAGGTGGTGTATATTGAGGTAAGGGTATTGTAATAAACGGTAGGGTGTGATATGACAGTGTAATTTACCGTACAGTGAGGTAGGTGGGGGATAGGGTAAGGTGGGTAGTGTTGGGTAGGGTAGGGTAGGGTAGAGTAGAGTAGGGTAGGGTACGGTACCGTGCAGTACTGTAAAGTCGAGTAGGGTAGGGTAGTATGGTAGCATAGGCTACAGTATGGTATAGGATTGAATTCTTTTGTAAAATACGTTTTTTTAATGATTTGTCTTATAAATGTAAAAAGAAAATATGACTTACATTTATTAAACTACGGTATATAAACCTACTTTAAAGCTTATAATTTTAGTACTGGGACAAGTTTGTGCGCAGAAAGACAAAGCAAAAGTACAAGGAGCAAGTCGATGAAGAGACGTTGGAAGCCCTCCTCGGAACGGAACGTTCACCCGGAGACACATCCTTCGACTACCGCTACGCATGTTGGCTATGGGTGGGAGTAATTCTCACCAACGGACAATTTCTCTACCGAGTGTCCTACTTGGTCATCTCGAGCTGTGGTGTCATGTTCAGTCCCTTCTTCTACGCCTTTCTACTCATCGACGTCGTACTGTCATTCCCTATGTTAAAAGCCATCTTACAGTCGGTCACACACAACCTACAACAACTCATCTTGACCATCATGATGACGTTGGTGGTGGTGTACTTGTATACCGTGGTGGCGTTCAACTTCTTCCGAAAGTTCTACATTCAGGATGGTGAAGAAGGGGAAGAGCCGGACAGAAAGTGTCATTACATGCTTACTGTAAGTTGTTACTGTTTATGGTTGATATTATTTGATAGAGGAGACCTTAGTGCTTATTATGCATTAAAATTTGAGTATGTTGCCTAAGGCAATTTAGTTTTTTTTAAAGATTCAGTTAAAATTTTAAGCTGTTTTTTGAATTTTAATGTCATTTTTGATTAAAACAGTTAATGGAACCTACAAAATTTAGAATTAAAATAACGTGAATGATACTGTAATGTAAGTTGTTTTAAGACAATTGTTTTATTTACTTGCAAAATTAGGCAAAACATCAATTTTTCATGGTTAACATCAGATTGTTGGCGGTTTTTTTGGTTTTTCATGCCATTTTTGATTAAGACAGTTAATGAAAACTTAAAAGTTTAGCTTCAAAATAACACGAATGGTACTAATATGTATTTTAATTTTTAAAAACCTTGTTTTATAAGCTTTAAATTAGGCAAAATATCAATTTTCCATGGGTAACATTAGATTTTTAGCTGTTTTTATAATTTTTGAATGGCATTTTTCATTAAAACAGTTAATGGAAACAACAAAATTCAGTATCAAAATAACGTGAATGATACTGTTCTGTGATTCAATTTAAAAAAAAGTTGGTTTTATAATATTTAATTGAGGTAAAATACGAACTTGGGTCGCTTATCAATTCTAATGCAACATTTCTCCAAAAATCCACTAATTTCTTTTGCAAATCCATATGAAAAGCCGGTTTATTCTGGGAAATGACATCTGCAGACAAATGCAGAAGACTCATGACAAACTGAATTGACCTACAGTATAACGAAAACGAGTCTTTTCGGATATTAATTAGCTTAAAAATGACGAAAATGTTACGAAATTTGGGTCGGAAAGAGTGGGAGGGTTGATAAATGAGCGGTCAAAAAGTTTGTAGAGGTATCTTGGGGTAGGTAGGATTGGGTAAGGCTAGACATGAGAAACGGGCCGGGCCGGGCCCAATTTTCAAGCCCGGCCCGCGGGCCGGGGCCTAACTTTTAGGCCTGGCCCGTTTTTTATTTTGGTCAGGCCCGGCCCGGCCCGATCAGAAAATTTCTAGGCCCGGCCCGTTTTAAAAAATTTTAAAAATTTTAAAACTTGAAAACTAAACGGAAAATTCGCTTTAAATTGTTTTTTTAGATCATTTATGGAGCATAGAACCCAATAAAATCTAAAAACATAAACGGGGATTGAAATAAAAAATTTTAAAAAATTTAGAAATTTTTTTTCCAGGCCCGGCCCGACTTTCCAAGGCCCGGCCCGTTTCTCATGTCTAGGTAAGGCACGATAGGGTAAATTAGGACTGGGTAGGATGGGGTAGGGTAGAATAGTGTAGGGTAGACTAGAGTAGAGCAGGGTTGGCTTGGGTAGGGTAGGGTTTTTACCAAATTTCTTAGTTTAGTGCTTGTTTTTGGGCACGGTACTAAATTTTTGCTTCTAGTAATATTTTTTAGAATTTTTGGTTGTAGTACTATTTTTAGGTTAGGTATGGTATTAACTTGTTGGCTATAGTAATATTTTTGCGTACAGTACCAATTGTTGAATTTAGTACTATTTTTGAGTATGGTACCAATTTTTTTGTTGTAGTACTATTTTTTGAGTGTAGCACTAAATTTTTGACTTTAGTACTTAAGTATGGTACTATTTTTTGCATTTGGTATTATTTTTCAGTATGGTACTATATTTGAGTATGGTACTAATTCTTTGGTTTATGTCTATCTTTTGACTTTAGCACTTAATTATGGTACCATTTTTTGCATTTGGTATTATTTTTTAGTATGGTACTATTTTTTTTCGCTGTGGTACTATATTTGAGTATGTTCTCAAATTTTTGGTTGTAGTACTATTTTTAAGTATGTTACTAATTTTTTTGCTTGTAGTACTATTTTTGAGTTTAGTACCAAAATTTTGATTGTGTTTTTTTTAAATATTATACTTTTTTGAGCGCAGTATCATAATTATTTTACATCTTACAGAATATAAATTTTATAATTTCAGTGCTTCATCTACCACTTCTACGCCGGTGTCCGAGCTGGTGGAGGTATTGGTGACGAACTCGAATCCCCCTACGGCGACGACCTCGAGTACCCAAGAATGTTGTACGATATCTCGTTCTTCTTCTTCGTCATTGTCATCCTCTTGGCCATCATGCAGGGTCTGATCATTGACGCGTTCGGTGAGCTTCGTGATCAACAAGAGAGTGCCACCGAGAAGCTGGAGAGCTCCTGCTTCATCTGCGACATTGGCAAAGACACGTTCGATCGAATGCCTCGAGGCTTCGAAATTCACACGACTAAAGAGCACAACTTTGCCAATTACCTGTTCTTCCTACAACACTTGGTGAACAAGGACGAGACAGAGTACACTGGTCAGGAAACCTATGTCAGAGAGAAGTATGACAATCGGGATTGGGAGTTCTTCCCGGTCGGTGAATGCTTCATGAAACAGTATGAGGAACAGCTGTTGCAGAGCTAAAACAACATAAACTACTATTGTACAGTACCAAGCCAAACCTACATGATAGAACAGCTTAATCAGTACCAGAATAACACACAAGTTCAAGTACTAGAAAGCTAAAACAACGCCAAAACTAGCTACAAACCTACAACAATATAAATTACTAACCTCTACCAGGCTTGACTAATATTGCCATAACTTTTTGTATGTTGATGGTAAAAGCCTGTAATTTTGTGAAATGGTAGCCAAGTCTAGTACTGTTACAGTACGTCAAAATTAGTTTAATACGTTTTAGCAAAAAAATTATATGACGCATTATCTATTATATTATTCATGGGATCCTTGGTGAAGTACTCAAACTTTATGCCATAACTTTTCGTATGTTGGTGGTAAAAATCTGAAATTTTGTGAAATGGTGCTTAATGGTACTATGATTATCCTACGTTAAAATCAGGCTTACAACTTTTGTCAAAAATTTTACATTGAGTAATCTCTATGATATTACCTATGAAAAACTAGGTGTAGATATTATACTGTTTGCCATAACTTTTTGTATGGTGATGGTAAAAAGCTGAAATTTTTTGAATGAGTACACAATAGTACTATAGTTATAGTTGGGCGAACTCAGTTTTATACCTTTTGATCGAAAATTTATATTGACCAATATCTATTATATTATCTATGAAAATATAGGTGAAGGTTTTGAACTTTGTGTCATAACTTTTGAGATACAGAAGTTAAAAGTCTAAAACTTTGTATTATAGTACTAAATAGTACTATTATGATACTATGTTAAAATTATTTTTGTATATTTTATTTTTATATTGTCATCTTTATATTATTCACAGGGTTTATTGTATGACAGAATTCGAAGTGCCTTACCTTTTGAAACGACAAAATCTTTCAATTTTGTTAGGATTATGTTATATTGTTGTTAGAATGTAGTCAATAAAGTGTTGAAAAATAATTTGAAACCGCGATTTTTTAAATTTAAAAAAAATTTTAATTTTGAAAAAAAAAATTTTGGGTGGGTATGGTAAATAATTGAGAAGAGAGCGGTGTTTGGAAGAACAGGGTAAATAAAGTATGGTAAGATGGAGTAGGCTAGAAGTATGAGTTGGGGTATAGTAGCGTAGAGTAGGTCAGGGTAGGGTATGGCTATGTGCGGTAGTGTAAAAGCAGGGTATAGCAAGAAAGGAATAAGTGGAGTATGGTAAGGCAGGACAGGGTAAACTAAGGTCAGATAGAGTAGGCTGGAGCTATGGGAGGGTAAGAGTTAAGCGTTGTAGGGTAGGGCATGGTAAGGTACAGTATTTTTGAGTAGGATAGGTTAGGGCACGGCAGGGTTGAGTAGAGTAAGGTACAGTATGTTACAAAAGTTTAGGGTAGATGCATTTTAGGGTAGGGTACAGTAGGGCCTGGAGTACGGTAGAGCTTAGGGTACAGTAGGGCCTAGAGTACGGTAGGGCATAGGGTATGGTAGGGTCTAAGATTTGGTAGGCTCTAGAGCACAATAGGGCTTAGGTACGGAAGGGCCTAGGGTACGGAAGGGCCTAGGGTACGGAAGGGCCTAGGGTACGGAAGGGCCTAGGGTACGGGATTAGTTGAGAATAGTATTAAATTTTCTTCTATGGTACTACTTTTTGAGTATTATACTATTTTTGAGTTTAGTATCATTTTTATTTATATTACAGTACTACATATATACTTCAAGTATTATACTCATTCAGTAATAGATTTTTTGAGTATCATACTCAATAGGATCATACTGTAATCGTAATATTTAAGGCCGGGAATCCCATTTTTAACAAATTCTATTTATTTTACAAGCGTATTTTACAGCTTTAAGTGAATGGGGGTTATATATGGTAAAATAACGTAAATGTATACACGATGTGGTAACTTTTGGCTAAACGTAGTAATATATGTGTATATGTGTCCGCAATGCTATGATATTTCGAATGGGGGGTGGTCCTCTAGTTTTTCAGCAAATTTTGCCCTTTGTTTGAAGGTTTTCGTCTCGAGAGGCGTCTACTTTCCCGGCCGGAACCCGTCGCCACGCCCGATGGCAATGTTCCGCTTGTGGGTGGGCTGGTTGTCGAAGCCGCGGGGGTTGTTGAACTAAAATTTTAAATTTTAAAGTAAAAAAATTATTTTAATGTCGGTATGGGTACGGTCTGGTCTTAAGTAGGCTATGTTCGGATGGTCTAGGGAATGGTAGGGTAGGTAGGGTAGGACCTTAGGTACTGTAGTGTCCAGAGTACGGCAGTGTCAGTGTATGGCAGTGGGCACTATATACCCTATGGTAGGGCTTAAGGTACGCTACGGTTTAAGGTACTGTAAAACCTGGGTAGGCTATAGGCAAACGGGGTAGAGTACAGTTTACGGTAATTTCCAGGGTACGGTAGGGCCTATGATACGGTAAGGTTTAGGACAGAGCAGAGTTCCCTAGGGCTTATAGTAGGAAAGGCAGGGCAGGCTAGGATAGAGCAGAGTAGGTAGGGTAGGGTAGGGTAGGGTAGGATAGGATAGGATAGGGTAGGGTAGGGTAGGGTAGGGTAGGGTAGGGTAGGGTAGGGTAGGGTAGGGTAGGGTAGGGTAGGGTAGGGTAGGGTAGGGTAAAGTAGGGTAGGGTAGGATAGGGTAGGGTAGGGTAGGGTAGGGTAGGGTAGGGTAGGGTAGGGTAGGGTAGGGTAGGGTAGGGTTGGATAGGACTTTATTTTAATGTAGATTTACCAATGACCACGAAGTGGAGGGTAGGTCACTGTCCATCGATGATAGGAACATGTCATGTGGAACATCGATATACATGTAATGAACGGGCTGACCGTTCGCTAAAACCGGGATTGAGCGAACCACGAACAGTGTCGCTAACAGACATAATAACGCCATCTTTATTGTTTGACTCATCTTCGATATTACACGATACCCAATCTGAAAAATGTTTTAGTTACTGTAAAAAGGTACTGTAACAAAAATTTTGTAAAATACGTTCTCTCACGACTTTCATTAGAATATCGTACCTAAGTAGTATAATATTTATTAAGAGCCTTCTCTTTACAGTATCAAAAGAACAAAAAACTCGGCCAAAAATTCAAAATTTTGTTTTTGCGGGTATATTGACATTCAGTTTTATAAGCTTTTTATACCCTATGAAATAAAAAATTAATTATAAAAACTGTTTAGATCAGTCATTTAACCATAAAATGACAAAAAATTTCAAATTTTCGTTTTGGCGGGTTTTTTGGCATTGTGTTGGCAAGTAGAAATTTTAACTGTTTCTGACTTGACATTGATGTAAATCTACTTTTAGTACTTACTACAGTACCTGTAGTCATTTTTAAGCGCTTTAAAACTACTTTTAGGCTAGACAACTAAACTTGCAACATAATGCCAAAAATTGTAAAAATTCATTTTGTTTGAAATTACAAAGAAAAAATTAAATTTTAGGATGCCAAATGACATAAAATGACATTTTTAAAATTTTTGATAATAATTTCTCATTAGAACCATCTTAAAAACACAATGCCAAGTTTGGCGCCAAAATATAAAATTCAAAATTTTTTAAAATTTCATAAAAGAAAAATAAAATTTAAAATGGCAATAGCCTAAAACCGTATTATCTAATATTCTAGTACTAAGATACATCTATAAACATCTTAGAAACACAATGCCAAGTTTGGCGGGAAAATCATAAGTTTAAAATTCACTTTTCAATATCCTGCCATTCCTAACTAAAACCACAACAAAACAAACGCAAAAACGTTAAGAAACTTTCTCAAAACCCATAAAAATATACAAAAAACTGACATAACAAGATGGCATCATTCCCGAATGCATGAGGCCTTCTGAAGTCAAGTATAATATAAATTTTTAATTATTGTGTCTCGACATTAAGGCTAACCAAACTTGTTCATACTCAAAATGCTGAGTAATGATGGATTAGTGTGTAATCAACCAGGAAGTTTGGCCGGCTTCATTAGCCTAGACAGTTAAAGGGTGCTGTTTTCGAAAGAAAACAAACAAAACAGACTTTGTAAAGAAAGTTCTTGCCTGCTTTGTAAAGAAAGTTCTTGCCTGCTTTGTAAAGAAAGTTCTTGCCTGCTTTGTAAAGAAAGTTCTTGCAATTTTTTGTTTTGTAAAGAAAGTTCTTGCTATTTTTTGTTTTGTAAAGAAAGTTCTTGCAATTTCTATCAAAATAAGCCATTTTAAAGCCTTACAGGGTCAAGGTGACAAGTTATACGATGAAAAGTGTTTTTCATTTTTCAAACGAAGTTATTGATATTTTAAACCTTACCCCCCTCCCCCTACAATTTCCTCCCTGTACTCCTCCTCTTCCTCTCCCCTCCCCTTAAAATCGTACTATTATATCTTGGTGCAAAACAGTTTACGTTCAAAGAAGATTTAAAAAAGGAACATAACTACGCCGTATTTTACAAATCGTCTACCCTACCATACCCTACCCTACCCCACTATAACCTACCTTGGCCTAACTCTACCCTGCATCAGCTAGTCTTACCGTGCTTTGACCTAGCCCTACTCTACCTTATTCAGACCCTAACCTGACTTTAATGCTCACTGTACCTTGCATGAACAGTACCTCACTTACCGTACCCTACCCTGCCCTACCTCTGCTTTTGCCTGGCCCTACCAAGCCGTAACCTAGCCTAATGGCCTTACCCTGCCCTGCCATGGCCTATGTCGATTTACATCTGCCTTAGTCTTAGAAAAGCTACTAGTAAGTACTAGCATCGTTTATAACATGTAAACGTGTGATAGATAGCACTACACCTAGCATGAATTGTTCTATAACAAAAGCCCTGTATAACGAATGACTTTCAAGTTCTCGCCCATCCCCACACAGTAAATTTAAAACTCCGCTATAACAATACCCTCATCACATTTAAACTTTCCTATCATGATAAAAACAGTTCCACTATATACGCCTTTATCGTTGACAAACAGAAACTAACAGCAATAAAAGAACGGTAAAACATCAAAAAGAAGCCTTATATATACCATGCTATACATATGTGATAGACCCATTAAATGAAACCTTTAAATATTCTTGCGACATTATGTTGAAACAATTTACGTTACAATAATCAAAAACACATTACCAATTCAACATCTCATTTTTAACTACAAGTACGTAGCCACTTGGCAATAACTTTCTTAACAAGACAAAAAACTTCTAGAACTTTCTTTACAAAAGAAAATATGGCAAGAACTTTCTTTACAGAGCAAAAAATGGCGTAAACTTTCTTTACAAAACAAAAAATGGCAAGAACATTCTATACAAATTATAAAATAGCAAGAACTTTCTTTATAAAACAAAAAATGGCAAGAACTTTCTTTACAGATCAAAAATGGCGTAAACTTTCTTTACAAAACAAAAAATGGCAAGAACTTTTTTTACAGAACTAAAAATGACAAGAACTTTCTTTACAAAACGGAAAAAGCACTTCTAGTATCAATCGTATAACTTGTCACTGGCAGGCTGCGGATCATGCAGTTTGCAATTATGGAAAACAAATGGCAAGAACTTTCTTTACAAAACAAAAAATGGCAAGAACTTTCTTTAAAAACCAAAAATATTACCTAAAAACAGAATTGACAATGACGTTGAGGTATGGTTTTCAAGTTGTCAACAAACCCAACCCAATTCTACTATAATATCTTATGGTTGGAAAACAAAAATACCTTGAGAATGAATTTACATAATCAATCAGTTACAATTACCGAAAACAATTGTAAATATTTTAGTCGATTTACGCTTGTTACTATCGAAATACCGGCCATATGAAATAGGTTTACAGTGTTATAACGTTATGAATTGGCCTAATAATAGATGTTGTATGATAGTAATAGTAAGTTAATAATAAACAATTGACGTTATAAGAGTGATATATAACATAGATCAGCTTGACTAAACTAGTTTTAAACTACGAGAACTATTGTACTAAGCAGGGTTAAAATGTTGGACAAAGTGAAAAATTTGGGAAAGGTAAAGTTTTGGGCGGGGTAAAATTTTGGGCGTGGTAAAAAATTTTGGCATGGTAAAAATTTAAGCATAATAAAGCTTAAACATGGTAAAATTATGGGAATGGTAAAAAATTTGGGCATGGTAAGGTTTTGGGCGGGGTAAGATTTTGGGCGTGGTAAAAAATTTTGGCATGGTAAAAATTTAAGCATTATAAAGTTTAAGCATGGTAAAATTATGGACATGGTAAACTTTTGGGCATGGTAAAAAATTTTGGCGTGGTAAAAATTTGGGCAGAATAAAATTTTAAACAAAGTAAAATTTCGGACTGAGTAAAAGTTGGGGCACGGTAAATTTTTGGGCAGTGTAAAATTTTGAGCAGGGTAAAACTTTCAGCAAAAAAAATTAGGCAAGACCGTTCAGGGCAAGGCTAAGGCTAAAGGTTAGGGTTGAGAATAGAGCTAAGACTTGGGCTAGCACTAGGTCTAGAACTGAGACCGAGACCAGAGCAATGGCCATGACCAGAGCCATAACTAAGGCTAGGTTTATGGTTAGGTCTAAGACTACAATCAAAACTAAGAAAAAGACTAGGTCTAGAGCTAGAGCTAGAACTAAGACGCTTTTAGACTAGAGAAAAGTAGCGTTATAGTTAGGGCTCTGGGCTAGGGTTCTGGACTAAAGCTCTGGACTAGGGCTCTGGACTAAGCTCTGGGCTAGGGCTCGCTATGGGCTAGCACTCAGGGCTAGGGTTGTGGGCTAGAGCTTTGGACTAAGGCTTCGGGCTAGGGCTTTGGGCTACGACTAGTGCTTATTTACAATTTTCACTTATAACATGTAGACATACATATTGAGGGTAATATAAACCGGAACAAACATTACAATGTTGCAAACATAAGTCTAACTGATCGAAATATTAGGTAATTTACAAAGATTACAAGTATAAGTTTTAAACAACACTGATAAACTATAACTTCTATTAAAAACCTACCCCCCCCCCTCCCCCCGTCCCCCCCCCCGCTCTAAAAAAACACCCAACCTCTTCCTCCGTAATTATTAGGTCCCGACATAAAGAACCCGCCATTTTTCACAGGAAATTACAAGCAAAGTATGGCGGGTTCTTTATGTCGGCATTTAATACAAGCCAGACACCCCCCCCACCCCTGCCCCTCAGTGAAAATAAGAAAACAACCTCGCCAACTGTACACCAATTCTGTGTAGCCGAACTAAATTCATATTCGAATTCCAGTTCAGTCCATCACTTTCAGCGATGGCATTTCCTCACACTGCATATGACATGTTTTGTCTTACTACTAGCTTACCAGAACAAGGAATGACACGCTTTCACTGGCTAAAGATCTGTTTTTGTGGCTAACATATTAATTTGTTCAATTAATTCTGTGCCTCCTCTCAAAGCAAAATTTCGGAATTAGGAGGCACAGAATTATTTAAACGACATAATAGTAAATGGCTGGATTGAAACGTTAAATTTTGTTTGAAGCCAGGGCGCAGCTGATGAGTTTTAAAGGTTTCGAAAAGTTGCATTAAAACAAAGAGCAAAAACTTTCTTTACAAAATGAAAAATGGCAAGAACTTTCTCTACATAACGTAAGCATCTTATTTGCCGTATAACTTGTCACCCGCAGCCTGCAAGGTAGTTAAATGGCTTGTTTTGATACAAATGGCAACAACTTTCTTTACAAAATCAAATATAGCAAAAACTTTGTTTACAAAACGTAAAAAGCTTATTTGTCGTATAAATTGTCATCCGCAGTTCGCTCAATTATAAAACTTGCTTATTAAAAATAGCAAGAACACTCATTACAAAATCAAAAACGGCAAGAACTTTTTTTACAAAACAAAAAACGGCAAGGACTTCCTTTACAAAACAAAAAAATGGCAAAAACTTGCTTTACAAAACAAAAAATAAAAATAATTTTAAAATTTGAAATAAAACCCCTCAGGCAATATTGTTCTTTTAAATTATGAAAATCGAAGGCCCGACAAGTGAAGTGACGTTACCAAATGGAGTTTTATGCTCTAATTAACAAATATAATTAAGATTTCGAAGTGATGCGTCTACTGTCTCTGCAAGCCCCACAGTAGACGCACATAGCCTCAGGATAATATACGTAAAACTGAAGATGATAACGTAGACAGATAATTTGTGTACTGTAGGAAGTACGTAATACAAAAAGGGATTTTTTGGTCAATTTTCATTTTTTTAATTTACAAAAAAAATAATTTTCGTCGTATAACTTGTCAACCGCAAGCTGCAAAGGCGTAAAATAGCTTGCCTTGATACAAATAGCAAGAACTTTATTTACAAAACATAAAATGGCAAGAACTTTCTTTACAAAACAAGAAATAACAAGAACTTTCTTTACAAAAACAAAAAAAAACTTGTCCCCCGCAACCTGCAAGGTCATAAAATAGCTTATTTTGATGCAGATGGCAAGTTCCTTTAAAACACAAAAAATGGCGAGAACTTTCTTTACAAAACAAAAATATTAATTTTCAAGTTACAGTAGGGCATAAAATTCCCAAGTTTCAAAACAGTTCATTTTTTTCAAAAAATTTCAAACTTTGTATTCTTTATTTGCCAACCGGTTGGGCGTTTTGGGCTGTGTGAGAAAGAAAAGGTGAGTCGTATTTTGAAAATTTAAAAGTACCCTACTCGACCCTTGCCCTACGTTATCCTACCCTACCCTACCCTACCCTGCCCTGCCCTACCCTACCCTACCCTACCCTACCCTACCCTACCCTACCCTACCCTACCCTACCCTACCCTACCCTACCCTACCCTACCCTACCCTACCCTACCCTACCCTACCCTACCCTACCCTACCCTACCCTGCCCTATATTATTCTACCCTACCCTACTCTACCCCGCTTGACCATAGCTTATCACAAACCTATCATAACCAAGCCCTTTCGTATTCTAGGCTCTACCATACCGTAAGCACTATCTTACCCTAGGCCACTACCGTACCCTCGTCTTTATCCTAAATCCTACCTTACCCCGAAGTCTACCGTATCCTAGGCCCTGCCGTACCCTGGGCCCTACTGTCCCCTAGGCCTTACTGTACGTAAGGCCTTTCCGTATTGTAAGTTCTACCCTACCATACTTGTAATACAAAAGCTTTACTGTAATTTTATTCAATTTTTAGCCAAATGAAAGCAGAATCGAAGAAGTCGTTTGGCCGCAAAATCGGCCACAATCGCCGTTGGCTGTTTCAGTATTGGAAAAGTCATGAAAAGAAAGCTATCGATGAGGCGGACAATCAGTGCAATCAGTAAGTTTACTTTTTGGCCTATTACAATACAATGCCAAAAACCCGCGAAAATTGAAATTTGAATTTTCAAAAATCTTTTTTTAATTTTTTTAGTAATTTTGTAGTTGTTTTTAAATAAAAATAATGTTTTATGCTATGAAAAATCTGTAAAAAGTTGTTTTAAACCCATTACAACACAATGCCAAAAACCCGCAAAAAATCGAAATTTAAATTTTTCGGCTTCTTTTTTAAGCATTTTTAAACATTAAAAGCCGTTTTTAATTGAATATCAAAGGTTTTTAACATAAAAATTATAAAAGTAAAATTTTAGGCCTATTGAAACAGAATGCCAAAATGCGCGCCAAATTCAAAAATTTAAATTTTTTTAAAATATTAAGTATAAAAATCAAAATTAGTAAGATATATAGAAATTTAAAGTAAAATACGCACCTGCCCAAAAAATATTAGTTTTTAACTTAAAAATGTCAATCACAACTTACAGGTTAGCCCTCTTGCCACCAAACCAACAACGTCAAGTAGAACAAGTTGTCAACTTCCTGAGTGCCCAGTCTCATGTTGAATCTGAAGAACGATCCGAAATTGGACTGAACTGCTCTTCAGAAACCGTCGATCCATTAGCTGGCTTCCATTCACTTCTGATCGCTTGGCTATACCGAATTGAGAGCCCCGCCTTTGAGAATTTTTGGTGCTTGACTGAAGAAAAAGTTGGATTAAAGAGAGAAACGGTAAGGTTTTTGAGAGAAAAGTGGTTTTGTATTGTAGAAAATTTAATTTTCTATCGTTTACAGTAATTTTTGTTTTAGTTTTGTAAAATACGACGTATATACTGTTCAGTATTTAACAAAAAACCCTATTTTTTTAAATTTTTAAAAAATTTTTTGAGAAATTTATCAAAAATTCAAGCTTTTTACCATTTTTTGATAAGTTTTTAATCATTTTTTAATAAAAAATAGTATTAGCAACGCCATAAAAACTCTTTTAGTGTCATTTCCAACCAAATTTATGCCTAAAACCCCAAAAAAGTTGTTAGGTCTCACCGAGATTCGAACTCGGGTCGCAGGATTCAGAGTCCTGAGTGCTAACCGCTACACCATGAAACCACGGAGCGTTGGACTTTTGTTTAGCGATTAGATCTTATTCTAAGTGGTTTTATTGGTTATACTAGCCAACATAGGCTTATAAAAATTGAAATTTGAGTAAAAAAGTTAATTCTTAAACAAACTGAATTTAAATTTTTTGCAATTTTTTTTAAATTTTAATTTTTCAAAATTTGGTGAGATTTTATGCCCCTTATGATGACCTAAAACAATATAAATCCCTATAACTAACTAATAGAAAAATATTTTCAGATCAGCTATGGCATTCTAAGCACATTTATGGCCATTTTGTTCGTTATCAACCTGTCCGAACTGATTTGCTCATTGGTTGGCGTGGTATACCCAATTATGTGCACCTATGAGGTAAGGGGTCATGGTTAATATAAGCCGGAAATTAAATTTTTTTACCTAAATTCCAACTTTTTGTAATTAAAATAAACTTAAACTACAATTTTGGAACTAAAAATAATTTAAAAAGTTTAAAATTAAAAAATTTTTTTCGACCGGTCGATATTTTTTTGAAATGTTTGAAAAAATTTGGTGTAAAAGTGCCTTACTTAAGGGGCTATAAAAAGTGTTGATAAATATTAAACACCAATTTTTTGAAAATAAATTTTTCGACCGGTCGATAATTTTTTTTCGAAATTTAAAAAATTTGATTTTATCTTGTCCTAAAGGCTTTAAGATCCCCAAAAACTAAAAATTTACCATTCCAGCTCCTAAAGCTGCCAGCATGTGACGTTCCAGACGAGCTGCGTCGCCATTGGATGTGCTACTGGGCAATTTTTGGTATGATCACTGGCATCGACTTCATTGTCAGATCAATGCTGCCATTCTATCACATCACCAAGGCCATGGTCCTGTTGGCGGTGGCGATTCCTGACTTTCGATTGGCTCAAACCTTCTATGATTACAGTGTGAAACAAGTGGCTAGGGTTGTGATCAATCTTGTCAAGAAATATGCTTTGTAGAGAGGGAAATAAACTGAACTGAAACTTTAAAAATTTTACTTTCGTATGTTAGTAGAGATATGAAAAACCGTTGAAAAATGAAAAATAGCAAAAACTTTCTTTACAAAACAAAAAATGGCAAGAACTTTCTTTACCAAGCTAAAAATGAGCTTAATCAATTATCGTATAACTTGTCACCCGCAGCCTGCAAATCCATAAACCTGCTTGTTTTAGAAAAAATAGCACAAACTTAAGAACTTTACAAAAAATTAAATTTTTTCATCGTATAACCTGTCAATCGTAGTCTGCAAAACCATATAACTAAAATTTTTTAAGCAAAAATGGTAAGAACTTTCTTTACAAAATCAAAAGTGGCAAGAACTTTCTTTACAATACAAAAAATAACGAGAACCTACTTTACAAATCTAAAAATGGCAAGAAATTTCTTTACAAAACATAAAATGGCAATAACTTCGTTTCCAAGCTTTAAAACAGCAAAAACTTTCTTTACACAACCAAAGAAGGAGTTTTATAAAGTATCGTATAACCTGTCACCCCGCAGCCTGCAAAATCATAAAATAGCTAAAATAGCGATAAACACACTTTAAAAAATCAACATCCTGATATGAAATTTATTCACGATAGTACGACAAGGCAGTATTAGCTAGTACCATTAGTATCAATCCAGTAGCAGGCAACACCAGCCAGTACCAAACGCCAGTACCAACCAGTACCACTAGTATCAAGACTTTGTTCTTCGCTCCATCCCACTCAAGGGCTCGGCACTTGTCCTTTTGCCATCGTCGTCGCTCTCACGATCACTGCGCTCCTGATTCCGGCAACTGGCATTGTTATTGGTGTTGTTGGTGGTGACTTTGCTCCGCCGGCGCGGCTTCGACCTCCTTCTTGTAACCGACACTTCCGTCGGATTCTGGTTCGGACTCGGGTTGGAGCGATGTACACTGCGACGACGACGTCGTGAGCTGACCACAATGTAACGGTCACGTTTCAGCAGCTCTTGACGTGAGGACTGGAATTAAATAAAAATTATGCTTTTCATCAAAAGCAAAATGGCAAAAACTTTCTTTACAAAACAAAAAATGGCAAGAACTTTCTTTACATAGCAAAAAATGGCAAGAACTTTAATTACAAAACAAAAATGGCATAAACTTTCTTTACAACACAAAAGATGACAAGAACTTTCTTTAAAAAACGAAAAATTGCAAAAACATTCTTTACAAAACAAAAAATGGCAAAAACTTTCTTTACAAAACAAAAAATGGCAAAAACTTTCTTTACAAGACAAAGACTTTTAAAACTCGAACTACTTAAACCCCTAAAGCAATATTATTCCTTTAAATTATGAAAATAAAGTTTCTCGGCGTATAACATGTCAACCGCAACCTGCAGAACCGTAAAAAAACTAATTCATCGTATAACATGTCCCCCGCAGCATGCATCCTCAATACATTTTTAGCCATCTATAAAAGTCATTTTAAATTCACTTCTAAAGCCAAAAAATAAAAACTCACATAGAAAATGGCAGTTCTGTTCACTCCCTTGATGCGATTCACGGCCAGGTTCTCGATACTGGGAAACTCCTTCTCATGTTCTTCGAGGTATGCCATCAACAGTGGTACAATGTCGTCAAACATTGTTCGTTTTTCCGGTTCAATCAGCCTGAAAATTGAAACTTTTAAACTTTTTTACAATTTTAAAATCCAATTTTTTTAATTTTAAAATTTTGTAAAAATTGCAAAAACTTTCTTTACAAAAATTTTTTTTGTAATTTTTAAAAAATTTATTTACCCCTGCCATTTCCATTCCCTATAATCTTCATTTTCATTAAAAATTTTTTCTACCCCCCCCCCCCTTCCCAACGCAAAAACTTTCTTTCCACCTACCAAATCTCCTCCGTTACCACTTTTCGCAGCAATTCGGGGGCGGATTCCGGGAACTTGGGCATGTCACCATGTCGAATGTGTTTGGCAATCTTCTTGTAGTCGTCTTCGTCGTGAAACACTGCCAATCCTTTATTAAACATCTCGTATAACAGCACACCGTACGACCAGACATCACTGTTCAGAAGGACCACTGGATTTCTGGAGATTGCTTCTGGAGCTAACCATCTTAGTGGGACGTTGGCCTTCTTCTTTTCCTTCTCTTCTTTCTTTTCTTCCTTTTTTAGATTCATTTCATCTACCATTTGACTTAGGCCAAAGTCCGCAATCTTGATTTGTCCTCTGGAAATGGCAGTATTAGCACTTTATAGCACCCTACCCTAGGCCCTACCGTACTATAAGCCCTATCGGACCTTTGGCTCTGCCGTACCCTAAGCCCCGCCGTACCCTAGACCCTACCGTACCCTAGGCCCTGTCGTACCTTAGACCCTACCGTACCCTAGGCCCTACCGTACCCTAGGCCCTACCGTACCCTAGGCCCTACCGTACCCTAGGCCCTACCGTACCCTAGGCCCTACCGTACCCTAGGCCCTACCGTACCCTAGGCCCTACCGTACCCTAGGCCCTACCGTACCCTAGGCCCTACCGTACCCTAGGCCCTACCGTACCCTAGGCCCTACCGTACCCTAGGCCCTACCGTACCCTAGGCCCTACCGTACCCTAGGCCCTACCGTACCCTAGGCCCTACCGTACCCTAGGCCCTACCGTACCCTAGGCCCTACCGTACCCTAGGCCCTACCGTACCCTAGGCCCTACCGTACCCTAGGCCCTACCGTACCCTAGGCCCTACCGTACCCTAGGCCCTACCGTACCCTAGGCCCTACCGTACCCTAGGCCCTACCGTACCCTAGGCCCTACCGTACCCTAGGCCCTACCGGACCCTAGAGAACATACCACATCTTAGGCACTACCACACCACACCCTACCCCCACCGTGCTTTAAACCCTATCGTACACTAGGCCTATTGTCCTCTAGAACCTACTACACCCTAGGTCCTACCGTACTATAAACCCTGCCGTACTATAAGCTCTACAGTGGGCCTTACCGTACCATTGACCCTACCATGCCCTAGAGAATATACCGTATCTTATGCCCTACCCTACCTTCAGCCCTACCATGCCATTAAAAAACATATCGTATCTCAGGCTTTACCATAACCTAAGCCCTCCCCTACCGCCCTAACCTATCCTAACCTAAAAATACCGTAATGTTTGTCGAGCTACCGTACTTGACTGCAATACCCCAGTTAACTTTACATTTCCATTCCATCACAACGACTATCCTACTGTACTATAACATAACCTAAACTTAAAATCCACCTACCTTGAAGAGATCAAACAGTTCCGACTAGCCAAATCTCGATGAAGGCACTTCTGAGCGTGCAGGTATCTCATTCCTCTGGCTGCTTCGAAGGCGTACAATACCAACTCAACTTGGCAGATTTGTATTTTGTCATTCCTCAGATGAAGATCCAAAGACCCGCCTGGGCAAAACTCCAGCACAATTAGAATTGGGGGATGGTCACAGGCTATGCCAATAAACTAAAAAATTAAAAAAATTATTGCAAATTGACAAAAAATGAACAAAACGTCACAATTTTAAATCATTTATTTTGTGGACAAAATGTCAAAAAGTAAAGAATATTGATTTTTTAGACAAAATGTCAAAAATTCATAAAGTATTAACCTTTTAGACAAAATGTCAAAAATTCGTAAAGTATTGATTTTTTTCGACAAAATGTCAAAATTTTTAATTATCGATTTTTTGAACGAAATGTCAATAACAAATAACTCACATCAATAATGTTCTCATGATAGTACTTGGACATGATTTTTGCTTCGTACAACATGCTCTGACACGCCTCCTGTTCCTGTTCTTGTTGATTCTTGTCCTCACTTGTGTGACACACTTTGATGGCTACAAACTTCTTGACCCCATCCAATAGAATCGATCCTTTGAAGACGTCAGCAAAATTGCCCTTCCCCAACAAATCTTTGGCGTAGTAGTCGATAGCCGAGTGGCGGATTAGCCATTTTGGACTAAAAATATATTTTATATCTAGCTGAAGCCCTAGCCTGAACCCTAGCCCAAAGCCCTAGCCCAGAGCCCTAGCACTAGCCTAGAGCCCTAGTCCAGAGCTCTAGCACAAAGCCCCAACCCAGAGCCCTAGCCCAGAGCACTAGCCAGAGCCTATGCCCTAGTCCGAAGCTCTAGCCTAAGCCCTAGACAAAGCCATGGCCTAAGTCCAAGCCTAAGCTATAGCCTGAGCGCTAGCACAAGCCTTAGCCCTAGTCCTAGCCATAGCTAAGTCATAAGCCCTAGCCGTAGCCGAGCCATAAATAGCGTAGTCTAGCCATAATCTAAGCCTAGCCATAGCTCAAGCCCTAGCCTAAAAAACCCAGCCCGAGCTGTGCTACTACAGTACAATTGCCCTATCTCAAGACTACCCTTACCATAGACAAACCTTATTCTTACATTACCATAGCGTATAACTTATCCATAACCTAGCAACGTCTTACCATTTCTCTATTCCTATCGTTGCCCTGACCTATCTCTGTGCCCTCCCTACCCCCCTCCCATTTTTAACCTATCACAACATCAATCGCTATAAAATTTCAAAAAAAACTCACCGAGGAACTCCAAAGATCAGTTTCTGGCCACAAGGTAATGCATTACCTGTGTAGTAATTGACCAGTTCAGCTACAGCATCAAACGAAACCCGAAACGGATTCTGTTTGTCTACGTCGAGACAGTACTTGTTATTTACGACCGGTAACATGTACTTTTGTAGATCTTTTTTGGTTCGAACGTGAAGGAATATCCGCGGAACGCCGTCCGACATACTCGCGCGCACTATAAAATCTCCGCTGTGGCGTAGCTCGGACCTAAAATTTTAAAAAAATGTTTTTGTAAAGAAAGTTCTTGCAATTTTTTGTTTTGTAAAGAAAGTTCTTGCCATTTTTTGTTTTGTAAAAAAAGTTCTTGCCATTTTTTTGTTTTGTAAAGAAAGTTTTTGCTTTTTTTTTGTTTTGTAAAGAAAGTTCTTGTCATTGTTTGACTTGTAAAGAAAGTTCTTGCCATTTTTTTGTTTTGTAAAAAAAGTTCTGGCCATTTTTCAACAACTTTTTTATTTTTAAATTTCAAAAATTGACTCACGTAATTTCCTCCATATCCCGAATCCCATGGTAATAAGTCTGAACTTCCAGCTTCTGGTCATCTTTATCATTTTCTGCCATTTTCAAGTACTGAGCTGCAAAAAAAGACATTATAAAAAATGTCAAAATTGATGTCAGAAACCATTTTTATACCTATACGTACACATACAAACTTTAAAAGGCTGTAAATTTAGTTTAAAGTCACCTACTTCATTAAAAGACGGTGATTTTAGTCATTTTTTGACAAAAAAGGTCGTTTTTCAATTTTGTAAAGAAAGTTCTTGCTATTTTATGTTTTGTAAAGAAAGGTTTTGCCATTTTATGTTTTGTAAAAAAAGTTCTTGCTATTTTGTGCTTTCTAAAAAAAGTTCTTGCCATTTTTGTTTTGTAAACAACCGTTTAAACACAAAATTTCAGAAAAAAATCTTAAAGATAATCCACCCCTAAAGACTTATAATCTACCGTACTAAAAATAAACACATTTTTAGGTCATAAAATCTTTTAAAATCTAATCAAAAGACGAAATTTATACCAAATTTTAGCAAAAAATAATGTTTTTTCAAAGATTTTTTATCAAATTTTGAAAAATTTTTTGCAAAAATCCACCCCCTGGAAATACAAAAGCTACCATGATAGCAAAAACTTTATTTTAACCTATAAAACCCTTTAAAATCGCATCAAAAGACGAGTTTTATACCAATTTTCATCAAAAATGCCCTTTTTTCGACATCTTCTAGCCAAATTTCAAAACATTTTTTGCAAAAATCCACCCCCTTAGAATTCAAAATGTACCGTAATAAAAAACCTTATCTTTAAGGTATAAAACCCTTTAAAATCAACTCAAAAAACATTTTATATCAAATTTTTAACAAAAAATGCCTTTTTTCGACGTTTTCCAGCCAAATTTCAATTTTTTTTGTAAAAATCCACCCGCTTGGCAATACAAAATCTACCCTACTAAAAATAAACACATTTTTACGCAATAAAACCTTTTAAAATCTCCTCAAAAAGCAAACTTTATAACAAATTTTGGCAAAAAATAACGTTTTTTCATCAAATTTTGAAAATTTTTTGTCTAAAAATCCACCCCCTTAGATTTCAAAATCTACCATAATAGCAAAAACCTTTAAACCCCATGAAACCCTATAACATCAAAAAAACATATTTTATATCAAATTTTTATCACAAAATGCCTTTTTTCGACGTTTTCTAGCCAAATTTCAATTTTTTTTTGCAAAACTCCACCCCCTGGGATTAAAAATTTACTCTGCTAAAAAAACCTCTTATTTTCAAACTATAAAATTCTTTAAAATCATCAACTCAAAAAACGTATTTTACACGAAATTTTTATCAAAAAATTCCCTTTTTTCAACGCTTTCTAGCCCAATTTTAAATTTTTTTTTGCAAAAACACACCATTTGGAATTACAAAATCTGCCATCATAGCAAAACTCTTATTTTTAAAACTATAAAACCCTTTAAAATCGACTCAAAAAACATATTTTATACCACATTTTTATCGAAAATCGCCCCTTCTTCGACGTTTTCTAGCCAAATTTCAATCTTTTTTTGCAAAAATCCACCCCCTGAAATTCTGAAATCTACCTACCACCACTCCTACTAAAACCCCCCATTTCTATGCCAGACAACCCTTTAAAATCATACCTCTTCCGTCTTGAAACAAGAAGTACTCTGTCGAGAATTAGAGCTCAGACCAAACGATGAAAACCGACCGCACACTAAATTTTAAAAAACGCAACTGAAAGGGAACGGCCCAAACCAAACTGCACTTTTTTAAAACTATTCAAATTATGAAAAAAGTAAAATTTTAAAATTTTTTACTTTTCGGCAAAACTACTTTAAATTTTCTGTTTCCGTACTTTTGTACTTTCACTACTGGTCGTACTATATAGTACGTTGAGTATATAGCGGTTGCCCAAGCCGTATATATCTCATTAAAAACGTCATTTTGAGAGTATTTTTGACATATCTTCTGACTTACGTATATTATAGTACTAACGGTTTCCCAAGCCGTTTTCAATACTGTCACTACCTTTTCGTACTATATAGTACGTTGAGTATATAACGGTTGCCCAAGCCGTATATCTCATTAAAAATGTCATTTTGAGAGTATTTTTGACATATATTCTGACTTTTGTTCTGTCTTTGTACTGTCACTACCTTTTCGTACTATATAGCACGTTAAGTATATAACGGTTGCCAAACCGTATATCTCATAAAAATATAACCCAACCACCCGTCAACCCTCAAAAATACCAAATGGCATCCTTTTTACTATCACCGCTTCCTTTTTTCCGCACGAAAATTTCAAAAATCAATGTTAACATTACCCAAATTCGCGGGAGTTGACTAAAGTAAAGACTTAGAAAAATAGTATGTTTTAGATCTTTACTGCGGAATCCCGATTTTACGCATTTCGTGAAAGAAGAAGACGCGAAGACCGAATTATACTAGGTAGTGCGTCGATTTCGACCGTTTTGTCGATACGCGATTGCGTTTATACAGTGCTGTCAGCGCTGTTATATACTCGAGGTAAGCCTCGCCAATATAAACGATAGTTTGTCGAGTGCAGATACGGTGTTTGTGCGTTCAGATACGGTGTTTGTTCATTTGTAATGCGTGATTACGGGGTTTTTGAGTGCTTTTATATAGCGGTGTCATGCTTTTATAGCATTTGTTCATACTGTGGGAGTATGAATGGTAGTTTGTACACTGTGAGAGTATGAATGATAGTGCATTGTTGGTTTAGTGCTGTGGGAGTACTATGTGTGTATAAGGCTTACCCAACCTATATACAGTGTAATGGTAGTGCATGGTTTTGTTATCGTACTGTGAGAGTACGATATATTGTACTGTAAGAGTACTATGTATGCACGGTCTGAGTAACCGTGGCATACTGTATGTAATGTGGCGTCACATTGGTAAGTACGTGCTAGTATTTTGCTTAGTGAGCACGATATACTGTGAGAGTTTTCAGTATCGTACTGTGAGGGTACTATATATCGTACTGTGAGAGTACTATGGCCTGACCAACCGTGACATACTGTATGTAAGTGCATGCTCTGAGTATCGTACTGTGAGAGTACTATGTATGTACGGCTTGACTAACCGTGACATACTGTTTACTATCGTACTGTGAGAGTACGTTAATATATATTGTAGCAAATATAACAATGTACTATGTAGTACTATGACAGATTAGATACTATTATAGTACGTTTTGTACTAACTATGACAGCCTTTTAGTACTATGTACTAACTTATACGGGTCCGGTTTCGGATGGTACGTTTATGCCTGTACATTATCATGCTTGCAGCCTTTACCTCAGTATTTGACTTTGCAAGTTAGTTTCATTACTGACTTGTTGTTGAATCCATACTGTATTGTGGGGTGTACGGTCGTTGAGATATACGGCTGTTTATGACATTAGCTATAGATTTTTTCTTTTACATAGTTTTTAAACTTATGTACAAGCGAATTGCCTGATTCTATGCTATATATGTCTATATATATTAGGTGCCGGCAAAAGTTTTTCCACGATTTTTGTTTTTACCAAAATTTAATTTTTAAAAAAAAAACATCAACTAATGAACAAATATATGTACCATTATTATCAACGACCTGTTGTTATTCCTTCGGCAGCATTTGGATTCAACTTCTATAGAAACCTAGAGTTTGAAAATTGAAAAAGTAAGCCCACCATCTCTTGAGGTACTCTCGATTGTTAAAGTGTGTTGCGTTCAGGTGGTTTTGAAGAGAGTAGAACATATTATAATCTGTAGGCACAACATCAGTTGAGTACAGTGCATATAGCATCACAGCCCAGCCGAAGCTTTTCAGCTTGTGCTGGGTCAACTTTATCACATAGGCGCAAGCAGTATCATGAATGAAGAAGGTTCGATTCTGTTCACCATGCAATGCCGCCGCAACAGATTTAATTTGTCTACAGTAGACATCCACAGGGATCGTAGTTCCATGTGGTACCATTTCCTAGTACACAATACCTGTTGAGTTCCAGCTAACGCTGATCATCCTATCCAGTGGGTGAAGATCAGGTTTTGGGGTTGGTGTACCTTGTTCTCCACGTTCAAGCCATTGTTGCTTCCTGGTGTGATTAACATACAGTACTCACTTCTCATCTCCAGTAACCAAATTGCCAAGCCATGCAAAGGTCCTTGAGAACATCAACAAATAAGTGCAACTTCCACTTAGCGTTTGAGCTGGTCGCTGTTCAAATCATGTGGAACCCTTGACCATATTTCCATGATATTCCAAGATCGTGAAGTCTAGTTAATATGGTAAAAGGATCAAATTGAAGCTCTACAGTAAAATGAGTACAGGTTAGTCTGGGGTCTTCTTCGATCAGCTTCAGAAGGTGGGGTTTCTTCAACGCTGATGGTCTACCATATCGAACTTTTCGGACATGTCAAGGTCACCGTTTTTGAACTTGTGGAACCAAACTTTTGTGGTGTCGTAAGAGACAACTGAAGGCCCTACAGCACTGCATATTTCCTTCGTCGCTCTTATTGCGTTGCCGGGATTGCGGAATTTGAGAAGCAACACTGCCCAAACATGGTCATGTTTCACCTTGATTTCCTGAACCATCGTAAACAACAGAATGCTTGAACATGCAATAGTTTTTAGTCTTTGGACAACTCTTTATATAGGTTATCAACATAAACTTCTAGAACTGTCTATAATTTTTTGGTAAATTTTAGAAAAATTGTGGAAAAACTTTTGCCGGCACCTAATACATAGGGTTAAAATTTTTGCTTTTACATGGTTTTTTAACTTGTGTACGAGCGAATTATCTGATTTCTATGTTATATGTGTCTATATATACATAAACTTAAAATTTTTTCACTTATATGATTTTTCAACTTGTGTACGAGCGAATTGCTAATTTCTATTTTATATATGAAAATATATAATATAAGGTTAGAATTTTTTATTATTTATAATTTTTCAACTTATGTACGACCGAATTTACTGATTTTATGTTGTTATAGGTTATATACTACTATGTATAAAACAAATTTGCATGTTTATTTTTAATGATTTTTCAACTCGTGTACGAGCGAATTACTAAATGTTATGTTATACGTTTATAAGTAATATATGTACTTAGAACTTGTATTTTGGCTTTTTAATGATGTTTTAAACTTATGTACGAGCAAATTGTAAATTAAAAAAAAATTGTTGATATAATGTTAAACTTATGCACAAACGAATACATTAGTCTATCTCTAGTTTAAACCTAACCTCAGGCCTAGCCTCAGGCCTAGTCTCAGCCCTAGGCTCAGTCCTAGGCTCAGCCCTAGGCTCAGCCTTAGCCTCATTCCTAGCCTCAGTCTAAATCCTAGTCCTAGCCTTAGTACTAGCTTCAGCTCTAGCCTCAGCTTTAGCCTCAGGTTTAGCCTCAGGTTTAGTCTCAGCCCTAGCCTCAGGTTTAGCCTCAGCCCTAGCCTCAGGCTTAGCCTCAGCACTAGCCTCAGTCCTAGCTTCAGTCCTAGCCTCAGCCCTAGCCTCAGCCCAAGCCTCAGTCCAAGCCTTAGCCTCAGCCCTAGGCTTAGCCCTAGCTTCAGTCTTAGCTTCAGCTTTAGCCTCAGGCTTAGCCTCAGTTCTAGTCTCAGGCGTAGCCTCAGGCTTAGCCTCAGCCCTAGCCTCAGGCTTAGCCTCAGCCCTAGCTTCAAGCCTATCTTCAGCTTTAGCCTCAGGTCTAACTTCAGGCCTAGCCTCAGGCTTAGCTTCAGCCCTAGCCTCAGGCTTAGCCTCAGCCTTAGCTTCAAGCCTATCTTCAGCTTTAGCCTCAAGCCTAACTTCAGCCCTAGTCTCAGCCCTAGCCTCAGTCCAAGCTTTAGCCTTAGCCTCAGCCCTAGCCTTAGCCCTAGCTTCAGCCTTAGCCTCAGCTTGAGCCTCAGGCTTAGCCTCAGCCCTAGTCTCAGGCGTAGCCTCAGGCTTGGCTTCAGACCTAGCCTCAGCCCTAGCCTCAGGCCTAACCTCAGGCCTAGTCTCAAGCTTAGCCACAGGCTTAGCCTCAGCCCTAGCCTCAGGTCTAGCCTCAGCCCTAGCCTCAGGTCTAGCCTCAGGCCTAGCTTCAGTCCTAGCCTCAGCCCTAGCCTCAGTCTTAGCCTAAAGCTCTAGGCTAAGCCTTAGTCTACGCTTTAGTCTATGTCCCATCCCAGGGGACGCTAGCGTTAGCCCCGTCCTAGTTATTGTCTCGGCCTTAGCCCCTTTACGACAAAACCAGTACTTTTGAAAAACTACAAGTTTCGTTTTGGCTGTTTTGGCCACTTTTATTATTTTCTACCTTATGAACCGGTCGATTTGGATTCGACCGGCACAATGAGTTGGTTTAGTTTTATAACCCTAAATTACATTACTTTTGTGTGTTTTGTGTTGATTCAAGTCTTTGGTATGTTAATATTGTGCTGTAAAGAAAGTTCTTGCTATTTTTTGTTTTGTAAAGAAAGTTCTTGCTATTTTACGTTTTGTAAAAGAAGTTCTTACTATTTTTTTTTTTGTAAAGAAAGTTTTTGCCATTTTACGTTTTGTAAACAAAGTTCTTGCCAATTTACCAATTTTTAGCCCTGTTGGTATGTTCCAAGCCCAAGCCAGTTGATTCGGCCAAAGTAAAGCGGAAACACGTTCAACCACAGCGAAAGAGAGTCGTAGTTCGAAGAGAAGTCTTGTCACCAGATTCAGAAGAAAGAGAGGTCCAACTTGAGTATTATGGGTCACAGAAAAGCGACGACTATCGATATCCATCTTCACTTGAAAACTCGTAAGTATTTTAGGTATAGTAAAAGCTGGACTAGGGTAAAGAAAGTATAGTAGGCTAGGGTAGGGGGCAAGATAAGAGAGTAAGGTGGGGTATGGTAGCCTAGGGTAGTGGAGGGGAATTTTGGTAGAAGTTAGGCAAAGGGATAAAACAGGTGAGCTTTATAGGGTACAGTAGCCCTATAGAATAGGGTAGGGTAAATTAAAAAATTTCACACATACAAGCCTTTCAGAACCCAATTGGATAACCACCATCAGCTGAAGACGTGTGAAGGAGAACCCTCGACGCAAGAAAGTGCTGACACAGCCACGTTACCGACGAGTAAAGAGCTAGAAAAACCTAAAAAGGGGGGTGGTTTCAATTGGTTCAAGAAAACAACGAATAAGAAACATACGACAATGAAGACACAGACCGAGGAGCCGGTTATTACTGGACTTGAAAAGTAGGTTAATATAGGAATTTTTGGTACTCCTAGGCTTACAAATGGTACTAGTGGTACTAAAATTTGTTTTTAAACCTTGTAGGTAATTTTGAAGCTGAAAACCATGTATTTATAGAATTGTACTAGTGGTACCATAAAAAATCCAAAATAGTACTATTGGTACCAAATTTTGAATTTTTAAAAATAATTAAAAAATACATTTTAAGCTTAAATTAAAGTCTTTTAACTCCCAATTTTTCAGTTCACACAAAGAACAAAAGGAACAACACAGAGTACAGCCAATGGCCAAGAAAAAACGGGTTCGGCCGCTGAAAGAAGCCCATCGACCAAAATCACCAACTCCACCCGCCGAGACCCAAAAAACGAAAACTCACGACGTTTTTGTAGATTGTCCATAAAAAATTGTTCGATAAACAATATATAGTGGTAAAACATTGAATTTTTATAATTTGTTACCTAAATTTACACAAAGGTGATTTGTTACCTAACCTAAGGAAAAATTAAAGATTTTAAACCCAAAACTTATAAAGAACATAATTTGTTATTAAAGTTTATCAAAACACAAAGATTTTAAGCCTAAATGTCAACAATCACAAAGCTGAACATTTTGTAAAGGGTATAAAAAAGCCTGCGCAGCCTGCATCTCTCTTCCACTTCTTTTCTTCTTTGGGGCGCGGCGCGGAATTATATTAACGTGCGTTCGCTTTGCTTTTTTCGACCGGCTCTCGACCTCCATCTCACCACAGACAGCGCAAAGTGGACGGAATCTATTCGTGTTTTGTATCCAATCGATTTTTTGAAAGAGTTTAATGGCTTATATTGTTGTAGAGGTTTTTTGCTAGATGTTTATAGGTTTTTGCGGTTTTTGAAGGGATTATCGATTGAATTTTAAACGGTTTTGTTTATTAGAAGGTCTTTTAGATGTTGGACAAGGTTTTTAGATAGCTTTTGGATTGAAATAATATTATTTTGTATCTTACGCGAAACATCACCTATACCTACTTTAACATAAATTATAATCCCATTTTCCGTTTTAGTCCTAACTTTTCAGCTTGGACTACCTTGACATTAAATGTCGAACCGTGGACCAGTGTCTAAGGTAAAGAAGGAGGCCGATAATCGTGGCGGCCGTCGTGATGATCGTCGTGACGATAGGTACGTTTGAAACTATTTTTTGTTTTTGGACTTTTAGGTGTTCATTGTTGATTTACACTCTTGCATACAGAATTTGAATCTTGTACTAAGTTTTACGGTTGTTTTACCCTGCTTTTCATGAAGTTATCAAGGAGTTATATTCAGTTTATGGGTCATATTAACTATGAGGGTTCAAATATGATTGGGTCGTTTTAATGAAGGAATTGAATAACTTTGTTATTTGTTTAGAGTAAGGGTTGCATGGTTAGAAAGGGCATGAAAATGGATTTTTAAAAACGTATTAAAATGGTCAATGAGTTTGTCGTTTTTTAGTATTATATTATATAAAATTAAACATTAAAAGATATAGCCAATGTACAAGATTATTTAAAATATGGTTTTTATTGTTTTTTTTGGCAATATACAACAAAAATTAACAGAGATGTAGCACTTTCTTCCTACTGTAAATGTATAAAAGTTTTAAAGCTCTAAGTTGTTGCTGGTATTTAATAATAAAAAGCAACCTTACATTGAGGTTCGTATTACCATTGCAATTTTTTAATTTATGATTAGTGGTAAATATAATAAGCGTGTACTGGCTAATGCCACAATGATCGTTGTACAGCTTTTTAGCAATACAGCCTTGTTTCTCGTTTTGGTCTATTGTTTTAATGATCTTTATAACGAATTTAATGTATCGATGGTCTGGAACTGGAACAGGCGTAAAATCCAACCTTAACTTTAAAAACAGTGACGATGTATATATATATTTTTCAAAATTTTTTATATTTTTGAAATATTTTTTTATTTTTTTAAAAAATTTTTAAATCACTGTTTTGAAAAAAACTACATTTGCTAAAACGGTCTATTTCTACAAAGTTTTCTTTATAACGAAGCTATGTTTTTGACTTGGAAAGGAAAGTTTTCTAAAAATATCTTGATGAAGGATTCTAAGACGGCTTCAAAGAGGATTCTCAAGAGGTCGGTATCAGGGGCATTTGGTGGGGGTAATATTTTTATAGGTTTTCTTTATGAAACTGATTTTTCCGAAAAAAATGTTTACAGAAAGGAGATTTTAATTTTTTTGTCTTACCAGACCTAAATTGCATGGTCTGTACTATTCTCAATTGCTTTTTTCAGCTGTTTTTAAGCATAAAGTTGAATTTACAATATTTTCTTTACCAGTCGTTATGCAAGTTTTTATAAATAGGTTGTTTTAGGGTTTTATTATATTGATTTATAAAGAAGTTTAGTATGCTTTCGATAACGTTTTTTGCTTTACAATAAATTTTAAGGCTATAACGAAAGTTTTGTCGTTTTTACGTGAAAAGTTATGTAGATTAGCGGCAATACTTAAACGATTGACAAAAATTGACTTTTTTAGAATTTTTAACTTATACAGTGAAATTTCTGTACAACGAACTCTTGTATAACGAAAATTTTTTATAACTTAAAAGTTCAAATTTAACGTCCCAGCAATTTGTTATGTGGGAGCTTTATCGTAATCGGCTGAAACTGAACTTTTTTTGAAATTTTTATTTTTCTTACTCAAAACGGTGACACTTTTCACCACCCGACCCAACTATTTTAACCCCGGTTTCAGAAACACGAACAAACCGCGGCCGCGGCCCGACGATAAGCCGCGCGGCGTCGGCGCGCCCGATTTTCGTATGCCCGACAAGAGCGCGCAGAGTTTTACGTTGGAAATCCCCAAAAAGAAGTTTACCGGTCGGTGTCGGCTGTTCGTCGGCAATCTGCCGAACGAAATGAAGGAGGACGAGTTGAAGAAGATGTTCGTCGAGTTTGGAGAGATCAACGAGTGCTACTGTAGTGGAAAAGGATTCGCTTTCTTGAGATTGGTCAGCATTTTAAATATTGTTTGATTGGGAGGGGATGGGGTAGGGAAGAGTTGGGGAGGAGGTAGGAGTGATTTGTGGTGAAGGAGAGGTAAGGGTGATTAAGATTTGGGGGCGGGGAGGGTAGAATAGAGACGGGGGTGTTTGGAGAAGGGTAAAAGAAAGGTGGAGGTAATAGTAGAGGTAGCGCTATTTGATTTGGAATTATAAGCATTTTTAAGGTCGAAGCTTTTATTTTATTTTGTCTTATGCACATCAAGTAGATTTTTTTTTATTTTTTGAAGGTGGGGCCGATATATAAAGGTATATTTTAAAATTTTAGTTGTTGTCTGCGACGCGCGCCATAACTTTAGAGTTTTTGTATTATAAAAAGAAGGTACTGATGGATGAACTTGATTACAAAACTAAGGAGTTTCGGGATGGCTTGGACTACTTTGACAGTATTAACTTGACAGTATTATAAGTACGATGCAGTACATAACGTTTACACAATACGTATACCACTACAGTACAATACGTATACCACACAACCATGGTTAAACTAAGCCATTTTAATATTACGTTACGAGTACAATATTCTTGTGTTGAAAGGGGAGTATAAAGTTCAATATGGCATATGTAATTGAAATTGGTATATACAGTTTGATTTGGCATAACGTTGTAAATACTATACTTGATTGTAAAGACTGGACTAAGTATCAGATGGAGTATATATTGGACTAAATTGTTGGACTGTTTTAAAGCCTCCTGAAACTCCTAAAAGTTCAAGTTTGTGAAGGTAAAAGTGTACATTGTACTTATTTTAAGTTTTTTATCTGCTGCACGCTTTTTTTATTGTTTTTTACATTGACAGTGGATATTGTATTGTAAATACTGTTTAGGTAAATGGGAGGGTATATTTGCTTCAAAAAAGGTTTGCTCAAAGTTCACTATGAGGTGTTGAACAAAGTCTGACTAAGAATCGAACATGGGTCCGACGGGAGTGTCCAAAAATTTCAAACTAGTTGAAAAACTTTCATTATTTTGTCAAGAGGTAGTACTTGGACATAGAAATGCAAATTATAAAACATTTTTATAAACTTCGGTTACTGTATTTATATGGTAGGATTTACAACAAGACTGTAAATTCTATCGCAACCTTACAGTAACCCAAATTTATACAAAATTTTTAGTTTTGAATTTTTATGTCTAATTGTAAGTACTCTTGACAAAAAAATGAAAGTTTTTCGACTAGTTTGAAATTTTTGAACGCCCCCGTCTGACCCATGTTCGATTCTTGGTCGGACGTTGTTTTAAAAAGGGTTTTACTAGTTAGTTCTGAATTACAAGTCGATATACGACTTTTTAGCATGTAGTTGGTCATTTTTCAAATTCACTTACTTTACGACTAGATTTATCATTCAGTCTACGTTATCTATTTATTCAGCAACATTATTTTTATCGGCTACTTGTGGAAGTATATTTTTTGGATTTTTACTTTTTGACCTAGTGGACTTGACTTTGCCTATTTACCTTTATCAAAAACAATACAAAATGATTAACATACACTATTTCAGGACACTCGAGCTCACGCCGAAGCCGCCAAAGAGACTTTGGATGGTAAAACCATAAAAGGTCGTCAACTTCGTGTCAGATTCGCTGTTCACGGTGCCGCATTGAGAGTGAAGGAACTGTCAGCATGCGTATCCAACGAGATGCTGTACCACACGTTCTCAGTGTTTGGCGAAGTCGAAAGAGCGATTCATATTGTAGATGAGCGTGGCAAACCTACAGGAGAAGGTATCATTGAATTCGAGAGAAAATCTTCGGCTCAAGAGGCTTTGAAGAACATTGAGGACAGAGTTTTCATCATGTCTGCGTAGGTTTTTGCGTTTTTATTGTGTTTGGTGTCTAGGTGAAGGTAATGAAGGATAGTGACTTTCATTTTTAAAAAGCTCAGTGCCATGGTCTGGACACTAAATTTTTGAAAAAAGAGCCATAAGTGATGTTGTTATAGACAATATCGACATTTTTTTAAACTTTCTGGTTACTTAAAAGTTTAAATTTAAAAAAGATGAATATATTATGAAAGCCTAGCTTAACATATATGTTCTGGTCAATTTTTAAAAGGTATGGATAAGTAATGATGTTGTTATAGACAATCGCACCCATTGAGAGCCGAAATGCTTGAACCAAAAGATGATGAAGATGGACTGGCTGAAAGAATGATCCAAAGAACTCCCCAGACTTTAAAGTAAGTTAAAAATGAAGTTTTGTTACCTAAAATACTGAAAATTACCTTTTTGTTATCTATAATATCAAAAATGATGTGTTTATTACCTAAGCTATTAAAAAAAAAGTGTTTTGCTACCTAAAGTATCGAAAAAATGGTTATCCTCCTAATTTTCAGAGAACGAGAAGTAGCTCCTCACTTTGCCGACTTAAAATCATTCGAATTCGTCTACGGCCAACGCTGGAAAGACCTCTACAAGCACGAAAGCGAACGTCGAGCCCAACTCGAAGAAGAGCTTGTAGCCAAACGTCGTCAACTCGAAGCTGACCTAGAAATCGAGTACGAAGACTATCGTGCTCAGATGATCCGCGAAGACTTGGAACGCCAGAAACGCGAACTGGAACGACTGGAACATTTGAAGAGGGAACGATCTCGAGGTGTTCCACCTCCAATGGCACCAAGATATCCGGGCAATGATGGCCCACTTGGCCGACCACCACCAACCTACGGTCGTGATCCGGGCCGTGATCACAGAGGTCCGGACTTGGATGTGAACAAGATCCTGAACAGCTTCAGAGGCCCGGTACCAGACATGGGACCCCCACAAATGGGCATGGACCCACATGCTATTGGTGTACATAGAAGTCTTCAGAAGGTAAGTGTTTTGCTTGATTTTTGGTTTTTAGGTAACAAGGAGTAATTTTTTTACGTTTTGTTGCTAGATGAAGCTTCTTCAGCCTGAGATTGACATTTTATACGAAAGAAAACAAAAAATGCTTTGTAAAGAAAGTTTTCTTCATTTTACGTTTTGTAAACAAAGTTCTTGCGATTTTTTGTTTTGTAAAGAAAGTTGTTGCCATTTCTTAGTTTACAACAAACTTTTTTCAGAGTCTAGGCCTAGCCGATGGTCCAGGCCCCATGGGACCCCCACCAATGGGCCCACCTCAAGGCTACGGAGCTCCACCAGGCGGCTTCTTCAACGGCTTCGCGCCAGGAATGGCACCACCAGGCCCAGTACCACTTCACGCAATGGGCGGACCACACGACTATCGGCCAGACCTGAAAAGAGCACGTCGTTAAGAGAGACGCCGAAGATAATGTTACTATTTTTGTTTTTTAACTAAATTCTTTAATATGCAAATTTTGTAATATGCACTAAACTATAAGTATATTAGATGCTATGCCAGTTGATGATATGTCCAATTTGATTGTAGGTATAGCATGCTGGTGTTTAATATTATGCTAAAATTGTCTGTTTCACTATCACACAATCTCATTACTACACTGTATTTTTCGTATGTTCAACGTAATAAATTATTAATTTTATGCAAATACGGGCCTTGTTGATTTTGGAAAAGTTGATCGCATTAAGTATTGTTTTTTGCAAAATATTTTTAAAATTTTTTAAAAATTACTTTACCCCATCTTATTCTACTTCATTATACATTACCCTGCAATACTTTATGTTACTTTACCCTATTATATCCTGCCCTAGTTCAATGTAAAGTATTGGGCTGTGAAAATAATTTTGAGCTCCTTTTTAAAGCAAGTTTTTGTGGTTAAGGGGCACAGAATTATTTGAACTTTATAAAAAATATTAGCTGGGTCCACCTTACCCTACTTTACCCTAACTTACATTATTTTACCTACTATACCCTATGTTATTTTATCCTACCATAGCTTGCTCAAGTCCTATGTAATATAAGGGGTTGTTCAAATAATTATGTGCCCCTCTCAAAGCATTTTTTTTGGAATTAGGGGCTTACAATTATTTAAACAACCCAATACAATTACTTTTTTTTGGTTTTTTAAAATTTTAAAAGTATTACCTAATTTAAAAAAATTTTTTTTTGAAAATTTTTAATTTTTTCAAATAAAGGGTTCAAATTTAGCATAACCTATCAAAAAGATGTCTGATCCAGTGATTGAGTTAGACGTTGGCAAGATCAGAGGAAAAAGCCAGGTTGTCGATGGAGTTGGCATTGAATCCTACCTCAAAGTGCCATTTGCTGAACCACCGGTCGGTGGGCTGAGACTTGAGGTAAGTACTACATCTATTAGTATTCTTTTATAAATTTAAAAACATTTTCAAAATTTTGCCTTTAGGATATAAAACCTAAAATACGCTTATATTATTATAGAAACCAGTCCCAAAGAGCCCATGGTCAGAAACTCTGGACTGCCTTGAGTTCCCCAAGTCAGCTATACCGTTAGTCGCACCTATATTATTTCCGTTTTCCGAAGATTGTCTATATCTCAACATCTTTCGGCCAGCTGAAGCATCGGCCGAACCATGCCCGATATTGTTCATGGTTCATGGAGGCGGGTTTGAGTTTGGTACTGGCATGAGATATGGAAATTTGGAGGAAAATGCCAAGAAATTCATTTCTACAGGCATCATTATGGTCGCTATACAATATCGATTGGCTGTTTTGGGTATGTTGTTAACTCTTGACTAACCATATCGTATGCTGCCGCACCCTACCCTACCTTACCCTACCTTACCCTACCCTACCCTACCCTACCCTACCCTACCCTACCCTACCCTACCCTACCCTCCCCTACCCTACCCTGCCCTAACTTACCCTACCCTGCCCTACCTTACCCTACCACACTTTATCCTAATCTACTCTACTCGGTCCTACCCTGCCCTGTCCTGCTTTACCTTGTCTTGCCCTGCCTCGGACTAACCCTAGCTTGTCTTGGCTTTGTCTTTCCTTACCTTGAACCGACCTTACCCTGTATTTTACCTTACTTTAAGTTACTCTACCGTACTATATTCCCTTGTTATACCTAGCCCTATATTAACATACCTTACTTTACAAACTCTATTCTAGCCTCTCTGGACCTACTATACCTTTCCACATCCCACTTTTGCCTTAACCTAGCAATAGGATAGCTTTTTTATCTTCAACTTATTCTACCTTACGCCAGCCTACTCTATTCTACCCTACCTTACTTCACGCTAACCATACTTCTTTCTAGGATTTGCATCAGACGCTTCAGACCCATCTCTAAACGGAAACCTAGGCCTATTTGATCAAGCCGAAGCCCTAAATTTTGTTCACAGAAACGCCAATGCTTTGAACGGTGATCCAAACAAAATCACTGTATACGGCTGTAGTGCTGGCGGAGTATCAACATCCTACCTCATGTTGAGTCCACTAACTTGCGACAAAATATTTGCCGGTATTTCATTGAGTGGCAGCGGACTGACAGCTTGGGCGAACTGCGAGCTGGTCAAGGAAAAAACCGCGGAATTGGCCAAGGAACTGGGGATGAAAGAAGGAGAAACGGCTAAAAGCGTGTTGAAGCGGGCTAAGGTTGAGGATATTATCAAGGCTACAAGGAGAATTGTAGGTTTAAAATTTTTTTAAAATTATTTTTTAGTCAAAAAACATGTATTAGGCTGTTCAAATAATTCTGTGCCCTCTCTCAAATCAAATGTTAGGGATTAGAGGGCTCAGAATTATTTGAACAAATTAATATGTATAGATTTGAAAGGAGACCCGACCTGAAGCCGTGATGGGTCAAGCCGAAGCAAATTTAAAGGAGTCGCGACCGGTCGGGCTGGACAGTATGCTGAGTGGCCCAAACCAAGGCCTGGCTAGTGGACCACACCGAAAAATTGGGACTTGTTTCTTTACGGTTAGGCTGAGACATGGGCCGGTCTTGAGCTAAAGTTGAGCTGGGCCGGCCCTTGAGCTAAGTTTGAGACGGGCAGGGCTTGAGCTAAATAGTTGGAGCCGGCTTCGAGTTAAGGCTGAACAGGGCCGGCCTTAAGCTAGGTTTAAAACGGGCTGGCCTAAAATCTCGCCTTGAGCCAAAGTTGAATCGGGCCGGGTTTCAGCTAAAGTTGAACCGAGCCCGCCTCAAGCTAAACTTGAAACACTTGAGCTAGGTTTGAAACGGCAATGGTATGAAAAGTTGGGCCTTGATTACGGATTGGACCAGGCTGGACCTAGAATTTTTTGGCTGGGCCACGCCGGCCTGAGAAACAATAAAAACGGGCCGGGTCTAAACATTGGCCTTGAAGTGAGTTTCACACGAACCTCAAAAGTGGGCCCGGCCCGTTTCTTACCCTTATTTACAGGTCATACGTATTTGAAATTTAAAACTTTAGGGTGAAACCTATGACAATCAGAATTTCACGATTTTTGGCCCACATTTGGATGGGGAATTTTTCCCAAAAGACTTACCAGAATTGATCGCCGAAGCACCAAAAAAGCCCTACATAATGGGCTGTACTCACTTGGAATCACTTTTGTGGAGTAAGTCGTACTTTTAGGTAGGAGCTTCAAGGTTTGAAAAAAAATTTAAGTTTTTTTGGAAAGGAATTTAGTAGCTCATTACTTTTTGAACAATATAATAAAATTTTTTTTTCTGATATTGAGCTCAGTAGCTCATTACTTTTTAAAAAGCCTAATATGATTTTTTTCTGATATTAATTCAATGGCTCTTTACTTTTTGAACAAATTAAATAAACAAAAAAATTTTAATTTTTGAACAGCCTAATAAGAATTTTTTTTGTTATGAAGTTCAGTAGCTTATTATTTTTCGAACAATTTTAATAGTAAAAATTTTTTTTGCTATTTTGTTTAGTAGCTCATTATTTTTTGAACAACTTAAATAAACAAAAAATTTTTTGATATGGTAGCTCATTACTTTTTAAACAAGCTAATAAAAAATATTTTTTTCTGATTTGGAACTTAATAGCTCATTACTTTTTGAACAAACGAATAAAAAATATTTTTTTGACATGGAAATTAGTAGCTTAATGTTTTTTAAACCACTTAATAAATTTTTTTCTATATAGGGTGCAGTAGCTCATTCTTTTTAAAAATGTTTTTTTAATAAAATTTACTTCTAGCCTTACTTTCAATCTCTGATATAAGTAACACAATGGCCATTCCACCGCAAAAACAGCCCAACTTTGGCCGTTCCGATTTGGTAGCTCTAGTCGACAAGCTGGTCAAGCCAGATATGGTGAAACAAACTTCGGAAGCCAGAGAAGAATTCGTCAACTTCTATGACAATCAAAGCGATAAGAAAGACAATATTTATTATATGTACCAGTACACACAACTTTATGCTGATTTACAGTTTAATATCCCTATTTTGTTGGAGATTTGGCTTAAGAATTTGGCTGGATGGGACGTTTTTGCTTACCAAAATGATTATATTAATGAGAAAGTGTTCCCGGACAAGTGCCCAATCAAAGGTAGGTCAGCAGGGCATGTTGTAGTAGGGTCGGACTAGTAGAGCAAGTGCTCAATCAAAGGTAGGTCAGCAGAGAATGTTATAATAGGGTCGGACTTGTAAAGGGGATGGGAAACAACCTTTCGTTTCGGATTGCTGACTGGGCTTTGCTTTGGGTCCTGACCTCCGGGCCTGCTTGTGTCGGTCAGGCTACTTTCTAATTTGATTTTGCACTGCCAAGCCCTTTCTCAGGACCGAACTTAGTAAGCCCCTTTTTTAGTCTAACAAGGGGGGGGGGTATACTGGGGTAGAGCCAGTGTTTAGCCGGACCGGACCGGACCCAAAAGTTTGAAGTTTGGACCGGACCGAACCCAAAAAATACTGGTGAAAAACGCTCCGGACCGGTCTGGGTAAAACACGGGGTAGAGCAAAGTAGCCTGGCTAACGGGTCGGACCTAGAAAGCTCCCTTTCAAGTTTAAGTAGGGTGGGGCGTAGCCGTTTTGGAATATGCTTGGCTTGGCGCAATTACTCGATTTAGCCCGGGTCCTCAGGACCACAAGTGCCGGCCCGGCCCCTTTTAAATTTTCTTTAGTTTGGTCCAATTCCCAGGTCTTAACTTGACCTTAGGGCCTATTTTTCTCGGCCCGGCCAAGCCTGGCCTTCTTTCAGGTTAAGTGAGGTGGGATACAGTGGGGTATAGCAGAGTAAAGGTATACAATAATTGTCAAGTCGTAAATTAAATTGTTGTCAGGTCGTAAATTAAGACCGTTTTTAGTCTCTTATCACGGTTTGGACCAGCGTTACTTGATCCAAGGTCATGGCTTCAGCCAACCAGAGTTCTTCGACGATAACGACAGAAAAGTGGAGAAATTTTTGGTCGATTCTGTTGTAAATTTTATCAAAACTGGGTAAGTAAACAAATTTTTACTGTATTCAAAAGCCAAGGTGTCGAATGACGTATTTTACATTTTCTCAAAAATATTAAGTTGTTTAACTAATTATGCGCCCTTTCCCAAAGCAAATATTCAAGGCAGGGAGCACAGAATTATTTTAACAACCCAATAAATATCTATAGACTTGAAAAGAATCTAGTAGGCCCGGTCGAACAACTTAACATAATAAATTTGAGAATTACAGTAACCCATCAACGCCGACCTTTGACTGGCCTAAAACCACAGTGGAAAGCCCATTCCAACACATAAGAATTACTGAAAACCCGACCTTACAACATGACTTCTTCGCCAACAATCTTAAATTCTATGGTGATTTGATGACAAAATACGAATATGACTTCCCCAGAATGATTAGAATGTCAACTGAAGAGATGGAAAAGCAATATCACGTCAAAAAACTGATTCAGGCTTTGAAGAGTGTCAAAAAAGGCAAATTATGATTTTGTAATTTTCAATTAATTTTGAATTAAAAAAAAATTTATTAAATGCTGTTTATTATATGGTTTTAGTTACGGTTAGTGTTTTATGCTCTTGTATAACTTATTATTGATTTTGTGTTTGGTATAATAAATACTATCTTATACATTTCGTGTAACAAAAAAATGAAAAGTTTTGATCCTAGCAATATCTTTATTTACAGTCCTAGCCTCAGCCTCATCCTTAGCTTTATCCTTAGTCTTAGCCCTAGTTTTAACCATAGCTTAAGCCCTAGTCATAGTTTTAACGTTAGATAAAACCCTAGAAATAGTCCTAGTACAAGCCCTAGCTACAGCCTTAACCCTAGCTATAACCCTAGCTATTGCCCTAGCAGTAGCCCTAGTCTTAGCCCAAGAGTCAGCTCGTAGCCCTAGCTTTACTCTAGTCTTACATTATTGCCCTAGTTCTTGCCTTAGCTTAAAGTCATTAACCCTAACTATAGCCCAGGCAATATCTTAGTTCTTGCCTTAGCTCAAAGGCACCAACCCTAACTATAGCCCAGGCAATAGCTTTAGTTCTAGCCTTAGCCCTAGTCTACCCTGAATGACTCTTCTTTCAGGTTCAAAGTTGCCTTGGGTAAGTATTAAAGGTTTATATTTCTCTGTTTTCTAACAATTTTTTTTTCATTTTAAAATTCTTAAATATACAGTAGAATCTTGAATCGCTAGGAGATTTAAGTGGCTCGTTATGGCTACATGTACTATATTTAGTTAGATGATCAATACTGTATATGAACAGTACTTTTTTGATCAGTACTGTGCAGGTACAGTGCTGTTTTGTTTATTACTGTATATAAATAGTGCTTTTTTGCTCTGTAATGTATATAAACTGTACTATTTTGATTGGTACTATGTATGAACAGTACTTTTTTGATCAGTACTATATTCCACTGTGTTAGAGTTCTTCTTTATATTATTTTTTAAATTTTAAGGTTCTATTGTATACGATTTTAAAAGTTTTAAAAGTTTTTCTGTAAATTATTTAAAAATTTTTAAAATGCTGTTTTTTTCATCTCCTTATAAACTATAATATCTGAAAGCAAATGGTCAAAAAAGCGCTTAATTTTTTTATCTTGATCAAAAGAAAAACCTCCGTTTGATTAAGTGACAGCTTCTTCTTATCAGCTGTATTCGGTCCACATGTATATATGAACTTTACGAATGTTATATATTATATTGTGTGACCTTTTTGTTTTTTGAGTTTTTTATTCATTTTAAAACCGTTCTTTGCTTTGAGTTTTGTACGGTTACACTATGTTTTGCACGGTTATACTATACTGACGGTTATACTACGTTAATTTAAAAATAGTACCACAGTATTATATTATGTTTGGCGTCTTGTTTTATATAATATTTAAAATTTTTAATTGTTCTCGAGTTGATAATTATAATTTTGTTTATATACTGCTCATATGTTTTTTACTATATATTAATGATATACTACGTTCATTTATTATTATAAGTTTGAAGGTGTTTTTATATATTACCAGTCGTTTTTGAAAATATGTACATTTATGTTGTGTATTAGTGTTCTTCGTACAAATTTTGTTTGAGGAAGGTAGAGGGAGGGGAGAGGGCTGCTAAGGAAGGGGTGGGCTTTGTTGAAAGATCCCTCTCCTACAGCTATACTAAAGGCATTGAGGTTTGATCCCCATCTAACTTGGCTATAAGTGAACCTGATCATAGGACGTTTTTTGACGTGATACAAAACTTAAGTGCCAAATACTAATATGGCACATAATATACTACACATATATTACAGGTTTAACTTTTTCACATGAAGCCCGCGAGCTTCAAGACTAGACCCGCCTATATTATACCTGAAAAGGTCATATATTATGCTTGAAAAGCTGATTTGAAATTTGCTGCATTTTGTCTTGAGTTTCGTTTCGACCTTACACACAAAGTGGTCCACTGCCGTTCGGTTTAAATTTATGTTTTAGTACTTTTTAACCAATTTTTTTCCAAAAAAAAAGGGGAAAGATGGACGGGGGGCCAAAAAAAATTTGAAAAGGATTGAACTTGGTCCCCTTTGGATTTTAGGAAAAAAAATTTATTTTTTTTTTAAATTTCAAATTTCTTAAGGCAATATAAAGGAAATTGTTTTCAAACTCTTATAAAACTTGCAATATGTGCCAAACATCTTTTTTAACCATTTTGAGCCAAATTACATCTAAATCCTAGCTAAGGTGATTCAAAATTTATGTCATTAGAGCCGCAATTTTATCACATGTGAGGTTTTTCGAAAAATTTTAAAATTCGCAAAATTTTCATGATTTTTTGGCACATTTTAAATAATTTTAGGACTACAGAAGCTGGCATCAGCGCCAAAGAAGATCCGTGATCAGTTAGGAAAAGCCGCTCAGGTTCAATTGACGGTGCAAAGAACTGCAAAGAGCCTAGAAGAGTTCCAAGCAGGCTTGGACACAGGGCAGGGTGCCCTGTTACATTTAATTTTAATATAGACGCTGCGTATAAAATTCTATTCTTTGAAGCGAGACATGTTTTGGTAAGATGGTTGAAGTTTTCAGATTTTATAATAAAGAAAGAAGATAATGTGAGTCCTCATAGAGTATACATGGATTTCTTGAAAACAGAGTTTACGGATATCTCAAATACTCTAAATAGGACTAAGATAAAGGTTATGAATAATATATCTTCTGATGCTGTTCTATTCGGTGAAAAGAAATTTTCATATGAGTTAGCAGCTAGAATACTCTACAAAGGTATTGATGTATATAAAACGTGGATCGACCCTTAGTAGTTTCCTGTAGTTCTCACCGAGTCGAACAGTTCAACCAGGAGCTTCGGCGTATATGTACCAGTGCGTTAGTTTACAGCCCACAGAACGAACTCCCTACCCTATCTGGCTTGCTCGTAACTGATCTCCTTAGTCACCAGAATATTCAGGAAGGAGAGAATGATTGGTACTGCTACTTACTTCGTATAAGGTAATCTACTTTGTTTTTTTTGGAATGTTTCACAGGTAAGGGACTCCCTATTCATACTATTTGTTCCTACAGAGGGTTTTCTGCATATGAATTGTGATATCCTTCTACGCCTAAAGTTATAATGTCACACTTATTCAAAACAGATTTGTTTCCAAGATTAGAAAGCGACGTCAAAGATTTCATGTTTGATTTGCTAGATATGGAGCTTACTACAAAGATCATATTATATACAAACATGACGCCGAAATTTCTAAGATGGTAACGGATTTGGAACTGAAGATGGGCCTCTATCTATTTAGGCCATGTATAAGTCATATTCCGAGACTTGATTGTACATCATACAAACACTGAACAAGAATTACTACTAAGAGAACTAGAAAAAGCTACGGAAAAAGAGACACACATCCTTATACACGAAAGACGCCATGCAACACCATAATCTGAAAGAAGAACTTTTGGAATTTGAATGGATGGCTCCTGTATGGTATTATTTAAAAAGAATATGGGTTATATGGGTGACATTAGCGGTTATGTGCGAGACCTACCAACGTTTCTTCGCATTTGCAGAAGACCTACGCGGCCGACGCGAACCAGCAACTAATACGGGAACCGGACCAGAAATAATCCCTTTAGTCACAAATAACACACATGTTCGCGTCTGTAACCGACACACCAAACATGCTGATTTTGCATGACATCTTTCTGATATCGCTAATCAGTACCGATAATGACCACACAGGATAGTATATAAACCAACTTAAAATACCTTAGATGGAGTAGTTTTATTACGAATTGTATGTCTATGCTATAGCCTATTATCCAAACACCGACCGAAATTGTGATTCGCCGCCAGCTTTTGAATGGTCCACCTTCTACAACGCCCTTCAACATGTTGCGACTACTCTACGATATCGTAAACATCAATGTAGAATACAAGGAGGCTACCCAAGCATATAGCAGTTGTTTGTCTATTGTTGCAACAAACAACCCCGTATTTCAAGCTAACACTACTGATTCAAACGCGGATTGCGCGACACAGCTGTGTGCCGCTACCTGAACAGTCGAAGTACAGCCGGTTGGGTGCGATTGGATACACCGAAGAAGAACAAAGGTCACCCCCACCGCGCTATCACGACGTCGAGCAAGCCGAGGATACTGAGCAGGAAAATCGCCTACCCCAAGCCAAAGCCTAGCCAGTCGTCAGCCGAAGCTACCCAGTCGAAAAAATGGCTATATCATTCATTACCCCCTTACCTAATCCCATATTGCTGTAACTTTATTTTTTTACTTTAATAAAGATAAAATAGCATAGTCCAAATTACGGTGCACAGTACATCTAACAGCTCCTTAACTAAGAAATCCATTAACACTGTAACTTCATGAGAAAGTAGGGTAAAGCCATAAACAAACACCGGAACCATTCAAGCCTAATGAATTATTTTACAAACAAACAACCATTACAAATACCAGCAAAACCTACTTTCACAACCCGCTTTAATAATGTACGCCAATGTAGCCAACCGTACTCCAAACACCACCAACACCAACCCAGCCACAAAAGTCAAGAGAAAGATAGTTTAGCATACCTAATAAGGACAGACTTAAATAAAAAGGTTTATTAACACACAAAAACGTAAAGATTTCTAAAACGTTTTTAAAGTGATGTATTGTGAAATTTAATCATTTTAGTAATTTAACATCCTTCGTAGCATACTTGTTACCCGTTCCATGTAGTCCACTTGTTTTATTTCTAATTCATCGGAAGTCTTGTTACATTGTGTTAAAAACGGTCTTCGCCAAAAAGGATAGACGGTCGTAAGTAATATATGCTTTAATTTAACCTTAATTCTCAAAATAAAATTTATTTAAAAATTCTACACTTTGTAATTTGTTTATTTTAATCTTTTTAATTTGACTAACTTCAAAACAGTCAATAATTTTCGTTTTCAATATTACATAATGTAAATAAACTATTAATGTAAAAGAAGATAATAGTTTTATGGCCGAAAAGCT